TCGATCAAACATGCCCACACAATGAATCTCCACCCATTTTGACAATGTTGCGAACTAGAAATTTAGGTTTATATTCTACTAATGGCTTCTCACGAGTAACTGCCGTATCATGATGTTGAGTCGCACATTTGGGTTAAATTAAGATGTAGCTGATATTTATTCTACTTGAATTATTTTGTATGTATTTCATTTCAGATCATGAGAATATTAAAAAAAGTAAAAAATACGTATATAAACATATTTTATACTTATTTGTATACAACATTGAGGCTGCTGGATTATGTGCTAAAACAGGGACGGATCTAAGAAGAAGCAATTTACGTCGGGCTCCGGACTCAAAAAAAGCAAAAAAGAAGTCTCCCCAGCGAACGAATGAACCTCGATCTGCCACTTAATAAGCAGTCGCTGTAATCACTTAGCTACTAACGGGTTGCTTGTAGCTTGCCCAAGATTTGTATATAATTGAGTGCTTACTTAGACTCGGTTGATAAATTTGAATGAAAATCGGTTATTGTGCCTTAAGTATAATGTTGTTTGTGAATCATGAGAGTACTATAAACACATAGTCCTTTGTTTTATGTAGGTTTAGCAGCGTGCGCCAAATAATGACTTTTTTAAGGCAAACTTTTGAAACCTTTGCTAATAATTTTGTTATGACATGTCAATTTAGATAAAACATTCAAAAATTATATGTCTGAGCCTTTCTCATGAATCCCTCTATCCACTGGTGATAACCGCATAAAAATCCGTTGGGTAGTTTTCGCGTTCTGAAAGAGTGATCTTTATAGTAGGATGTTCTTTTCGTTGCGCTGGCATACTCGTATTTCAAGTCTTCCGGGCAAATGTGTGAGGACATCTATATGTAAAATATATCTAACAGGTGCATAAAATCACCGGAGTCAGAAGCATAGAAGAATATTAATATAATTTGAGATCTTCCCTCCCTTCCCCTCACAACCCCAACCCACAATTATTAACCCCAACCAAAAGTTTTCTGAAAATGAGCAACGTCAAAAAAGATATTTTTGGATTTTCCTTTTTTCTTTCTTTTTTTGCACCTAGCTTCACCGCCACTTGACCAATTTTCAAAAATTCCAAAACTTTTACGTTCTTGGCATAGTAGTAACATGGTAGTAAATCAGAGCGGTACTTTTCAAGTTATTCGTCATGTAAATGTCATATAACATCCAAAAACATAATGTAGCATTTTTGTTTTTTTGTTCCTCCCCAGTCGCATAAGAAGTCAAACGATGATACCAAAAAATTAACTTCTCTGAAAATAAACGTTGCCCTATTATGCTCAAAGCTGTTGACAGATGTGAAGACGGAATAAGAAATGTTTGAAAATACGATCGTCACAAGATTAAATCACTCCCAAACAGTCGTAGGCTTAATTTTGCCCATATGTATTGTTGTCAAAGAGTACCAGATCGCCTCCAAAGTATTCGTAAGTTTCACAATTGCTTTTGGCGGGGAAGCGAAATAATACTGTTTATCTTTGACCTGTAGGTGAGGTGTACCGTATGTTATGTAGCTTTTACGGACGTCAAATTTCACCTTGCGGCGCATAGACTTCTTTATATTGCAGGGGCGTAAAGTGAATTTAGCGCCCGCTCTATTTAAACTAATCTATGCTGAACACAGGACCACCACAGGAATACCCTTATTAATAGCTAGGCAGTGGTATATCTACAGATGATACACTAGTTAAGTCAATTCATTTATTTGTAATCTGAAAAGCTGCTTTAATCTTTTTGCTTAAGCTGGTCATAGGTAAAAAAATTTATGTATCTATATTTGGGGCTTGATAAGCGTTTATATCCCCTTTCATGTCAGAGGCACGACGCCTCGCTTTCAATTTCACGTCGAGTTCCGTAGATCCACTCCTAGATAATCAATAATAATTATTATGCGTTTAGTTTTCTCTATTCAAAGAAAGGTCCAATCAAATCTCAGGCAACCCAAATGTGCAACATTTAGTATCCTTTACAGAACGTTTAGTTACCTTTAACACAGGCTACTACACATTACACTCACAAAATACTATAATGTACTTAGCTAACACTATTCTCATTAAGTAGTTGTAGTTTAAGTAATTCGATAAAAGCCTGCCCACTATATGAATATTATCAAATTAATGGCAGCTGTATGTTTATCCTTGTCCTGTTATCAAGAGAGCAATGATTGCAGTAATTTTACATTTTACATTATTTGCTTATCTTTCTGCAAATGTTTATGTGTTTGCGTCCTCCTACTTCCTGCTTACCAGTCGGGAGAAAGATCAGGTGGGGTTTTCGACCCTGAAAGTAACCCAAATAGCAAATGGATCGCATCTATGAAATTTTAGCGTTTTTAAATATCTTAGAAAAAATGTATTTTAAATGTTTCTCAACATATTTCTTTTTATTTTAGTTCTTGTTTTTTAAAAACCCAAAGTTCACTTGTTTATCCAAAATTCACTCATTTTCAATGTTTTTTTATTTTTTACTTCAAATCCATAATAAAATACGTTAAGACGCAAAACATATTAAGATGAAAGTGTTGATGTATTGTGCTGGCAATAAAAACAAAAGTTGTGACAAATCAATGCATAAGGTGGGTGGACCATGTAAGTCCACGCTAACAAATAAACAGTTATTATTCCTTTATCTACTGGATACATGAAACAAATTATTAAGTACTCGTAATACATACCTTGTTCTATTATTTGATCTATAAAATATTTCTTTATTGAAGAGTTAATCATTATTTATTCAATTCAAGTTTTCTTAGAGTCCGAACGGCCGGCACGGGTATTACGTATCTTGAAAAGTGATTTTTTTAACAGTATATTGTTTTTTTGTGGCATTATGTAGGTTTTTCTACAAGATGTAAACTTACCTCTGGCAGGTGAACACTTATTATGAACTCGTTTTGTACTTGTACGTGTTGCCTAAACGTCATGGTGCTTCAGTTATCAATGTTTGGCTCTGATGTGATGTAAAGTCTGCTTCAGAGATGACATTATAAGACGTCTAAGCTGTAAGTTGTATACTATAGTTAAAAGGAAACGGCAGTACATGTGTGCAAAGTGAGGATTTGTGTGCTAATAATGTGTTGATAATAATTCCATGGGTTTCTTCTCTCAAATACACTTACTAGAGGTTCAAAGCTAGAAATTTGTTACGCATTCATGTTTTCTTATTCATTCAATTCAATTGAAATTTTATAAAAATTTATTTTGCGATGACGATAGAAAATACAAATCAGCGCCTAAATGTGAGTCATCGCGAAAATGTTTTGTGTGGTGCGTCATTTCTAATTTTTCTGTTATGTGGCTTAATTGCACACAACGCGGGGGCGCGGTGGTGATTTCCCGTAATGATCCTCAAAGTTTTTGAAAACAAAACGGGAAAAATCGTAATTTATAACTTTGAACATAACCTGTCTTCAGAAACGACAACATATAAATAACTCGTCGTGCACAGCTAATAGATATACTTCATTGGCAGCATATTTAGTGATGATTTTCTCACATAGCAAATATCACTGATTTTATACACATGCAGACCAATACACATAATCATCCATATGCGATCTTGCTACTCAACCAACTTTCTTTCTTTCACATCTCAGAGATAAACACTGCAGACACTTGACTTCACAAAAAATATTCCTGCTTTCTGCAACCAACAATGGGGGTAGTTTCGTCATCCCTCAATAGATAACATTTTGTTGTTTTTTTTTTTGAAATCTTATAAGCTTTTCATATAATGGCCGTGCGGAACAAGGTTCCATACAAGGCCAATATATTAAATCAGCCGTGTAACTTAACACTGACGTTATGATCAAAATATCTGCTTAGATTATCCAAACTGCATGTAAAAGTATTTCATTAACATGAAATATTAAGTAAATTAGGTACAATACGAGTATATACTCATATAAAAATGCCAATGAACATTACTTGAACGCTATGTCAAAACCGTGCAAATATTAACAAAGTAATTTCAATGAGTTTTATATCGATATCAAATAAGATAAGTTATAATTTTGATCAAATATAAAGTTCAACCGACCAAAATGGTATTCTTACGTAAGGCCAAAATGTTCTAGATGACGTTAGAAATATAAAGTTAAAAAATAAAGAAAATAACTTATAATAAAATATTGATAAAACCACAATTTTTCTGTGAGCTGAGACGTCAACAAAGCTGAGGGACCGCATTGACATAATAAAGACGCGGCTCATTTTATCGAAATGAAACAAGAATACATTTTTTCACCCAAATCACTAGGTTTTTCAAGGATATATTTGGGTCATTATTATACAGGGTGTAAAAAATGTCAGCAATATTGCGTTAGAGCTAGTCTTTCCTTGGCAAAAGTTACTTGTTTTCCGTTGAGCCATCACGCAAGGCTCGAAATCGAAACTTTTACTGAGCTACCATAACTTTGTTAAATTACTCTGTGTCGTTCAAAAGTGACTTAAGAAAAATCGATTCCCAGTAGCATTTAGGGGCCTGCATCTCTGTAAAGATTTGTAATCGAGAAAATTTCCGAAATATGCATATTATATTATTTGAATATTATTGAAGAGCGGGGGTTAGCAAATTTTCACATGCAGCACAAATCTTTGAAGTTCTCAAAATTATACATAAAATCATGCTAAATATGAAATTTTTTATTTTATGAGCCTGTTTGACTGACTTAATCCGTTTTTTAGCTACACATGTTCGAAGCCAGCTTTTATCTCAACTGAGTAGGTGCAGAGTCAACCTGCTAGACACCATTTTTTATAGGACCTTGTAGCACTATTTTTTGTGCTTTATATGTATACGAGAGCTTGACATGTTAGTCTTGGGCGCCCTGTATAAGTTTCTGGTTATGGATGCTTCACCTGTGCGATCCAGCGACTGTGAATCGGGGGCTTAAAATGCACACCATCTCACCCCAAGTAGATTTCTCGCCACTTCCATTACAACTTGGCAGCGTCGTAGGACCAGCATCGCGTGCGCCGTGACGCACCGTCACTTGTCACCAGTTCTGCGTCGCGACGCCTCGTGCGAAAAACTATCCCTAATCGCTCACGCCCCGCCAAACGGGGGGCCGAAGGTTAGCACGCAATGATGTCAGCACCCGCGGAAAGGAAAGTCCAAGGCCAAGGGTGCTTTAGGGCTGAACCGGCGATGAGAAACGGGATCGTAGGGTGACACGTCAAGGCTAAAAATACAGGATTCGGCCAGCTGGCAGCAGCTAATATTTATATAAAGCGAGAACAGTCAGACGAAAATAGATTGGCGGTGAGTTGGGATGCTCTAGATGATGATGCCATTAAAGCTTCCACTGATATAACCTGTATTAAACGAGGAAGTATATCATTTTATGTGTAAGGTAACAAAGCAGCTTTGTTTTCCTCGATTTCCACTTGGCTGAAGTTGTCACGTTTTTGCTTTCTATGCAGACCTCATTCATACGCAACAGATTGAAGGATATCTACTATTTCGAGACTTTGACAAGGCTTTCAAGTTGTCCCTTTAGCTAATGAAAAACATAGAAGTATAGCTTGTTTCTGCATCCATATTATTGAATCTAAGGTACCACATAAGCTGCTTCTTTCACCACTTGTCTTGATTTAAATTTACCTATTTTCCTTTTTAATTTGAATAGGTACGACAAACAATTGTACCTTATTATATTATATTCTTGAAACGGAAGTAACATAAAACGCTTTCAATTAATCAAGTGGAATCAAAAACATACTTCTACTGATGTATATTTTATTAGTTAAGGAAATAACTCAGCCGATGTCTCATTAACACAGCAGCTTGGTTTTTCTCAACTTCCTCTTGGTTGAAGTATATACGTTTTTGCTTTCCATATAGACATCGGACCACGTATACATGCGACAGTGTTTCGATACTTCGAAGCAACAATATGACTTGGACAATGCTTTCAGATTGTTGTTTTAACTAATAAAATGAAAGCTTTCTAGAACACCAAATATTATAGATACTATTTCTTTAAGAAACTGCAAAGAGCGTCTTAGCCGTATATTCTCAAAATAGCAGAAAACTGACTAATGCGGGTTGAACAAAATGCTTCCACGAAAATACTTAATATTCAATTAATCCAGTGATTTGATATCTAGGAAACTGATTTATTGAGACTTACCACCTACCCATCTTGAAAGTTGTATGAACCTACTGAAAACAACTCAAATTTTGGAGCATTTTTTTCACGAGATACATAAGCTCCCTAACAGAAACAAACCCTCTTAATCAACTGTACAATTTTAGAGTTGCACTCAATTTTTCCTCATCTAATTATTTCACCAACAGATTGAATTAATTATATGGAAAAGATAAGCTCAGCATATTAGAAAATCGCGTGTAATTTTCAAGTTACCAGTAGCTTGTGTAACTGCTTTGAAAAAATACATGACACTGACGCCACAGAAAATCATTAAAAAGAATGTTCTAGAGGGTGCTATTTCCTATGATAAGAATAATCCCCGCGACGATTCCATGATATCTCGCAAGCTTATCACACAATCTACAGCTTGGCAGACGAGGGATGTCGCAATATGTCGATAGATACTGCGACATGCAAGACCATTTGATACTCAGGAATACAGATTTTCTCCAACGGCCATGAAAAGCATGGTGCGAAATCTCACAGAGGCAGGTGGCGGCACGCCGCGGCATCCCTTGGCTGCCAACCTATATACGATACGACGATACCTAGCAGTTGAGAGAATAATTATTGTTCTGATTTACAACTGTATTATATTCTTGGTCGCCTCATCGAGAAATACAAAAAAATTTGCTGGGTAACTTTTATTAAACGTCAAGGTGGAAAAATCACTACTTCGCGTGTCTTTAACCTGCTCTGAATTATAGGTGTAACTGGTCCAAAAAATTTGTAGGATATGAAAATACCTTCGAAATAAGATCCTAATCGGCCAATTCACTATAACGTCAAAACTGGCAAGGAAGTATTGAAATCGCGAAAAATTTCAAAATTGAGATATGTTTTTTAGATGTAAATCACGAAAAAACATGTCACTCATTCCCGTTGGTCCGTCTGTCTGTCGGTCTGTCCACTAATTTTATAAGCGCCTACAACTTGAGAAGTTTTTGAATATCGGTCTATTGGTGGTAAAGCTAGAGGCAAAAACACAAAAAAAAATAATAAAAATCGCTCAAACTTTGTTCTTTGACGTTTCAGAGGCTTCTGATCATTTTCGGTAATTCTTTTGTAGGGGTTGGGAGTTGTACGGAATAGGGGGTTTTAAAAGTAACGTCTTTAGCGTCTTTAGTATGTTTCAAAGACGTTCTATCATTAAGAAGCCTCTGATCCCGCTAACAATGGGAAAATTAAATGATAGAAGTCCAATCGTTGCGTGCACCTCGGGATGCTGCATCGTCGAGTAATAAACTCCACCTGGCCTGCGATGGTGTCGTCACTGACACACCGCTACAGAGAAATATTATGTATAGTTTAGCAATATTTGGATATTAGAAGTACGTACCAATTCAGCGTTCTGCGATGCTTTTGTAAATGATGACTTAACTGTTTTTATATCTACACATACATTTTTCTAAATTTGATGATCCTTTCAATGTACCGCCATTTCGTCTAACCTTTAATTTATGTTACTCCGTCTAAAATGGTTCTATGAATATTTCGTTAAAGTAGATTGACTCAGTACTTATGACGCTATGATTCACAACAGACACGTATTGACAAACCGACATAGATGAGAAACACGGACTTGTGTAATGCAGACATCTTTAAGCAACTTGAAATTCGAATACTATCGCGAGTTTAATACTTTTTACAGCGATTAGGTAGTTGTAGATTTTGAAAATTGAATCAAAGGCGGCAGAAATAAAATCGCTGGAACTTAGTATTATAACTTTTCAGAGATTCCTGCTCGTTTTCAGACATTGTTTTTAGGGAATGCAAATTGTAGGTTGGAAGCTGTGTGCGGTAAATGGTTTTAAAATGTTTCATATTTGGTGTCAGTGAAATATCTATTATTAAGAAGCTGCTGATCTCAGTGATACTATGCCCCTTTAGACATAATAAGTTACAGAGAGTTTCCCTACATCTGCCATGGAAACAGAAATATGGTAGATTTGCTTTATATAGTTTGATATGCAGAGGTCGAAGATTCATCGTACCTAAGTGAACCAACCTAATCACGATGTGATTTAGCCTTTTGGAACGATTAGACTCATCCCTTTTCTGTGAAAGCTCCATCGAAGGCGTAGGAAGTATACAGTCAATCTACTTGACGTCATTTTTGGACAGTCGAAATTAGGATGCTCACCATTGAAAGCCTGATGAAAAATATACGTGTTGACGAAAAAATTGTCCGTTTAAGGTTTGAACGGTGAATATACGCGAAATAAAAAAAAATACCCAGCAAAATGTTTTGTATCTCTCGATTAGGGGCTTTTTCATACACACTCAAAAATATAATTCTGTAGGGAAACAGGTATTACATTTTTTTTAGTAGGCTCGAGTTTTGGCTAGTTAACTTGGTCTATATTGCCGTAATCGGGCTAGTTAACTTGGTCTAATCTGGCGGAATGATCGCGTTACCAGTGCCGTCTTAAGCTATGTAGGTGTCCCTGGGCACACAGAAATCTCGGGCCCTGTGGTAGAGAGGTCCACGCCAGCGCAATATCCGCCCTAAAATTGAAGAACGGGGGGAGACTCAGACATTTATTTTGTTGAGCTTTTTTGGATGCCCCCATCAAAGCAGGGGTCCTGAGCCAGGATTTGAGTGCCCATAGGGGAAAGACGGAATAGCGTGTTGTCGTAGGAAATGTTTCTCGTCAGTGTGTGCTGCCGGTAGTGAAACCCTTTTCGATGCTCTCCCTTGTCGTCTCCGGAACGTGTTAGCGTTACTAATAAAATTTACCGTAATTTAGAAAAATCTGGCTACAAGGAATATGGCCAAGTATTTCTATTTTTTGGCATGCGCACTCACATTTTCAAGTCCTGTTCGTAAAGCAGTCGCCAACCTGTCAGCGACCGAGTCTATGATCCCACCACACAAATTCCGTTCAGTATGGTACGCTATACAGGGTGTTCCATAATTATTGCGACAAAATGATAGGGGTTGTAGAGGGCATAAAAATGAACAATTTTGCCTTATAAACCCCTGTTCGGAAATATGCCGTTTGGGCTGCAGCAAAAAAAAATCAGTTTCTTGAAACAGGTTACCTACAATAATTGCTCAAAGTGTCCTCCACCTTGCTCAATACACAGCTGTGCACGATTGTTCAATGATCGGCGAACTCTGTGGCATACCCCCGGTATGTCCTGAACATGTGCGGACGCGGCCATCACTCCTCCCAGTAGCTCTTGTTGGTTGGGAACAGGAGTTTCGTACACTAAAGCTTTCAGATGGCCCCAGAGAAAATAATCCAGTGGGGTCAGGTCGGGTGACCGCGCAGGACCTAGCACAGGGCCACCTCGGCCTATCCACCTATTTGGAAATTTGTCGTTCAAATACTGCCGCATTTGTAAAGAAAAGTGGGCTGGAGCGCCATCGTGTTGAAACCACATGTTGGCTCTTATGTTCAGTGGCATATTTTCTAATAGTTCCGGTAGCACATGCTGTAAGAATCGACCATAAGCATGCCCATCCAAACGTGGTGGAAGCAAATATGGCCCGATGATATGCTCGTCCACAATGCCGCACCAGATGTTAATTGAAAACTGATATTGGTCTATATGGATGGGTATGGCATGAGGGTCTTTTTCGTCCCAAATGTGACTGTTACGGCTATTAAAATAACCGTCCTTTGTAAAACAGGACTCGTCAGTGAACAAAACGTAGCGACCAAAGTTTGGTTGCCACAACTCCTGCTGTAGCCACCAACGACAAAAACGTCGACGCGGCAGATAGTCTTCTGCACCCATGGCTTGGACTTTTAAAAGGTGGTATGGGTGTAGTTGCTGGTCATGGAAAACCCGCCAAACAGTAGTTTGAGACGCTCCCATATCATGTGCAATAGCACGCACGCTTGTACGCGGATTGGCCTCTACATGATGCAGAATCGCTTCCTCAAATTCTACTGTGCGCCTCGTGAAGGGCCTCCCTGCTCCCGCGAGGTGTCTGATGCTGCCACTGACACGAAGACTTCCATGAATCCTTGCAAAAATGGCGTGATGCGGATGAGGACGTTCTGGAAACCGTTGGGCGTAGATTCACGAGGCTCGTCTTCCGTTACCACCAGCTTCTCCGTAAATTAAATGCATATCCGCAAGTTCCGCATACGAATAACGCTGCATTTTAACACTAAGGTACTATTATTCACTATCTAGTTTGACGCACCACTCAGATAAATTAAATGAATCGGTGTGGAGAATTTACGATAACAAAAATGTAAACACAGCAGTCTTTTTTTTACAAACCGGCGAGACCATGAAATATGCAAGACGAACGTTTTGCAGCTGGTGAATTTTTTGTTTCTCCTATGAGCTCTTAAGGTAAAATTAGCGGTAGTGCTCAAACGGCATATTTACGAACAGGGGTTTATAAGGCAAAATTGTATATTTTTATGCCCTCTACAACTACTATCATTTTGTCGCAATAATTATGGAACACCCTGTATAAATGAAATTCACACGGCCGGTTCCCAGACACAGTCACGACAAGTCACCCACCACTGTACAAAAAAATATTTAATTGCGTTTGGAATACACTTACACTATCAGATGGTGAGTAAAAATTGACTCTCTTACTCTTCAACAGCGATATGGCGCTCGTCATGCTACCCAGTGACCTTCCATGGTGGGATTCGGTAAAGAAACAACTGAAAAAAATAGCTAATACCAAGAACACGACGGAACTAACAGAAGGAATGCAGAAAATCTACGAGATGTGCAAGTAAAATTACAGATACATTACACTCGTTTCTAATATGCAAATGCGAAGTTTTTCCTCTAATAAGCTCATTGTTCAAACGTAGTTTATATCAAAGTTCATTAGCAGAGGAATGTTACAGGTTTATTCGGGTAATATGAGTCTTATGAGACATGGACCTAAGATAAAATTGGTTTTCCATGAACACTCTTGAAAGGTGCTGGAAAATGTTTCTTGATTCATTTAGATTTAGATCAAAGGCTCTCACTTAGTCACACAAAATTCAGCAGGCTAGTTTTTGAGCTATGTTCGATCAAAAGCAACCGATCTAAGGAAAAGATAAAGAACAAAAAACAATTTGAAATGTAATTTAATATAGACTCGAAACGATGGATGTTAGATAATGAGTAAACAATCCGATAGAGAAAACTCGTCCCTGTTGGATTGAATTACATCTTAAAATTCTCAAAGATGTTAGGCCACAACTTTACTTATCCATCAACATTCATAAGAAAAACAATTCCGAGATAATCATACTATTTTTAAAACCCGATTCGCTCAACTAGTGAAATTGTATATGTAGGTAATTTATCCATGCATCTTTAAAAACTATTATTTCTACTGGAATGCGAGTTTAAACCAATTTAGACTAAGAAATAACGGGGAACATTTTCAGTATTAGCCTGGATCCGGATGAGGAAGAGGTAGATCCTCAACAGTTTGTAGGATTGCAAAACTTTTTGGACAATGATTTGAACATGGAAGAAAGAGATACTTTCTTGAAACGAACACTGCCAGCTATAGTAAAACGAGCTTTAAAAATCAAGGATTTGAAACCCAAAGGAGGTTTGCGATTTAGTTTACAGCAGCAACGTAAGTACTATTCATGACCATTTCAATTTAATTACATATTTTTAAAGATCCGGTAACATCTTAGGGTATCGATGTCTTGATAATAGAAAGCCAACTTCATTTTATTGTTATCCAGACTACTTCATACGAAAGTATTGAGTAAAAAAGCAAAATCATAATGATATGTTTCACAGAAGCCTCATAGGGATGTGAACAGATATAGAAGAAGGAATGAACTTTTTTTCAAAATCTCCTGAGTTTTGACTAAATCCTTGCAACCTACATCGAAATCTCCAAATCCTGATTTATGAATTGTGAAGATACGTTTCTTCCTGTGGATCGGCGTCCATAATGCGTATGTTGTTGACAAAATAGCAAAAAATATGATAATACATGGTCAGTTAGATAATGAAATGGTTATATGATAATTACTGATAGTGCTTTGTGAATAACGTGCGTCGCACCCATTAAGCAGACCAACCTGTTTCTTCAAATTATTTTAATGTACATATGATGCCTCTACATGCAAACATGACAGAATTAAAATGCTTGTTTAAATGTGAAGCTCTAATGACAAAGTATGAAAACATACAGGGTCATTCAAAAAACAATGACAATATTTCTTGAGCAGAAAAAAGTTTATATAAACATATGTCCTAAAATGTGTCATTACCAAGACGTGTTCTGAATTTTATGACAGCTGACAGCTTGAGTTCAGTGTGTGTATCAACATATGTTAGAAAGGGATAGAAGCCGGCTGAAGAGCGATGGTCATCACCACATTGCTTAGCGATGGTGATGCAGAACGTCATGCAATATGTTGCGATGCCAATTACTGTCAAACCCAAGAAGGTCTGTTCGAACATTTAATTCGATATTTTTTCATATTTATTAGAATTATTTATTTCAATTTTGATGCGACTTCGTGTTTTAATTTATTTTAGAATTCCACCGGTGGTGATAAATTCAAGACATCCTGAGTTATTGTTAAATTTTGCGACACTTAGAGGTCGAAGCATATCCGCGTCAGCGTTGCTAGGCAACGGGGTGTTGAGCTTCGCTATCCAGGCGGCTTCTATCTCTTTCTAACATATGTGTCTGTTTTATTTATTTATTTATTTATACTCTACCCAACAGCTACAAAGCCAATTACAGAGTAGGGCAAAGTCCAAATATCAAAAATACACAATATCTTAGATATTACACACAAATGTAGGAAGTTCAATCACAAGGATACTTTATACAAATCTTTACAAAAATGGCAGTGTAGATAAAAAATTAAATAGCAAATAGCAGACAAGACATCATAAGGAACCACGCAGCTGACAAGACATCAGAGAAATATATCTAATTGATCCGCAATGTCATTCCCCTTACCACATGAGCTATACAATGGAGAAAACTTTAAAATATTTGTTCTAGGGGTAGGCAAATAGAAGGTATTGCATTGTCTAGCATTCAAACGCGGGACAAGGAAATTAAAATCATGCAATATATTGCAACAATCAATACGATTGTGCAATATATCAGTCACGAACTTAGCACTGCACTTATCACGCCTCTCCCTAAGACTTTGAAAATCGAAAGCCTCTTCTAAAGACTCTTGTGGATAGCCAATCGGTGGGTAGGTGCCATTTTCCTTAAAGTAAAGGTACTTCAAAAAACGCCGTTGGATATTTTCGAGTTTGTACATCCAGAAGCAGTAGGAGGGCTGCCAAATAATTGCCGCATATTCAAGCTTCGATCTTACAAGTGAGTTATATAGAAACTTAATTGTTTTAATATCCTGCAAATCGCAACCACAGCGTATGATGAAGCCCAGCTTTTTGTAACTCTCTGCAATAATTGAATCCATATGACCATTGAAGCAATATTTACTGTTGAAAATGACACCTAAATCCTTTATTTCATGCAATCGATTAAGGGGCATACCACCAATATCATAGTCAAATATGATCGACTGTGTCTTGTTCGTATAACTGACCACATTGCACTTCTCAGCTTTCAATGGCAAACTATTTTCCTGACTCCAGCAGTTGAGCATGTTTACGTTATGCTGTAACTTTTCACAGTCAGTTTGAGATTGAATGGGACAGAGAAGCTTCAGGTCATCCGCATATAAAAGAAAAGTGACATCCAATTGTAGTTCAATGTCATTTATAAAAATAATGAAAAATAAAGGTCCTAGAACAGATCCCTGGGGAACACCTGATGCAATTTTATAAGTGTTAGATTTAAAGCCATTGTGCGAAACAAAAGATACTCTATTTGACAAATAAGATTTAACAAGCAGGAGAAGATGGCCAATGACACCAAAGTCAGCTACATTGTCAAGAAGAATGCCGTGATCTACTCGGTCAAAGGCCTTTGAGAAATCAGTATAAATGATGTCCACGAGAATCTATATTTCCAGATATATACTGAGCAGTGCAGAATAAGTTTGTCACAGTTGATCGTTTTTTCATGAAGCCATGCTGTTGAGTTGATAAAGTATTATGCACATGCCAGTAAACTGCATCAGATATAAGAAACTCAAAAACCTTTGAAATGTTGTTAATTATCGTAATTTGTCTATACACACTTCTCTCTCGTGCACATTGAACTCAAGCCAATTTGGTTCTCAGTGTAAATCAGTTCACGGTTTTTGGCAGATCACACTTAAACTGAAAGGGCACACTCTTTTTAATATACGCTTCTATCCCTTACACATTACCTCGTCAGTGATATTTGGATTTCTCTGTAGATGGAATGCCCAGATTTGACAAACAATTATCAATGATCAATTTGCATCCACTGGCTTCATTCACACCAGTAGGCTTCCAGTAGTTATGTCTGGGGATTTGTTGTAGGGCATAATTAAGGGTCACATTTGCTAGACGTTCCTTGACGATTGGCTTGACGATGATCTCCCCTTGGTATTTAAAGAAAACGTTAACACTTCCTTGAGGGTATGTTCAAGCGAACATTCAACATTTGCATTTCACAGTTGTAATCACAGGTTTTCAAAATTAGGAAAATTTTCCGGATTTTTCACAAATTTGGACATTTGCAAATTATGCAATTTTTTAAAACTGTTCACATACTTCAGGAGATTTTAAAAGTTTAGAAATTTTTTAAGGTTTGAAAATTTCTAAATGCTCGAAAAGCATGAAGGTTCTAAGAAAATTTTTAAAGCCTGTTACAGCCTACAGCATAATCTTAAATCCTCCTTTGACGTTCCTTAAGCAGGGGTTATTATTTATGCAAAATCCCAGAAAAGATCATCGTTAAAACGACACTCAATCATCAAGGAACATCTGTAAATTTGAGATACAGAATACTAGCTTTAGTTTCCGGCGAAAGCAGGGTAGTGATAAAACAAAAATCGCAAAATATATGAACTCTATACATTCAGTAAAATTAAGCAGCCAATGCTTCTTATCTAACACTACATGTAAGATGAAATAGAATGACAAATAAAATGTTTTCTTCTATTAAAAAACAAACTTAACTAATAAAGGCTTGAGACGAAAGTAAATCACAGATTAGAAAAATGTCCTTTTTGATTTCAAGTAAAACCAACTTTAAAGAGAAAATCCACCATTATCACTAAAAAAAGTAAATAAAATTTACAAACTGCGGTTTATAAATGCAATTTTTTGCGTTTGTTGGCTAAAGCTGCCCTTCACTTCAAGGAAAATGCACCTAGGAGCCTTTTCGGCTTTCCGTCAGCCGGATATCCTGGCAAGTAAGACTACTTGCACACACACCGATTTTGGACGGCCGGTAAAATATCGATCGATTTTTTATCGGTAGGCTCTGCTTACACACGCCGGTTTTTACCGGTGTAGTGCTGATTTCCAATATTATTTTTAATGAATCCCCAACGAGTTGTTGCAATGTGGTTACTGTACCAGTGTATAAAGCGTCGGAGAATTAAGCGAAAGTTCTGGATTAATTTTTCTCTTTGGACTCCATTTCTTTAAAATGCTCATTCAGTTCGCTACAAACTTGGCTCCATGCTTCTCTAGTAGCATTTCTGCCTTTAAATATGTCCAAAGTTTTATCCCATAAAACTGGTCTTGCTTGCATTAGCGCAATAAGTATGTCATTATCGATGTTCATCTCTTTATCCATTGTAAACATATATGCAGACGTAACCATGGCCATTAAATAATGGGCGAGTGTGCAAGCTCCTATTCAAACACCAATGCCTCTATATTCCCGGTACCGGCGCATCACAGTGACAATGTCCGGCTACTAACCGGCTTTTTTCCGGTGCCGGTCGGCCAGTGTGCAAGCTTCAATGCCCTCCAATGGTTTACTATTACGAGTAAAATGTGGTCGGCCGATGTTTTACCGGCCGTCCAAAATCAGTGTGTGTGCAAGTAGCCTAAGGAACCGTACATCAGCACGGCAGTATGTAAAAAACATAAAAAAACGTCAAAAAACTACAAAGTGTCATCTTGCAGACTTGGTAGATTTTAGTGAGCAAGTAGTTCATTCCACGTTTGCTCGCTATGATCGCTGTTCTCTGACGTTTCTGCAACACGTACAGCTACAAAACGAGTTCACAGCAAGTGTGCAACAGCTTGTGCTAATTTAACATCTTGTAGAAAAACCAACGTTATGTCACAAAAAATCTACAAAATGTCACTTTTCAAGTTACGTAATACCCGCACGGGGATCATAGCGATCACACATGAAATGAACTATTTGCACGCTAAAAACTACATAATCTGCAAGATGGCATTTTGTCGGTTTTTTTTCGACGTTTTTTGAGTTTTTTACAAGATACTAGACTTTCATGGTTGAGCATGAACCACAGAAAAATTTTAGACCAGCGTCTAGACAAACTTGTCATCTTAAGAGTACTCGAATGTTATAAACTACCTATATCTTGGTTTATTAACAATTTATCTTTCAGCTGACACTACAGAACTGCAATACTCCTTCATATCCTCACTGATAGCCAATGCATTCTTTTCAACGTTTGCATTAAGAACTGAAAAAACTCATCCCACCCTTCAGAACTTCAACTTTGCCAATTTTTTCAAAACTTTGAACAGCCACGTACAGAAATCCAAACTGAAGAGTATTCTGTACTACTTCGAATGGCTGGAAAATAATGAGAATGTTCAAGGGTCATTAAGGATACATAGACAGGTAAACAACTTAAGAAGCATTTTTTTCATTCTTTGGGCAACGCGCTTTAAAGTAAAACAGTCGTACATAATAATATGCAAAGTAATAAGTAATACTAGATGATTCTCTTCAAACGTTTTTAGGTGATGCACAGTAAGGAATGGTTGACGATAGAAGACTGGCTGGAATGTAGTCTACCTCTTTGTCCCCTGAGGATAAAACATGATACAAAATTGGAAAGATGCCAAGAAGAATCTTTACGTATTTGCTTTTGCAGCGCAAAAATTGGAGGGAATGTGCTGAAAAGCGGATGTACTCAGGTACTTTTTATAACCAGCGATTTGTTACATCTATTCGTCACTGTCTGTCAGAGCGGTCCGTAGGACCTTTGCTCTTGGTTAAAGTATTGTAAGTCAGTAGGTCTGTCCAGTCTGGTTACCCAGATACTAGGCAAGAAAGGGGGGAAGAAGAAAGGGTGAGCAAAGAAGAAAGAAGTGCGTCAATTGGAAGCGTTACTTGGCATTGTTAACTAGTATTGGGGAAATTTTAAATTGATCCTAAAATTAATTAAGATATTGGTTATTGAAGACAAATTTTATTTTTGGTTGGACCTAAAATCGCACGATTGAATTTTGTTCACAGTGCGAGTCGCAGCCTTGTGTGCTTGCGAACTTGTTCGACTGTGTAGTCTACTGGATCGCCCCACAAAGGGTTGCTATGCGATTCCACTTGACTATAACGTAGCTGCGCTTGCTGTTTGATGTAGTCCCTTAGTTAAGGGATGTCTACATCTCTGTGAAGGATTTCACTGGAGACATACCATGGGCCGCTAGTGATTGTACGGAAGGTTCTGTTCTACAAATACAGCAGACAACGCAAATCCGATTTGGCGAGAAAACACCGAGCCGCACTTTCGTAAGTGATCGCTGGTCTAATAACTATCTTGTATGGCCGAACTTTGTCGATCAAACTTAATTTTAAGGTTCTACATAGCATAGAGTAGAGTTGCCGAAACGTGATTTGGAATTTAGTTTTTAACGCTTCAATTTGTTTCTGCCAGGTTTGGCCTTATCAAGAGTGACATCGAAGTACTTCGCAGAACTTTCCCATGCTACCTGAGCTCTGTTCACTGAAACCTCAGATGACGCGTCGCTATGTTTTTTAGTACAATAGATAACACGCGCTTTCGAATGAATAATTATGATCAGCCATCGATCCGCCCATTCCAATACCTCGACCACCGCACTTTGCATCCTGTCGTGAACCAGATTCCCAAAACACGACTGGGCAGGGCAGTGTCAACAGCAGTGAGATAGATTTCACAGTTGCCGGGGCAAGGCACGTTATGAATAAAGCGCAAGTTGCCGTGTTGTCGACAGAAGGTTTTCCAATTTTGATCCTATATGGCCTTGACGCTCTGCTGGTGTGCATTGAGGGATCTCAGGAGATTCCGCTTGATGTGCCAAGCGACTCTTCAGATTAGTAATCTTCTGTAGAAGACTCCTCTGAGCGATATGATACATTTGGTTTCTGATAAAATCCGCGGTGATTTGAGGTACCGATATCACCATTATTAATCAAATTGTCTTGTTGTATGTCTAAATCTGCATCTTCGACCAAGGTCATCCGAAAAAGTTTTAGACTCCAAGCTTTGTCTACCACTGCCACTGAACTGGTGAGGAAGAATTGTAATCGCGAAAAATTTCGAAAATGACATATGGTTTTTGGACGTTACATGCCATGTATATCATGTCATTCGTTTCCGTCGATCTGTCTGTCTTTGGCAGGGACTAAAAAGCTCTTCAGTTTTTGAAAATCGATCCAGTAGCGGCGAAACAACAAGTAAAAAACGAAAAAACTAAATATTAGCATTTAACGTAGGGTCGATTTTGAGATAGAAGATGATGCTGGCTATCACTCGTGGGCCCTAGAGTCAAATTCTAATTCGGAATCTGAGCAGTCAATTTACTTGGAAAACGAGTTTTTGTCCAGATCACAGATAAGCAAGTGTTTTTAGAAAGTATATGCTTTCATTTCCCGTTATACTGTAGGAAGCAATCTCGTTGATTTTTTAATTTTCCAGGAATGTATAAACTTAGTAACGATGCCAGAACTGTTGACTGTACTATTGAACGTAGAAACTCTAGAAGATAATGAAGTACTAACTATTGAGAAGGTGAGGCATATATCTAGAATATTAGATCCCAAACATCGAGCTACCTTGGAGAAAATGGAAACATCAAAAGAGGTAATAACATGTTTCAAAAGATTATAGAAATATTCTATCAGTATCGCAGCTATTTATTCACTTCATAGGCATGATCTCAATAATTGGAAGTATATATAAATGAGAGGAAAGCTTTGAATCAATCTACTTGAGCACATTTCTTAGGTGACAGTCTGCTGCATCGACGCGGATGACTACACCAAACTACCAGTTGGACAATACGAGGAAGACAATATTCTTAGAGAACTGAACAAGTGTCTTTTAGGATTCCAACAGAAACAAACCAAGACTGAAGTTGATAGCCAAACTGTTAGTTCGACATACAATTTAAGGAGAAGATTGTCGCCCATTGGAGAATCGATGAGTAAGTATCCATATCATCTTTTTTCAGCCACATTAGCCCTTTTTTCCGAACGCGGACACTAAAACTAACAACAGCACTAAAAATCGAACTTGCCAGCCCTTTGAACCGAAATCAAACTTTTCGACCAGTCTGCTTCATAAATATCGGCTCTATCAAACGTGCTGAATATCTCAGCTCTAAAAAGCTGGAGTTTAGAAAATGTTCATACAGGAAATCTCAGAAAATACTATAGAACTTTATGGGGTAAAAATTTGGGCGCTGAATATGTCACATCCATATACAGTATGTTACTATAATAGTCTGAGAGTTCCTTATCATGCTGAGATTGCGCTAAGTCATCGTTTCGAATTTTAAGGTGGCACCACGCAAAACCAGCATAGCCCTCCAAAAACAGAAGCGAGTATGAGGCTAGCAGTCGGTTTTCAATGTCCCAGATACGTAACCCTCGTCCATCTTACCGAAAACCCCAAAACCCCTCCAAAAAACGCAGAAACCTAACCAGAACTGTTGTTGTATTGGCCAGACAAGCAAGGGGTTATTATGCATATGTAAACCACAAGCTGAGTTTCAGATGTCACATTGATATCTTCAGAATTCTTTGTTTTAAAAATAGTGCAAAAAATACGTGCCCCTTAAAGAGCTTGAAAATACCATGCTTTTTGAACGAAGTACGTAAAATTTTGATTAGTGCTTTAAAAGTTCTATACTATATATTGTATATTTTTGAGAATCATTGAAGCTACGTAATTTAAAAAGAATTAGATGAAAGTTGAAATAAACATGGATCTCATTAAGAAAATCGTGATTGATATATTTTCCTGTTTTTAGGAGGCACAGTATCGATTCTTTCCATATACAATTTTTTTATTCATCTCAGAATAAACATATATTGAATATTAAAGCTTTAAAACTGATTTAAAACCTCCGAGGCTACCATTTAAGAGTTTAAAAAAATCACACAAAATTTTTCACACATCAAGATATCTAATCGCAAAGCAAGAAAAAATATAAAGGTTCCCAGAAAATGAATTTTCGTGCAGAACACAATTACGTATGAGATTCTAAAATTGTGTTCAAAAGAAACCTCAAAGAATATGTGACTTTGTAGGACATTTCTCTCAAGTAATTTGGGTCCTGAATTGAAATATTAATGTCAAAGAATCGTGAAATGTCATGAGACCGGACCTCAAGAGCATTTGGCTCCAAGTCTTTTCGGTTGATCCATTCATCCAGGAGCCCAAGGCCCCTGCGTTACGTCAGTTTTTTTGGCAAAACATTTTTTTATTTGCATTTTCTCTCTTATCTCGAAGGTTCTACGTCTTCCGAACAGAAAAAGTTCCCAGTGATCACGCAAACATCCGCCAGCACCAATCAAAGCGACTCAGATTCTCCAATCAGTGAAAATAACAATACCGTCTCGACTAATAAGCTGCGAGTTATGCAGCTGGAGATGGAAAACGCTCTACCTCTGAAGAAGAGCCAAATCGAAGCTTTCGTGCACAATCGCAGAGGAAGGTTCATCGTTCTCGGCTCTTCCGGGGAATGTCTTCCTGTCAACAGGTTTCCCCTGGATGACCAGAAATCGGATAAGAGTAATTATTCCAGTTGCGAGTCTTCGTCAGAAAGCGAATTCCATAGTGCCGAAGATAGCTCACAAGAAACACAAGGTAAAGTCATTTAGGTTTTCTATAGAGTGGTTTTCCTGAATCAATTTGATCCGTTCAAAGGCCCAACTTTTTTGAAAAGCACTATATGCCTATAGAGAGAAAACCAAATTTGTCTGATGGCTTGAGATCAATGTGTACGAGAGAGAAGCGCGAGAAGTTAGAAAGAGATAGAAGCCACATTGTCTAGCAACAGTAACGTAGGACGTACAATCTGCCACGTTGTCAATATGTTACACCAGAAAATGTTCGCTCAGGCTTCTACACTGGGTTAGGTTACTGTCAAAGATGTAATTTTGATTAGAATTATGAATTTCAATTTTGATACGACTCATTATTTAATTTATTTTAAAATTATCTTTGATTTCCACCGATGGTGATAAAATCAACACATGCTGAGTTATTGTTACATTTTGCGACAACGAACGGTCAGAAAATGTAACAAATACTTACCATTACGCAATACAAATTATCACTGCCTGCGTGTACGCAGGTGAAAACCATTTCGAAGCAGGACGACCGTCTCCAATGAACGCTAGATGGATACTGACCAAAATTTATGATCATGGAGGTGGAAAGCTTGCCTTGGAGTGTACGAGATGCGGTGTTGCCAAGCAAACCAATGATGCAATGTTACAGAATTGGTGGTTATCCTGACTTAAAATGAAGCGCCGTTAGGATTGATCCGAAATCGATCCCAAACAGATTCGACACAATTTACAATTATTCAAAAATGTGTACGCTCCAAATAAAACCATTACTTGAGCGTAGAGAATAAACTAACGCAAATTTTAACGTGCATCTTAATTCAACCAACTGGTGTAACATATTGGCAACACGGCACATTGCCTCGTCATCGTTGCAATGCAATGCAGTGATGAGCTTCGCTATTCAGCCGGCTTCTATCTCTTTCTAAAATATATGAGAGATGTTTTAAGGTATTACGTGGTATTACCAGTGTGACAGCTGGAGGTACTTTTTCCCATAGCCGCTAGCTAAACAATCGCAAGTAGCATGCCCGGAAACAATGAAATGGGGCTGTACGTAACGCGCGCTCAGCTACAAGAACTATGAATAGATGATTATCTATTTTGTAATTTTGCATAAAGCTTAAGGGCGGATCCATCTTTCAGGGGGAGATGACTTCATGGGGGTTATCAGCGATTAAAAATTAAAGAACGGAGGGGGGCAGCATCTATGAATTAGAAAAGTTCTGACACCATTAAAAAAATATTGGTCAATCTGGGGGGAGGGGATGACCCCCATGACCGTTCCCTGCATCCGCCCTTGATGCTGCTCAAGTTTCATAAGGTAGGATTTTCAAATATTTTTATAATTATTTTACGAAATGAATTAATAGATAAGGGAAAACATTAATACAAAAAGAAAAATATTAAAAACCTTCCTTTCAAATTTTGAGGTTACGTTTCAACGTACCTCAAGTTTCATATTTATGGTCTCTTTTATTAATTTCAATAAATAAAGAAGTTAAAGAAATTCACTTGTTACGAGTTTTGAACTGGTTAATCTCAATAGGTCTGGTAAATAATCTTATGAACATAGAAATAAAATGAAAAACAGAAGCCTTGGGAGTCTGTCTGTGGCGCTATCAGAGAGGACGTTGACAAGTTGACATATCAGTAAAACGCTTTTCTACCATCCACGACAGAAATGAAGTTTAGGATCGCATCTCAAGGAAGTGTCACCGAGTAGTCAATAAATTCTATGAACCAGTGCTCAGTTCAAAAATGCTGAGAACGGTAAAAGTGAAGTTTAAAAACCGGTAGATTCGAAAAATCAACGGTAGATGTTGAAAAACGAGCCAATGGACCGATAAAAAGCTACTTTTGATACGCTCCAAACTCTCAAAACACAGCAAATTGCTCCATTTTTTTGAGGAAAACAATAGGTCTGGATATCTAGCAGGGCGTATATGACGGAAGCGTGTGCAGTGATATGCCGTAGAACTACCGTAAAAACCGTAGAACTGGCATCACAGCTCTGGACCGACCCTCGTGCTGACAATATGCTGGGACCGCAACTCCCTAGATATGTGAGCAGTATTCTAGAACGTGTCTTATATATTCTTTCTACAAAGTGTGAAGGTCAGACGGTGATAGGTACATTCTAGCTTTAAAAACATTTCATAGCTTCTTTCCGAAAGATTTTGTAATGTACGAGAATGGATAACTTTTTGGTAAAGTTCGGTTATTCATGATAGCATGATGTACATTTGGGAGGCTCTTGTTGATCTAAATACTTGAAAACGTTAGGCTCCACCATATTGACACGTCACTAGACAATGTTGACTTCCAATAGAATTCACCAGTCAGTACCTTTACATATTAGATTGATATAACTTGATGATAGTAATTAAAGATTATTTTAGGTAGTGAAGAAGAGCGGAACTACCATAAACGATACAGCATAGAACTGGAAACGGACGAAACACGTAACAACTTTGCTCAAAGACTTAAAGAAGCGCTAAAAAAGGAAATGTCATCTAGTACAGAAGCCAGCACCAGTATAGACGAGAGTTATGCAGTCGGTATCACTGTTGCCGGCTCTGAGTTACAAGATCGCAATATCAGGTACCTATATTCATATTATCTATCATCTCAAAGGAATATCCCACATGGAATGAACAGTGTCATATTATGATTGTGGGTGATCTTACAGACTTTGTAGGTAGGAATACTTTTGCAGATTCTCTCTTTTAACGTATTGCAGCACAACAACGATATACAAGATTTGGTTGATTTTCCAAAACAAGACAAAAATACTCTTTTTTACACTTTTAGAAAACTTATTCCAGATCTTGATACTGTTCTTAGATTTTTTGTTCGAGTATTACGGTTTGTGAAGTATCCGTGGTGGGATACAAAACGACCCTTTTTCGTTCAACGTCTGATATCTCCGCGAGAAGCTAACGTAGATAAAAGTAAAGAAAAGGAAATTGGAGCTGCATAAACAAATTATTCGATCCATACGATGGTTTCCAAGCCCACAGACCAAAAAAATATGCAAACAAATTGTAAACGATTTTTGCGCTATTGCTTAGGATTGCGTGAGAACCGCTACTGTAAAAATTGTTGGTGTGAACGATCCGAAAACTATAGAATCTTGTTTCAAAATGCTTTTTTAATTCTCGATACGTCCATTTTTCACGTAAACAAACTCACCAAAAATCTTCCTTGCACCCTTTCAATGTTTGCAAAAAGTGTCGTATAGAACCAGGTTGATTTGCTGCTATATGTTGTTCATTCGTCATTGTCCGTCAGAGCGGTCCGTGGGACCTTTACTCTTGGTTAAAGTATTGTAGGTCTGTCAGGTCTGGTTGCACAGATATCAGACAAAGTCATGGAGAAAGAAGGGAAGAAGAAAGAAAGGAAGGAAGGGAGAGGAGCAAAGAGAAGGAAGCGCACCTGTTGGAGGGGTGCCTTGACATTACTAACTAGTATTCAATAATTCACACTGATCTAAAAATTGATTTAGAAATTTATATGTGTGGAAAAATTGTACTTTTGATGCTATGTGTTGTGTTGGGTACTATACTTACGATATAATGAGTAAAGACCTTAACCCTCAAATTTATATATATTTTCCAGATTAAAACGAGGAGATTCCACAGGTTTCGCATTGAAAGAAGATTCGTTAGATGAAGACTTCATAGCAAATTCCTTAGATCAGGGAAGGCAGTGGGTAGACAAGTTCAAGGACAAACAATCTGCTTTAACTAAGAAAGATTCTAACAAGTCATCTGATTATAGTTTCAGTACAGACTACAGGTAACTACGGTATTTTGATTAGATTTTTACTTAGATTCTCAATATTTTAGCTCTGAACTGGAAGAAGCATACGATCAGTTCACCAAATGGTTGGAGAATCCTCTGTTGGAGACTGAAAAAGGCACAAAAAGAGAATTGGATGCCAGAGAATTGGCCGTTTTGAAATTTGCAGGTGGGTGGATTAACATTTTTACGAAGAAAATTATTCAGAGACATTTACTGATGTCCCCCTCTTACTTCACCATCGTGTTTCATCACATCTCTTCAAATTATGTTTTTTTGGCAGCAGCAATGTCTAGTACCTACCGTTTTTCACGTTTGTAGAACTCATATGTTTACTTTACCACCCTTGTACAAAACCATATTTTTAGGTAGTTAGAAAAAAAGTTCTTACAAATACATGCCGCAAAATATTCCGTTACTAAAATAACCAATCGCAAAACTGTCAGTACCAATCGAAATAAGACAGCACAAAGTGCCATCTATCACTGCGAAAGCGAAACCAGCAAGCTATCTGTTGGAACTGTATACCAGTTGGCACTGACACCCGGGTCACTATTGTGGCCGCTAGATGCCCCCGATTCTGGTACTATGGTAGACCTGGTCTACTCGCCATTGAACAAACTAGTGATACAGCTTTCATCCGACCACAAAGGACAGCTCTTCATGCTATTTGGAAACTTTTCAGCATGCTTAAGACTTGGTCTCGGTGGACAATGAACGGACGCTAAGAAACTCTACTCTCTTCAGAGTAGAAGGTCAGGCGAAATAAGACAATACAAAGTGCCATCATCTATCACCAGAATAGATCACTGCGAAAGTGAAAACAGCAATTGCCAGACTACACCAAGCTGAAGATTTGCCAACTAACACGAAACAGCTGTCCATGGTTGGTATCTGTGGTCGAACCAACGAAAACTATATTACTTGTCAGTACCAAGTTTTTATCGCTTTCTATCATACATGTAGGATCCCTGTTGAAACGGACCCTGAGTGAATCATTTGCTGGAGTACCCGTACCTATGGCAGAAGGTTGTGTTACGAATACAGGATGTACTGAAGATTTCAGTACACGTAAAAATAAATTGGTATTGAATGCCAAGTCATTGAGCCTGGAGCTTGCGAGACAAAAACACAGACTTGCTTCTCAACTGGTAAGTAAAAACTCGAATGAGAGGTATAAAGGTTACTAGGATTTCACTGGTTAGCTTGTATATTATTTACTCAACAAATAGGACAGTAAAATAATAAAATGTGGGTTTTCATATCAACATAACCAAGTAAAAAAAATTCACGAACCTTTGAACTACGTAACTGTCTTGACCTTGTTGAGGTATTGTGAATTCCAATTTTAGTGATTTTTTTATTCGCTCCATATTGTAGCGTTTTTCTGGGTTCTTTTGGGTGTGGATTAAAACACTGAATTCCGCAAAAAGAAATGCACTAATTTATTTAACTTGACTAGATAGAACATTTATGTACACCAGGGCTGTCCAACATACGGCCCGCGGGTCACATGCGGCCCGCGAACTCCTTTCTTGTGGCCCGCTTCACGGGTCATGTATACATCACATGTATAAATTACTCTCAAATACCGAATATGCACATTTTTTACATTAACATTAATAATGTTGTATAGAAAGATTTCTGTACTGTACTCTACTCTGCTTCCATCTGTCGGCCGTCGGGTTATATAGCCGCATCGCAGGGACTCGTTGATTCGAGAAGATTCCGGCGAGCCACAAAGCGGCAGTCCAGAATCTTCGAGGTCACTTCGCGTCGATCTAGAAGGAGAGTCTCTGGCACGGTCCGCAAGAGAGATTGGCCATGAAGCTCTGGCGAGTAGGAGAGTCTGGCGCGGTCCCCAACAGATGACAGCAACAGTACTGTTCATTCTTGTTATAATATCATTGTCATTATTATAATTTTCAGTTGTCTCAAATAGCGCAATGCCCAAAAGATGGTCCAAAACCGGTTTCAACAGGCAACTGGGGTTGTGGATCTTCAAGAAAAGGTGACGTTCAACTGAAGGCGATGGTCCAGTGGTTGGCTGCTAGTGTTGCCGGGATTCCTTATCTGTCTTACTGTACTTATGGACACCAACAACTTGTCAAACTTGACACGGTAGGTATTGAAGAACCATTCATTCAAATGGTAATTATGCAGGATAAAAACAAACATGGATGCTTGTGGGCAAAATTCTCGCGCTCGTATTGGCTTATTGTCTAACACTCAGTCTACTGGCCAATAGTAAAGCGACAATTTGACGATCGAGGCTCGAGCTTACTGACCCAGCATGTCATCTGAATAAGACTTACGTATCATATGAATTTCATAACATGGTCTATCCTTTAGGTCCGGAGAATACTAGTCGATAGAAAATGGACGGTCAAAGACCTAGCCGAAGCGATTTTACGTTACTCTAAAAACGTTCTGCATGGAAGAGAACTGAGTGGTACGCTGTTTGAAGATTTGATAGGGGCGAATAGTGACAGGACTGCATAGTTTTTATAACTCTTCTTTCCACTTGATATACTGAAAAAATGTTAATGCATGTTTCTTCCTCAATAAGCAAGTTATTCCCGGCGTGGTAAAATGAAACTTCGCGTGACTTTCAACGATCAGTGTACTGTCTCACTGGCGAAATGCTGTATCACGCACTTTTGATTTGTCATCTCTGTACATACCTCCTTTTGACATAGCTTAGATAACAATCAGCTATGAAACTCTCCTGCCACTGTCAAAAACGGCCGTCATTTTGGCGGGAAAGTCGGATGTAAATTCCCCCAGTACGATGAAAGGTTTTAGTGCTCAGCAGCAGCCGGTGTTGCCACGTATCATTCCAGCGGTCGCAGATATTATTTGCAATCGTAAAAAATATACTACTCCGATAAGATCTGGTGCAGTTTGTGTGAACAAATAATAAAAAGTAATATGATTTTCCAAAATAAGCTACGAAGTATTGATGACTATTTATTTATGAAAAAGTCTTAAAAGAAATTCTTATTGGTGGAAGTATTTACAATAAACAGAAAAATATCTTGTCATCCATTCTTTGCTGCTGCGATATTCTCAATTCATTCCATTTTCCATATAAACACTGTTAAAACACCGCAATCAAATCTGATACTTCCGATCACTCCTCAGCCTGGGTTACATACACGGCGCGTTTTTAATGTGGGTAGTTTCGATATTTTAAATACCTACAAAAGTTCGTTATAAAAATTGTAGGCAACTATACGGTCCTTACTTGTAAAATATGCCACCCTCCACAAGGTGATTCATCATTACATAACAAGACATACATTTTTTAAATAATTTTGTTTAAAATGAGCAAAGAATATGAAAATATTCGTGCAAAATGGTTTAATTTTACTGATGAACAATATTTATATATATATATATATATATTTATTAAATCTGAATTATTCCAAAATATCGAAAAATATAAATTACTTCTATTGAGTTTCCCATAATCTTAGTATGTATTCCAAAAAAACTGTGTATAATACTATAATTCTTCCCCATTTTTTATATTGTTCAATCGTCTTGTTTACAGCAAATGAAAACATTATTATAAATTCTACAAAATAATGCTACGAGAATCATTTTAAATAAAAACAAATATGCTAGGATTAAGTCTATGTTAGAAGAACTGCAGTGGTTGGATGTGAAAAATTTCATATATTATTTAGTTCTCGTTTTCATATTCAAATTAAAAAATCATTTATTAGAACCACATTTAGAGAACTTCAAAAAATTAAATAGTCATTATCATAACTACGAAACTAGAGACAGTATAGATTTTCATCTGCAAAATTGTAATAGTAGCATAACTAGTAAATCTATATTTCAAAAGGGAGTATTTGAGTTTAATAAATTGAATAATATTAAACGGAGTTCGAATTTAAAAATGTTTAAGGTGAAATTAAAAAATCACTTTATGAATAATCAAAATACATAGTGACGTAATTTTAATTTTAATAGACAAGAATGTAAAATTACAGAAAATGGATTGAAGAAGAATATGTAACCGAATCATTATACAAAATTGAGATTGTAGCATTAATGCTAAATAAGTATTCAACAACAACAGCTACAACAACATAACATTGAAAATGCAATGGATTGATTATATCGCAGCAGCTTAGAATACATAGCAAAAGTAAATATGTTTCCGATTATTGTAAATACGTCCACCATTACAAATTTATGTTAAAGCTTTTTTATAAATAACTAGTCTTCCGTCGCTTCTTTTTGAACAAATATACTCCTTTTTATTATTGATTCACGCAAACTATACTAGATCATATCAAGGTATTATCATTTTACGATTGCTGAGAAGATCTGTGGCCGCTGACATAATACGTGGCGACATCGGCTGTTGCTGAGCACTAAAACCTCTTTCATCATAGTACTGGGCGAATTTACATTCATTTTCTCCGCCGAAATGGCAGCCGTTTTTGACACTGGCAGGAGAGTTTCAGTTGTTATCTAAGCTCTGCTTTTGATCAGTCACTAGTTGATCATTTATGACATTGTATGATTTGAGACGAGATACCTCCGTTCATTTCAAGAAAATATGTGTGACGTCACTCACGGTGTCACCGATAACTTTTTTGTATGAACGAATTATAAAATGACAAGAACAAATAATATATACGAGGGGGTACCCAAAAAAACCAGGATTATTTTTTAAAAGCTATTTATTTTCAACTTTTTCACAAATTAACCTATCTCCTACAAAATACTGTCCACTACAACTACACTTGTTCCACCGGTTCTTCCAGTGCTCGAAACAATTTTTTTAAATCTTCCTTAGGAACGTCTGACAGCTCCTCTCTCGTTTTTTCCTTGACCTCTTCAATGTCTTCAAAGCGGCGTCCTTTCATGCCCCTTTTCATCCGTGGAAATAAGAAAAAGTCGCACGGAGCCAGGTCAGACAAATAAGATGCGTGAGGCAGCGGAACCATGCCATTTTTAGCCAAAAACTGTCGAACACAGATGGCTGTGTGCGCAGTTGCATTATCGTGGTGGAAGAACCAGTCCTCTGACTGCCACAAATCGGGTCTTTTTTGCCGAACACTGTTTCGCAATCGTCTTAAACCCTCCAAATAAAAGGTCTGATTGACAGTGTTACCAGGGGGAACAAACTCGGAATGGACTACGCCTTTGACATCCAAAAAACAAATCAGCATTGTTTTGATGTTTGATTTGACTTAACGACATTTTTTTGGACGGGCTGACGATGGCGTCTTCCATTGACTTGACTGTTGCTTCGTTTCTGGGTCATAACCGTAGCACCAAGTCTCAACACCAGTGATGATCTTTGTCAGAAAATTTGAATCACATTCAAGATGTTGTTTCAAAGCACATGTTTCAACTCGGTGTTCTTTTTGATTGTCAGTCAGAGCCCGAGGAACAAACTTGGCAGCAAATCTTTTCATTCCCAAATCTGCAAGCACAAGCTCTCGAATTTTTTCAACATTTTCGTCGATTCGAGCAGTCCTGAGCGAGATTTGTCATCAATCGTATGTCGCCATTTTTAAATCGAGCAAACCACTCGTACATCTAAGTTTTTCTAATAGCATCAACTTTGTAAGCTATTTTCAACATTAAAAGTTTCAGCAGCATTTTTACCAATTAGAAAGCAAAATTTCACAGCTGCACGTTGGTCACTGAAGCTTGCCATCGTAAAAAACGAAACAAGCACGAAACAACTCTAGCAAAAATAATGACTAAAGAGGTACGGAACAAGCCAGATCGACAACTCAGGTGGCACTGAACTAGTAATTAGTTGCGCTGTACGCCTCTAGGGGCAGAAATGTGTACTACACAAGCTCCGTCCACTGCAACGCTATTCCGGTTATTTTTGGGTACCTCCTCGTATATATATACATCTGAGTATAAAAACATAGTTTCCAACTCAATAAGCACATTTATAAACCTGTGTGTACCATATATTTGTATATTTTTGATGATAAAATATAAAATTCATAAACGATTATAATACAGGTATTAGGTGAGCCGCCATCAGTACTTGTTGCAAGTTATATTTACAAACTAGGCCTGTATTAAATATTATATTTTTAATTACCTCAAATAATTTTTTATTTAGTGAATCTTTAGGATCAGCATGTGTGCCAATATGGATGTTACTTCAGTCTCTTGAGGGAAATTTTACTTTTGTTTTATATAACATCATTTTATGGAGAACTGACTGTATCAACTTGATGATAAATGTTGTAAAGTTGCACCGTCAATTTAAAGTCTTTCCAATTTATATCAAAAATATTTTATAGCAAGTCTTACAAATAAGAAAACAATTTGTATTAAAGGATTGTTTATTTCAAAATTAAATACAGATCTACATAACTAATTAAAAGAAAATTCCTCTCATTCTCCTTCCCAGTCCCTGTCTATCATACAAAATGTTAAATTTATTCACAAACTGATTCAAATCATTGCAACCCTTTGTTAGTGTTCCTAGGTAAGTCATTAGACCAACATCATTACATTGCTGAAAAGAAAATAAACATAAGTTTTTGAAAATTGAATCATGTTATTTAAGGCACCATTCCCATTTACGATATCGAAAGAAATCTATAGTTCTTACTGTTTACCACATGGCGCCAACAAATGAGAAAGGTGTCTTAGTTGGCCAACTTTTTTGGAAGCCAATTTCTTGGTTATATCTGTTTTTGAACATAGATTTAGATTCCATTTCCATTCAATAGATAATCAGATAATAAATAAATTGGGTTAACTCACATTATAAAAGTCTTGACGGAATCTAGCGCCATCTATGACAGGCAATCTATGACATAACGAATAAGCTTCTCTGAGAATCTCATGGTTCTTAGGCAACTGACCCTTCTGTACTGCTTTCATGTACTCAAGCACAAGTCTCACACGTGAATGCAACATTTTTATTGCACTGTGCTGTGCAGTCAAATGCTCTGCAACTAAAAAAGCAAATATACTAAGTGACATATATATGCCACACCTAGAATTATTTATTGGATTTTGATAAAAACTCATAGAAGTATACGCTGATAAAATGTTGAAGGCATTCCGAGACGTACTTTTTTTGTCATATCAGGATCCGAACAATATGAACATGTTTACTTAATATTCAGTGATTTTTCTGTGTTGGCTCCATTTGTGTCATTGTTGTTTCCTTGCATTATCATGCCTTGAGAGGGATCGGATAATCGGGTTACGTGAAGCCGAATTTTCTTTTAGAGAAATCGCTAATCGGGTGAATCGAAACGAAGCACTGTAATGAGAGGTTGTCGAGCGTGGATTCAAAAAGGCCGAAGTCGACGAGTTAAGGCCTATTCATACTCAGCCGTGACGTGACAGTGCTGTGACAGCACGTGATGCGCCCGGCGAAACTAAAAACATTCTTCCTGGAATTTGGATGAACTGACTCACACTAGACCGGCACGTGGAAGTGGCCGTGTTGTCAGTGCCCTCGTCGACGCCGTACCGTGATAATCGCATTGTTTTGGAACAATATTTTTCGATTTTCACGGCCGTGTTTTTATGTAATTTCGTGAATATTTTGATATAATTGGTCAAACACATGAATGATGAAAAACTAATTGAATTTGTACGAGTACATCCCGTGATGTAGAACCAGTCAAATTCAAAATACAAGGACTTCCGTTTTCTTCTGGTTTCTCTTCATCTTTCGTAGGTGGTAGACGGTCTCTGACTGTCGAACGCGGAGGTTCCACCCGGCGGATCTCGTAGGCGGGGCCAGAATGTGTACATGTTTCATGCACACGTGTTCCCTCGCCAGAGTCCGTGTGGCATCCCCCCCTTTCCTCTGTGTTTTCCCCTATAGCACCACGGTACCCCATGGGTGTTTAGGCCTTAGGCATTCGTCGTAGTTGGAGTATAATAAAATAGAAATCCGGGATTAATGAAATAATTGCAAGTTCATCCGCTGAAAATTTTGCCATCTCGACCTCACGTGAACACAACTGCAGTGTCAGAGCACGGAAAAAAATACTGACCGGTGTGAATTGAAAACACTGTGATCTCACGTCAGCGAGAATCACTGGCGCGTCACGGCACTGTCACGTCACGGCTGAGTGTAAATAGACCTTTAGAGGTAGTGGACGTCAAACAGAGACTACAGAGCGAGAGCATCATTATTTCAGCCAAAAAGTACTTAGAAATCGATTTTCCACCACAACGACAGTTGCGAACCAATGGTTTTATGCTGTCAGAAGGGCAATAACAATGAGGATAGTTCATCACCGAATAAGGTTTTTTGGGCTGTTTTCATACCGTCCCCATCTTGTACTACCTCTGACCCCACAGCATTGTCGACAACGATTGGTATGAGGGGAGAGACTTGAATGGAATATTTAATGGAACTCAGTCGTGTTCAGTGATGACTCCAAATTCTGTTTGGGCACACATAATGGCCGTGCAAGAGTAAGGAGAAGACGTGGTGAAAGACTTGTATATATATTACAATATTCCATCAAATGGCATATTCATCGCACTGTGAGTGTTACTGTATGGGGTGCCATTTCTTACGGCAGCAGGTCACGATTAGTGTTTATTCGGGGTAGCATGACTGCCCAGCGCTATATCCACGCAGTTTCACAACAACATTTGCTTCCCTATTTGGAAACACTGCAAGATCCACTTTTTCAGCAGGACAATGCACGACCTCATGTCGCACTTGTTAGTTTAGACTTTTCAGAAGCATCCGGAGTGAATCTGCTTCAGTTGCCTCTTCGATTTCCAGACCTTTCGCCCATCGAACATGTATGGGACATGATGGGAAGAAGTTTGCAAAATTCACTGCACCCTCCACAAACATTGGAGGCACTATGAAACCAAATTCAGATGGCCTGGGATACACTACACCAAAAATCATCAATCCAATCAATGCCGCGACGACTTAACGAATGTGTAGTAGCAAACAGAGGAGCTTCAACACTTTATTAACATTAAGGTGGGATATCTCAGCTATTTGCGAAATTTCGAATTAAATTTCAATCACTTTCTATTTATCAGTTGACCTAAAACTTGTAAAAGTATGCTCAAAATCACAGTACTCCTAGTCAGTGTTGCATTTTCTGTCATTTAGTATATATTAAATATGAAGGATAAAACACATGCACAAAAATAATATGAGAAGGTCCTATAAAAATGTCTTATGGGCTCCTTTATGACGGTAAGCTTTTACAATACAAATTTGTAATATCTTCTTTTGTGTCATAAACAAATCTAGGAAATTGGTCACAGATTCTTGGACATGTTATGTAATATTTCCTGTAGTTGTTTGCAATAGTTTTTATTACTTCTATTTACCTAGAGAACTTTCTCCAGATTCAGCTGATGACATTCTAGCAACATGATCCACGCCAATACGTTCTGCTTCTTCAGTAGCTAAAGTATAAGTAAGTGGAACAAACAGCATTGTTGCTTCTCCATTTACCAAGTCTATCACAGATTCATACAAGTTTACTGGGAGATGCTGGAATCAATGTTAAGATAGGGATAATAGATTAAATTACGAATATAAGACTGTAAATTGGAAACTGCAAATTCATGCATTGATGATATCTAACAGTTTACTGTCTCTGCCACTGCAGTGGCTAAAAGACATAATAAAATAAAAGAGCTTTTTTTAAATAATAGCCAGTACAATCTGTTAGTATTTAGGTAAATGTAAAAGAAGCTCAGTGTATACCTGTAATGTATATATTGTATATATAGTTGAAAAAGCTCAATTGTAATTGGGACCTTGACAAAGTATTGCCAATTAATTTTCGGCTTCGGCCTACATTATATTATGGTATATATATAAATATATATGGTGAGGTTCAAATTTGGCTGATGTCATAATGAGTACGAGAGAGAAGCATGGAACATGTATATTAGAGAGGGTGCGCCAATTGCGTCTGTCGCCTCTTGGGTTGCTGCTATGTCTTTCTAACAGATGTATTTCAAGTTTCTCAGGCTTCTCTCTCATACACATTATGACATCAGTTGTATATGGTTTTCACTGTATATAATGCATCCAAAGTTTTAAAGCTACTAGAACTATATTTCAATTATTTAATTATCTTGCTGATTGATCTAGAAAAAGAAAAGACCACAGCATGATTTGTTTACCCACCTCGATGTTTTTATCAAAGGGATTCAATTTTAGCATTATTGGTGATTCATTTATTTCACACATCTGTTTATGAACTTTGATATCCATTGCATTAGGTGCATCACCAGTAGTATACCAACCAATAAAATCCATATCACTAAATACTTGTTTAACTAAAAAAAATATATAAATGTATTAGTTTTTGCATGAATACTTATAGTCCAATAGAATACTTACATTGTTGTTCTTTCATGTTATAATAATCTCTATCTATTATTATATCACCTCCTATCACACTGAATACAAGCTCAAAAGAATTCATAATCTCAACATCTCTGCCTTTCTGTTTACCAATCAGTGCACCAATGACTGAAAATAATTTGATTTTCAATAACCTAAAGCATTGCTATCTCAAATGCTATTAAATGTTCAATATATCAATTAAATTCAGTTGCATTCAGCTGCTAAGAATTAGCTCTGCATAAACTAAAATTTGCTCTTGGTTGAAGTATAGTAGGTCAGTAGGTCTGTCAGGTCAGGTTGCCCAGATATCAGGGAGAAAGAAGGGAGGATGACAGAAAAGAAGGAAGGAAAAGAGTAAAGAGAAGGAAGTGAGTTGGATGGAATGGTGTCACAGCATTGTTAACCAGGACAAAAAAAATTATGGATGACCTAAAAAAAGCTAATTGCTGGAGGTCAACTTTATTAACTGAATCTGTTAACAACTAAAACAGCTCAGTATAATCTGTTCCACATAATATGTGACTTCTGTCATTTAATATAAATTAATGCTTAATGAATGTGTGGGCATTATTTTATCTTTAATATTTATTGTAGGAAAATTTATATTATGAATGGCTTCATAAGGGCACCATATACATAGGCTAAAGCTTCCAGTATAAGTTTATTTATGCTTTAACGAATATAAAAATAATATTACTAAATCATAAAGAATACCCCCGAAAACGTTTACCTATCAAATCAAGGGGATATATCTACTCCATTGCCACCTCAACTTTTTATTTACTACCAAATCTTGACTCAAGCATACTTTCATAATAAACTGCAAGTTCCTTTCACCATGGGTAGTCTTATAGCCTAGTAGTGTATATTTCAACAGTTGTCTTGAGTGGTGGTGTTCTGGATATATGAAAGACATACCTTGTTGTGCGGCCCCTTCCTGAGCTCTCTCCCTTGTCCAATGTTCAGATATGTTCATAATTACGAGAGGATGCAAGGAACAAGTGACAGAACCTACGGCCCCCTGAGCCATCACATTTTTGTCTCCTTCTGTGGTATCCATTGATGTTTTGGCGCTCTCCCCGGCAGTCTCCACTTCCATTTCAGTAATCTCTTTTGATGAGCTCATCTTGCTTTTCGATGTTATTCAAATTACTACGTATATTAGTTGTTTGAAAAGAGTTGTAACTTTTGTCAAAATCTTAGACTTTGACGCTTTGACGTTTTGTTTTTCGTTTACATTTGCCTTGCAGATTTGTGTTTGCAGATTAGGTTATGTGATGGGATCGGTGATCACCCAATCACTGTGAGATCCAGTGCGGCTAAAGATGGGATAAGTAATAGTTCACGTGTACCTGAAGTGCCTTCATATTGAAAAGGGCATAATTAGATTTTTCCGGTAACAATAATTTGCCCGATAGGATTGAATGGACAATATGCAGCTGAGCCTGAACATGGTTAACGGTAATGTCAGACATCAACAGAAGCTAACTTTTTTGTTTATGGTAGTCAATAACAGAAATGTACGTGGAAAATGATTTGCAGCATGCGATTATTTTCCCATTTTCATTAATATCCTTGAAGGTCAAAGTGACAACAATCATCCCTACAAAGGTTCTCATTTTCTCAAGTTAGGTACAATTCACAAGACATAATTTGAAGTACATTTTTGAAGACAAACGTAACAAGAGACAAAGTTCTAAAAACATAACTAATACCATTTCGCATGTCTTTGGGAAAAAATGAAATGCGATTTATCATCATGCATTATGAACGTGATTTATTTCAATGTCCTGAGCCGCTTTCCAGTGCTTTTGAATTGAGAATTGTATGCACCCTGAGTGTGACGCTCCTGACCTGCTCTTTCAAATGTGCACGGGAACGCGACGATAAAAATCTAGCCTAACCCATTATTCCGGAGCGTATAACACCGAATAAAAAGGTGGTGCATGATTGGGCAGGGGATTTCAAAAATGAGTAGCGCGGGACACTCTGGGGCACTGGAACGTGGAACGGTATTGACCTATTGACAGGTGGTGGGCAGCTCCGAATTACTCGGAGTAACTCTAATGAAGCACTGGAACGCGGCTCGGGAAAATGATCAGAACCTCAGAACGCATCATAGATCAAAACAAAAGCTGTGCATCATCTCTAGCAGGAGATGGGCAAACACCTCTTTGCTAACTATTAATCACGGTTGACAACGCAACGGATGTCATGAGCGATGTCAGCTTGTCAGCAATTTTGATCTATCTCTGGTTGTATTTGTATTTAGTATTTAGGTAGAATCAATTGAATTTTCTTCACCTGAATTTTAAATAACACAGGGCCATAGAAGTGAAAAAGCGGTATCAAAAATCGTAATGGAATTAGTATAAATAAAACGTTAAAGGTATTATCTGGAAAGAGGATTCGTTTTGTTGATTGATGAAATGCCGCCTAAAAAGAAAAAGGTCCCGGTAAACGTGGTCGTGGGGACGGTCTCGACTCGCTCTACGCGTCGGCAGAGTGTCGTCAATATAGAGATCCCGAAAACCAAGCGTAGTCCGACCAAGAAACCAACTGCAAAAGAGGAAACCGACATTGAAACTAATTTAGCAAACCTCCAGACAGAGCCTCACATAGATAAAGATGTGCCAAAGAAGATACGACAGCCTAGAATATCCGCAGGGGAAGGTAGAGTAACTAGAAGATCAAGTACCCAAGTACCACGTAGAGGGAGAAGTTTAGGTTCTTTACCAGACAGTAATAGAGAATTGCTGAAAATTTTAGGTATGTAAAAATAGTCCAATAGTCTTGTGGATACTTTTCCAAGCTTAAAGACTATGTTAAAATCAGATATTTTTCTGTCCGTTCTGGAAACTAATGCAAGATAGTAAAAACCACTGTTTATGATTAGAAGTGGTCAAAATACTGGAAACGGAAAAAGTGCAGAGAAATCTGTCATCTGACCAGTGTACATGTTGAGCATGCTTGTGGTTTTTTGCTTTGTGGATAGTTTATCATATAGTATGCTGCTTTAATACATGCACTCAGATCAATTAATCTCTAATCGAATTGTTTCCAATAGCTAGAAAAGGTTCTGGAAGGAGGCAAAAATCCGTAGATTTTTAACATGTTGATTTATCAGCATATTCTATATATTAAAAAAACATTCCCCCTTGGTAGTTTTTGTAGTTTTAGTTTTATATCTTTTTATGGTTTTTTCAGCTTTTAGAAGTTCATATTCACAAATTATGTAATACTAATCATTCATTTTCTTGAATAAAAGTAGTTCTGTAAATATCTGATATTTGTGTAGAGTGATTTCATTATTTCAGTATATATTAATTATAGAATTTTCATCTCATTTATCTTTAATTATTAGCATGTCCATGCAGAGTTGATTGTTATCCAATAGGGAGTGGTTAATGTTCTTCAGGGAAGACCCACTGGATTTGCCTCACTTTTGAGTTTTTAATACTAATTTTTGACTACTTCCAATCATAAACAATAGTTTCCCTAGGCTGCATTATTCCCAGAGGGGGCATTGTTTTGGGTAAGTGTACTCATATCTTTGAAAAATGTGAAAATGTATTTTTCACATACTTTCTATCCCCTATTTATTACAGTGTTTATTATCAATTAGGGGGGATTAGTGTGATATAGGGATAACACAATAAATTTTCCTGCACGTTTTGGGTTTTCAATAGGTATTTTTGACACAAATCATAAACTGTGGTTTTCACTGGGATTCACTACTTCTCAGGGATGGAAAAACTCTACTTTTTACATTATCCTTTGGAGTGACTTTGTTATAAATTGGTATATCGCCAGTCTTCAAAACCAGTGTTTTTCTTTTGGATAAACTACTACCCTGATTGCTACCCCTAAAGGTATAGTAGCTTAAAATAGTTTAATAAACTTACATACATATATTATAATATATTTATGCATTGCCAGGAATGGTCAAGCATGTATTAACCAATAACCAAAGCTACAAATACTTCTCTTGGGCATGTCCAAAAATCTTCAAAACATATGCTGATGGATGATATAATTGCAATATATTTCTTTAAAGTAGGATGACAGATATTTCCTCAATTTCATATGCTAAACTCTACCTTAAGAAACCACCTTATGCCTGCATCCCATGTATAAATATCCAGACTGTCATAGTTCTTACTCAGTAGTAATATCTCCCTTCAATTATGTGTTTGTGGCACCTTCCCTAGAAGGGTTGCTTACCAGACTCATAACCAAAATGCTGGACTGTTAGTCCAGAGCCTTCCTCACATAGAACCCCAAAAAAAAAAATGTAAAATTATATGCCTCAATTCATTCTTTTTCTGATAAACTGATAAATAATTGCACAACATATGTTCTGTTAGTTAACAGAATATACGCTTCCATAAGATGTTTATTTCCATACTTTTCAGATGATTGGACAGATGAGGAAGGTCAAGATAAAACTGACACCTCATCAATGGGCTATACTGAGTCAGAATGTGGTTCATCAGTAGGCATTGAAAACCCAATTTCTGGTACTGAGGAGCTTAAAACCACTTTTGAAAATCAATTCAAAGGCTTATCTCAAGAAAATGTAGTTGAAGAAGTAGTTACTGAAGAAATTAGTACAGTGGAAGGGACAGAAGTCCTAGAAGATGGTAAAAATATAATTAAATGTACTACTTACTACTTTTGCAAAAATGAAATTCATCCATCATCCAAATATATTCGCACTTGTAAAGAAAAATTATCACATCCAGGTCAAAACTTTTAATAGATAGGTATTCCAAAGCAGTGTTTGTTCCAAAACTGATGTTTTGATTGGATAACAAAGCTAATGATATTCTTGATGTTTTTTTTAAGCTTATCAAATAGAACCTCCTCAAGAGTGTCAAGATTCAGCAAATAATGATGTGCTCACAACAGAAAATAACAGTCCATGTATGGAAAGTGAAGATGCTGCTATTATAATAGAAAATACAAGTTCATCTTCTGGTATGTGTATACCTGAAGTTGTTGAAGAACAGTGTATAGTGGAAGAAAATGTCATTATTGAAGATTCACAAGAAGCTAAAGATGAAATTGTGGTTGAATGTGTTACAGATGAAGTCATTTCTGCTGGAGGACTGACTACAGATGAAAATTCAGATGAAATCAATCAGGCAAGCTATACAGGATTAATATAATGGTTCTATATATAAAATAACTAGCCTAAACTCTCGGCTCTGCTCATTTGAAGTACTGTATATGTCATTCGTTTTGCATTAGTGTGAAGTAAATTTCGATATTCAAAGTAACGCAATAGTTACTCTGTCAATGGACATTATTTATTCAACATTTTAATACAGCAGTAAATTAGTTTCAAATGTGTAATCACAATAAATAGTATGCAAAGTATCTCAGTCTAACCTGTGTGGCATATCTTAGCATATATGCTTAGAGTAATGTAAAATTGTACTTATTAGTTACAATTCAATTAAAGGCATTTTGGTAAACAATGTTATTTGTTGGATATTTTGTAGCATAAATGTAAATTTTTTGGGAGCTATTCTCATGGCACAAGCCTTATTACTCCTTTGTGAAGGATTAGATTTGCGTTGCGTTTTTCGGGCATTTAATAATAATAACAGGACTTTATTTACAAAAATGGTACAAAGATGAAGTGTCAGCATAAGCTGTTTATCAGCTTATTCTAGGTAAAACTACCAAGTAATAATAAATCAGGCAAATTATAACACATCTAAGCAGATAACTATGACTAATCTAACTTCAATTTAATCACAATAGCATGTAAAACACACAACTAACTCAAAAACAATTTATTTACAGTGTACCTAAACCAAATAGTTAACCTGTAAATCAAAACCAATTTCGTATTTATCGATCGGGACTTTTACTGACAAAAGAGTGAACTAACAACCGCATAAGAACAGTATTTTAAACCTATAATCACACCAAAAAGTATTGTTACTGCAATATAATTACAATAGAACTATTTATTCACAGTATTATACTTGAAGTGAAACAAAACACTAAACAAATCTAAATCAAAACGATTACGCTAAAAAAAAGAATGTTAAAATGCAGTAAATGCACAATGCAAATTCCCTATTTAGATACACTTACTAATTTCTGTCTGATTAACGACTGAGTGCTTCTGCGTTAGTCACCTTATGCCAAATTCCATAAGCCAATAAAATAAATATTTCCAAGCGATTTTCCGGGATAAAGGGTATCGTAACAAACATCCACACTTTCTCTTGTATAATCAGCTTGTCCAGTGGGAAAGTTCACATTTCAAATCTGAATTACGCGGTAACCGTATACGCGAGGAAATGGGGAGAGGTCTTGATCGACGCGTTCGGTGTGCGGGTTCAATAGACACAATGGAACGTTGGACCGGAGTGCAACGTGCTATCGAGGCTTACTTTAAGAGTGGTGATTCATACGCAGCGGCCCTTCGGGTCTGCGATGTGAGGCACGCACCGGATATTTTGTGGAAAGACTCATCTACTCCCATAGCCGAACGCCGCATTAGGCGCGAACCGGATCGTGAGAAAGAGGCGTCAGTGATTCGGTCATTGCAAATCCTCGGCGTTGTGTACAGAAGCGCTCCGCTGCTTTGGGAATCCCTAGGTCCACACTGCATGGCATAATAAAGGAAAAAATGGGTTTTCATGGATGTTGAACCTTTTTCTTACGCAGCGCAGACTCGAGAACGTTGTTTTTGGTGACGAAGTCCATTTTCACTTAGACGGTTATGTGAACAAACAAAATTGCAGATATTGGGAACCAACGAACCCAAAAGAGAAACATCAACAACAGCTACATAGTCCAAAGGTAACTGTTTGGTGCGACATATCCTCTAGTGGTATTATTGGGCGGTATTTACTTGATGATGAAAACGGTCATGCATTAACAGTCAATTCCGAGCGATTCAAGGTTATTATTGACACTTTTTTTGTGTTCCTATCCCAAGAACAGAACGCCGATTTAACAGAAACACATGGTTTCAACAGGATGGGGCCACTGCCCGTACTTCCAGAGAATCTATGGACAAGGTGAAAGCACTTTTTCCTCAAAAAGTTATATCGAAGTTTGGAAACATTCACTGGCCTCCTAGGTCACCCAACCTCACGCCATGCGATTATTTTTTTGGGATTATTTAAAGTCAAAAGAGTATTCCAATAATCCACGAACAGCTTAAAGACAACATTCGACGAGAACTCTGCAAGAGAATTTCCGCGCGGAATTAGAAGAGTGTGTGCGAAGGGATGACAAACATTTTAACGGAATGATATTTAAGAAATAAAACCCGCCGAATTTATTAATATCGTCGGACATCTGACAATACCTGCTATATGACATTTTTGCCCAATTTGAGGTATATGCACATTTTTCTTCGTTTACCTACAGCGCACATTGTGATAGAGTCCGCTAACTGCAGAAAAATTTAGTTTTTGAATTATTCACCACTGGCAACACGTCTGTCAATGAATGGCAATTCCAGCTATCTGACAATTACGCGTGCTGTTTTTCTTAACTTTACAATGAAATACGACGTTGTGATTTCTCAGAAATATCTCACCAAAGGACACACCCAAATGGAATGTGACTGTACACAGTTGCATTTAGAGAAAACTGAGAAATAGGGATTGAATTACCAAATGACTATGTTAAGGCGTCAAAACAAGCTAGGTCAAAACCAGGGCCATATGAGGTGATCCAATTGAGCTACACTTCTTCAAGGACTAATCTCGAACAGAGGAGCAGCGATACTCAACAATTAGACCAGGCAGGGACAATCTAGTCACAGACATCAAAGTACTATGTTATAATCCCGATGGAAAAATTGAAGTGAAACTAGATTTCAGTGTAAAGCCTCAGCAGTTGGCTATGAGACTAAAACAGCTACCCATCATTTCAGATTATAAGTGTTATGTCTAAGGACTGTCACATGTTTTTTAAGGTGTAACTGAGAATGCTATTATCTTTTTGATTTGTAAAAGCATTTTAATTTGATATAATGAATAACAGTTTTTCTAACACGAATCTCACTAAATCCATCTATGCATCATAGTACAATATCTGCTAACTGCAAAGAAAGTTAACAGAAATGTCAGCTATCTGCACTAGTTTTGTCAATTAGAGCTTCATTTGGATAAAAATGCATTGATAAGGTTTTTTTCGTCCCCTGTAAAATTACGGTTCCTGCATATAGCAGGTATTGTCAGATGTCCGACGATATATTGATAGTAATAAATATTTTCCTTTCATTAAGTTTGTATTTTTTTCTTAAATCAAAAAGTGAACTTTCCCACTAGATTGGGATCCAATGTTAAATTTATTGTATCAGGGATAACTGTTCATAAATATTTTGAAAATCATAAACCCTATGGTTGTGAGGATTGTAAAACAAACTTTGCAGGCAATGCAGGATGAGATATCACAAACTAGTGGAAATGTACAGATGGACACATCAGAGGTCCTATGTGATGATACTGTGGAAAATACTGAACTAATGCAACAAGGAGGTAAAAAGGTTCATCTAACTTCTCCAGAAGAAGGTTGCGATCAAATAGGCGAAGCATCATATCATGAAGAATATGGAAGTAATTCACAAAATACTTATTTTGAAGAACAGCTACAAAAGAAAGATGAAGAAAGATGTGCCCCTGAGGAAGTTAGCGAAGCAATAGGTGGAATGCAGCCAGAACATTCTGAGCAGCTGGTTGAAGGTTTTCAAAAAGATTATGCACCCTTAACTGAAGCTCATCAGGAAGACATTGAAGCCTCTCAATATGACATAGAATTTGCTCATGGAGAAGAAACTGAAGTTGTTAATGAAACTGGGGTACAAGGAGATGTGGATGTATATACTGAACAAATCGACGAAACATCCCAAGAACAACTAGAGCAAAATTTTGAACAACAAGGTATTATGTGAGATGTGTGTTTTGAATTTTACATCGTGTTTTGAACAGGGTGCCCAGGGTTAAACTTGTTTATCCATTATCCATTATTTAATATATTGTCTACATTAAATTAGGAATAAGCTAATATCTTATATGTTTATTTTGAAGACATTGAAGTAGGAGAAGAACAAATACATGGATCATCTCAAGTACAACCTGATTCAGTTGATGAAGTTCCCCAGAAGTTTGATGAAAGAACTAGTCAGGAGTTCTCTGGTCCAATTGGTGAAGTTCCCCGGAAGTTTGGTGAAGGTACTCATCAAGAATTTAATGAGATATCAACTAAAACTCCTAAGGAAACTTTGGAGCATTTAGAGGAAGTCAACCAAGAAGCAGTTAATATTTCTCAAGAAAGTTCATATATCCAGAGTAATCTTCAAGATCATCAAGAGGTAGAAGATAGCATGGTAGTAGAAAAAACAATTACCATAACAAATGAAGAAAATAGTCAGAATGTTTCTAATTGCGATTCGAGCCATGCTGACGAACAGGCAAATGACACTTATGTTGCAGGTACATAATTTATTGAAACTGCCATGTTTCTCTTTGTATTAATTTTTTTTAATGAGTCAATAAAATATAACGAATTTGATATTTTGTCTTGCTCAAAGGTGAGGAAGTACAACCAGACGAAGCTATGGAAGTAACACAATATGATAAAGTTCTTCAGGAACAACAGTTTGTACAAGAAGAAAAGAAGCTGGAGTCAGCCTTCAGTACTGCGGAGTTAGAGCAAACATTATCAGAAGGACTGGCACAAGATACAGATGCAGACATAGAAAGAAATAAAAATGTGATATGTAAAGCTGTACATTGTCAGGGTACAACTGATACTACAGAGGACAGTATGCTGAACTTAAAAATGGCGGTACTTGATTTACAGTGCGCAAACAATGAAACAAAAGGTATATAGTGTTAGAATATTCCAAATGATATAAGAAATCACAGACATTTGTTTTTTGCATAATTCAATCCGGATAATTTTTTTGTTAAGGTTTGGAGCAAGAGGTGGCGGAACTGAAGTTGGATTCCAAAGAAGAAATATCAGAGAAATCTCCAAGTGACCGGAAAAAGAAAGACGAAAAGGCTAAGCCAAGATCGAGGCCTTCAAAAAGCGCCGAACCTAAAGCTAAGTTACCGAAACAGCAAAAACCAACAGAAAAAGTATCTAAACCAAAGGTGGTCAAAGAGAAGGTGGTTAAAGAAAAAGTAGTGAAACCTAAACTTGCTAAGGAGAAGGAACCTAAGGGAGAAAAAAAGACCAGTACGAAAAAAACAAAGGAAGGTACCGGTAAAAAAGAAGCCTCTGAAAAATTATCTTTGAAAACGGACGAAGAAAAGAAATCCGAAGAAGATCAAGAAGTTCGGCGATCTTCCAGAATCAAATCGATTAGTGTACAAAAAAGGAGGACCACTGGACATGGTCTAGTCAAGTCTAAGTCTGAAACAAGTCTAATGGAAGTCGATCTTTTTGACGCGTCGTCAAATGCTGACTCTGATAAAGGAACATCTTCTGCTTCTCCTAAGGTAAGACCACAATTATTGTTACCAGCTTCACTTATGGTGGGAATTACTAATGCTGATACTTGTTTACACAGCATTTATAGCTCTTGTACAAATTAGTAAATTTTCTCAGCTGTCTTGTAAATTATTTGCTTCCGCAATACAAAATCTGGTCTTGCCTCCAGCAGAAAACTAGATGAAAAGGTAACGACGAATCAGTATCCAACCCAGGCGCCTCGCGCCGTGTGAATATCCGAGCTGTTTGTTTGTAAATCGAATTTAAAAACCATATCAATAACGAACATATCAATTTGATATCAGTTTACATGAACTAAAGATTTCTGGACGTTTCATCCCGCACCCCGTAGGTTTCTATATTTCGCACAACGGCCGTTTGTAGGAAAGTCAAGGTGAGCACAATAGAAGACCTAAACAGGTTCAAATGTTACATATTTAGGAAGGAGTTTTCTTCAATTTTGTTTTTTAAAAAAGTCACGTTTTTCGGAATACTCTGAATAGTAATAATTTTAGAAAAGATGAACACATTTGGGATTTTCCATTGAAATAACAATTTAATTCCAGGTAAAAGAACGTAAATCTCGTTGGTCCAAATCTTTGGAGACAGTCCAACAGCCTCAGTTCCGTTCAACAGAAAACATGGTGTCCGACGATTCAAAAATGATTTTGGATGAGAAACCGCAGAGTTCAGCTGGGGACGACCCCGTAGTCCAGGCCAGGCTGCGAAGTTTCGTACATTTGAAAGAGAACATGTACAAAACTGACAGGTTGACATGCAAAGAAGCTAAAAAGATGGTTTGTGATTGCTTCTTGACTGAAGAGGAAATCGCTGCCAATGAGTATGGCTGTGGAGAAGATTGTTTGAACAGATTGTTGCTTATTGAATGGTGAGTATAGAAACGTTATTACTGTGCGTTATAACGTATCACACTAGAATCGTATCATGAAAGTAGGGTAATTTTGCTTTAGAGGTAGTGGCGCGGAGTCGTTACAACGCGCAGCATCTAACAAGCTTATCACGAAGGCTAGGATGTATGGAGGAATGATCAGTTTTTTGCGGAGAAAGGAGAGGGATATGCTTGTTTTTGTTTATTTTCATCCAAAATATGACAGCGATTGTTACACTTTTGCATCTTTTTTATTAACATTTTTTAGTGGCAATCTCTGTCAAGTCGGGGATAGATGCACAAATCAAAGGTTCCAAAAAAATCAGTTCGCGCCAGTGGAAGTATTCAACACTGAAAAGAAGGGACTTGGATTAAGAGCTGCAGCAAACGTACCTTTGTAAGTACATTATGGATATTGTGTATCAGCCGATTTAGATTTTTCCATTCCTTTTATTTCTGACTGTAGCCACAATATAAATTCAAGAGATTCTAATTTTCACATTTAAAAATATTTTATCGGTAACCCACGAAGTGACCATAACACAAGAAATAGAAATATAAATCTTCTTTATCCAGCCCATCATCTCACGGTTACCGAAAAGAATGTCCATTACACCTGCACTAAAATATATAGTAAGTTACCACAAGAAATTAAAAGGTTGGCAGATATAAAAGAATATAAAAAGAGTATTTATTTATCAATTGTTAATGCACTTAGCACCATATGACCTTCCAGAATATTTTGAAATATAAAATCTCTATTATGTTATATGTTTTGCCTCTTTGTTTTTTCTGTCTCGATGACACTGTGACGTATATTTCACCTAACAGTGTGTAATACATAGTAATCATGCACTGTTATTTTGAAATAAAGATTAATTATTATTATAATTATTCCCATTGAATATGGATTTTCAAAGGCACTTGTAGAGTAATAAAATAGAATCAGAATTATTTATTGCCATACAAACGACGAATTATACCACTTGGATTCTGATGTTTTAATTTTGCTGATAATTTGCAGCGGAGAATTTATACTGGAATATGTTGGAGAAGTGTTGAATACAGACGAGTTTGATAAAAGAGCAGAAGTTTACTCTCAAGACAAAAATATACACTATTATTTTATGGCTTTGAGGGCAGATGCTATCATTGATGCTACTATGAAAGGTATACTATCACCTACCATGTTTAGCATTTGTCTGGTTCTGTATTGTGGTTCTATATTATAATCTGTATTGGAATTTTAGGTAACATTTCAAGGTTCATAAACCATTCATGTGACCCAAATGCAGAAACTCAAAAATGGACTGTGAACGGCGAATTACGAATAGGATTTTTCAGCACGAGAACTATATTGGCAGGAGAAGAAATCACATTCGATTACAGGTTCCAAAGATACGGGAAAGAGGCTCAAAAATGCTACTGTGGAGCAGCGATTTGTAGAGGCTGGTTGGGCGAACAGCCAGACTCTGACGAAGAAGAAGAAGAGGAAGTGGTGTGTAGAGCATGATGAGCAAAAATTGCACCTTCGTTTGGAAAATATTTCCATTTTTTCCATAACCACCTTTGAGAGTCCCTAGAGCAAGGTTCAACATATTTTGCACACAAAATGTGTATAACAAGATTCAAACAATTTATAAAATAGTTTTTCGCACGAGAAACACATAAGGTGTTTAGAAATATTTACTGTGAAGTTTTTCTTTATCGAGTTGAGGATATTTTCTAAACATATAGGATAGAAAATCAAGGAATGGTTCTTTGGGATCATCTGAACTTATAGATTCCTTGATGATTTCAGAAAAAATACTTAGGTTCGAAAACAGAGTGAACTAAGGAGCTTATTATTCCACGAAAACCGTTCAAAATTAAAACACCTTCAGCTGAAGAAAAGTCCAATGACGTATAAACTGTCGGTTATTTCTACTGATCCAGGTCGATTGTTGAATAAGTTGAAAACGACCTCAATTATGGCCTGCTCTACCTCCGGACATGAACAACCTAAATTATCCATTCCAATCATTAATTTGCAATGTTTTAGTAGAAAATACGAAATATACATATTATTAATCGAATAATTGCTGGTTGTGGTTAACTAAGAAATGCAGCATGTGTTACTAGATATTTCATAACCTCTCATGAGATGGATTGTAAAAACATGTATGGGAGAGTTGTTTTCCAACGGAGGTTCCATTTTTGCCCTGTTTCACATCGTCATTAAATGCGAGTCGGTACTTATTTCCATGTTATAGGTGGAAGAAGAAATGGTAGCAGTAGCCGAACCAGAAACTCCTAGTGAAATACTTGGTAATGACATCAAGAAGGAAATCACAGCGGACGTACAAGCGGAACTACCAACCGAGGAAGCTGCAGTACCGAAAATGGAGATCGAAGGCGCTGTGAAAGAAGAGGCAACAGCTAAGGAAGCGGTAGCAGATGGTACTGGCACGGTGGATGTCGCGCCTGTTGTAATAAGGAAAAAGGTTATCAAGAAAAAACCGAGGATCGAAATGTTCGAGGAGATCGACGTAAGTTTCGCTTGGAGTGTTTAATTATGATGATCATAATTTTACGATTACTAGGAGAAGGGCAGTGGACATGACAGTTACATGGATAACACTGAGAAATTAGTTTAATCATACATAATTCACCATATACTAATTGGACACACCCTTGCTAATTCGTGTTTCTCTACCTTCGTCTATCTGTTTGTATAATAAACATAGCTAATTTGCTAAATTAAATTAGAGAAGACTTCCTACAAATTATGTGTTAAGCATTTTTTGTTAGATGTGCAGTTTTCGGCACGAGAATAGACTCTAACACGAATGTACAGGACGTTGTTTATTGGTTCAGTAATGTAATTTTATATTTTAATTTGTTTGATTTCCCAACGACCGCAAATTGTTGTTTGGAATTTTTTTCGTATAGCGTAATTTTCAATCTTAATTTCGTTGGTCCATCTATTATTTGTTACAAAATTTATCATATCTATCATCTCTTTCAGCAATTGAATGAAGAAATCGACATGCTGGTCACCACAGGACTGAAAAATCAAGCACACACGCTAAAGCTCAGCAGAATGATGGTGAGGGCCAAAGAGCCTCAACAGAGAGCTAAACTGCTCAGAGTATTGAGAAAGGGTGAACTGCCTTGTAGAAGACTGTTCTTGGACTACCATGGTCTAAGATTGATTCATGGATACATGATTGATGCTCAGCATTTGGTCAAGGCTGACAAGAAGTTTGAATCTCAAAGGTAAGAGCAGTACCACGACATTTGTAAACCTCGAGATCTTACCTGTTGCCTAAAAGCATATCTTTTTCAGGCTAGAGATGCTGCAAACTTTGGCAGTGTTGCCGATACCTAACAAGACAATGCTTCAGGACAGTAAGGTGTTGCCCACTGTTGAATTATGGGCAAGTTCTAAGGAGCTTACTTCGCCATTAGATTCAGACAGTAATTCGCCAAAGGCGGAACAGTTTGATAGAGGGACTACTGTGACAAAGAAAGAAGGTACTTTTTATATACGAGGTTTGTCCGGAAAATTTCGTATAAAAAATTCGGGGCGTCGTGTCAACGCGTTGTGGAGGGGTGGCCCCCTCTCACTATGCTCAGTTCGAGCCGGAGTGCTATGCGAGTAAGTAGGATTTACGTGTGCTTGTTGAAAGTAACCCTTTATTTTACCTGTCGCCGGCATGGAGCTCTCTTAATCGAGGAACAGCGCATCAACATCAAGTTTCTTGCAAAACTAGGCAAGAATGGTCGTGAGATTTTTGAGGGTTTGGAACAAGTTTGCGGAGACAATTCTCTGAAGGAACCAACCGTAAACAAGTGGTTGAAAAGGTTTCGGGAAGGCCGAGAAGATGTGAAAGATGACCAATGCTCAGGACGTCCCTCCACATCGAGGTCTGAGGAAAATGTTGAACGAATTCGGGGCTGTGTTCTTAAAGACCGTCGATTGACTCTTAGAATGATAGCTGAGTAACTGTCAGTCCCAAAAACAATCGTCCACGAAATTCTGACTGAAAAACTTGAAATGAAAATAGTTTCGACTCCAGAACAGAAAGCAAGGAGGGTTGCTTGCTGTGAGGATTGTTTGGAAGTAGAGGAAATGGGGACTTTCTCAACCTGGTCATCACTGGAGACGAGTCTTGGTTGGAATCGATGAGGAGCTGAAATCTCAAAGCATGGAGCGGAAGCAAGCAGGGGAAGCGAGAACCAGAAAGGCAAAAAAATCAAGGTCCAATGTGAAAACAATGTTGATTGTTTTCTTTGATTCTCGGGACATTGTTCACCAGGAATTTTTCCCTCTCGGCCAGACAGTGAACGGAAACGGCGTTGGGAGAAGTGCATCTTGTCGCAGGGGGAGTACTTTGAAGGAGACCATATTGAAATACCTGAACAATTGTAAAATAAAGTTATTATTCCACTTTTATAGTATTTTCCGGACAAACCTCGTATCCTTCTTGAAACAACACTTCTCGAAAGCGATTTGAACACGTTTTTCTGTTCTTTATTTTTCCATGAGCTATGGTGCGTTCACATCTGATTATATAATTATATTTTTTAGAATCGGATAAAACGAAGATTGATCCCGTTACCGGAAGAAGCATAGAAGACCAGGAGGAAGAAATTCGATTTTTAGCCACAAAATTGTTGGAAGAATGGCGTAATTTGAAGGAGGTAAATTATATCAAGAACTGAGTGGTTTTCTGTATCTTGAATATCGTAACTTTTCAGGTATTTAAAATCCCCAAAAAAGAGAGAATAGAACAGATGAAGGAGCATGAACGAGAAGCAAACAAAAAGTTCATGCAGAGTGGTTATGGTCAGGAACCAGAAAAAGATAGGAAGAGTGAAAGGTAATTTTTGTTATTATTTCCAAAATATGCTGGTTTACAGAGATCAGATATTACACAATTATTGTGTAAATAAATCTAATAAAAAATTACCATATTTGGAGAAAATGTACCAATGCAAAATGAAGTTAAGCACAAAGCTTAGTGGGTTTAAGCATGGGTTGTGTCAGACCTACATTCTTATTCTCGTTGTTTAGTTTTGACCTTGCTTAAAGTTGTGTAAGCCAGTAGGTTTGTTAGGTCTGGTTGTATCGTCAATTTACGTCATTTAATTGACATTATTTTACCTAAAAACTCATTTATATTTATATCTTTGTATTATTAGGTACCGCAACATAGCGAAAGTTAAAGAACGCGATCTCGGCATCCCCGCAAAGCGGCCCCAGAAAGGCGAAAAATTGAGCGCCGAATTCATCCGTTTAACGAAGGTCGAACGAAGAAAATTGTTCGCCCTGCAACACGAGTTGAAAGAGGAAGAGAGGCGACTAAAGCAGCGAGAGCTGTGGAGACAACATGAGATGAACTGCATGATGATGGGCACCGATCCCAGGTTCACGGCACCGTTCGATCCCAGTAGACCATATCAGTGTATTTGGAACCCACAGATCGGTATGGAAATTAAATATATAACTTTCAGTTCAAGATCCCATGTAGCAAAAAAATGACGTCAAGTAGATTGACCCTACACTTCGTACGCAACGCCGTCATTAATTCATAAAGGATTAAGCTGAGCACAAGTTGATCCCTCTGAGAAAAAAAATAGTTACAAACATGTACAATGGAGAAATTGAACCGATAAAGTCGGTGAAATAGGCACATACAATTAGTCCATAGATATTGTTTCCCTTCCCTGCCGGTAGTTACCGGCCAAATGGCAAGGTTGCCCCTTCCTAAACAGACCAATACGCCGGGCGCTGAGCCCAGATAGTAGAAGGAAACGCGTATCGAAAACATTCTATCATCATCATCATTCAGTTTTAAATACAAATGTACTGGGAAACATATGATATGTCTAATAGGTGCGTAGAATTACCGGGGTTGGGAGCGTCTAAATATGCCTAGATCGAAAAATTGCCGCCACTGGACCGATTTTCAAAAACTACAAAGCTTTTTTGTCCTTGGCTTAGTAGTAACCTTGTATAAAAAAATCATCCAAATCCGAGAAGCACTTTACAAGTTATATTGATCTGCAGAAAATCCGCATTGGTTGCGAGATGTCGAGCACCTAAGGCGTTGGAGTTTAAATGTGTAGTGGGGCATTCTGGGATTCAGAATTATTGGGCCATATTTTTTGGAGCAATCCCTAAATAGCAATGTCTTTCTTGACTTTTTGGACAATCAATTACCGTTGTTGTTATTGGAAGATGTGCCACTGAAAACACGGTAAAACTTGGTTTTGCAGTTGGATGGTTACCCAGCACATTTTGCTATTATTTTGCGAGAGCATATTAATGCAGTATTTGAACAGCGGTAGATTAGATAGAAGAGGAAGTATGTTTCCTTGGCCTTCGCGATCACCAAACTTGTCTTGATTTTTATTTATGGGGACGGTTAAAAGACATATCGTGATTCAGAATCAACCTACAACCAGAGAAGATATGAAAATCCGGATTTGTAATGCAATACGTAACATACCGAGAGCCGTAATTAAAGCTGCAGTTTTCTCTACCCATGAGAGGCTTCAGGAATGCATAGAGAGTAATGGTCAGTCAGCATTTCGATCATTTACGGAGTAATTTAAAACCTTTATTTTTTAAATCGGTCCTTTTTAGAGCCACAACTTAATAATAAAAAAATCCAGATTAGTTTAAAAAAATAAAAATTTAGGGGATTTCCGTATAAAATTTTCTTTTGCCTATATTTTAGGTTAGGAACAAGATATCGAGATGCGGTTTTCGCGAGCTTGTTTAGGCATCATTTAGCTACTTTTTTATAAAAAAAAATCGTACCAATACATTTAATTTTTTTTGACTAAATTAACCATAATCGGCTCAGCTGTTTCGAAGATACAGGGTAGTTTTTACGGAAACCTTTGATTACCCCCCACCACTTTATTTTTAAAGATACAGCAACAATTGTCAAACAAAAAAGCTTAAGATTATCCTCGAATAATGCAGCAACGCCCTCTAGCGATCATTTCAGAAACTTGTTAAAATACGTTCCAGGTGTTTCTCTTGATCGTTTTAGTAATAACTGATTTTGCCCCAAACCTCTACGATGGATAGGTTCCCAGATACAGTACCTCACATTCTTAATTGGCCACCCACATATTCGAAATTTTTAGCGAATACAATACAAATTAATGCAATTAATTAATTTGGCATTAGTCATTAGATATTTATTATTGAATCTGTAGGCTGTAAATAGGTGCAGAGGTTATAAAATAATGCATATTAAGTGTAAACAAGAAAATTCAAAACAAATATAAGTTTGCAAATTGAATGCGGGATGCCTTCTTTTTATTCGAAGACTGTTGTAGAGGCGACAGCCAGCAAAATTAGGGGAGATGCGACTTTATAAAGTAGGTTTGGTTGGACACCTCTAAAGATACTTCATGTATGTTTCTCTGTATGGTTAAAGCCATTGATGATGATGAATATATTGCTGTTACAGTGAATATCTTGTTTTTGAATACCTGTTGACGTCATTGAGATTTAATATGAGTCTCAGTACCCTTTTTAGATGTGCAAATATGGTTGATGTCTCTGCTGACTGCCTCACTACCACAGTATTAAAATGCAATACATAAAAACATAGTACATTGTTGATAGGGACTTACTTTTTTTAATGTGTTTAATACACAAAAAGACTTAATTTAATTTTTGTTGAAATTGCCTCAATTTCGCTTTCCCAGGTAAATTCCAGTTTAGTTCGAAAAAAACGGGGCTTGATACTGATACTTTACGAATGTCTTTGTTACTAACATTCATCTAGAAAAGAGAGCGTTTTCACTTCTAACGCCTACTGGCGAGGAAGTATTGTAATGGCGAAAAGTTTCGATTATGTGATTTTATCTTTTTTTTTTTGGATATTATATGACATGTACATCACGAAAAAACATGACACTCCTATCAGTTGGCCTGTCTGTCTGCTGGTCTGCTAATACTTGGCCAATCTATAACTTGGGAAGTACCACTCGGATTTTGATGAAATTTTCAGGCAATGTTACTACTATTCGAATAAAAATCTCCCACATATCGTTTTTTGACATTTCAGAATCTCCTGATCATCTTAATTGAAACAATTGTATGTTTTAGAAATTGGGTTGTGGGGTTTGTAAGGCGGTATATCTCAATTTGTTGATGTTAGTTTATGTATACGCTCTGCACACCGTAATTCTAAGCACCAATTAGACATATCTCTCACATCGTAGATATCCACTTAAAAACTGATAATGATAGAGAAATGTTTTCGATACGCGTCCCTGCTACGTGTCTTCTTCCATTACTGCCGCGTATTGCGGTCCGACATACGCGAGGGACGACATTGCCACGCTACTACCGGTAGGGGAGGGAATAAATGTCCGTGGAGTAATTGTATGGGTCTGTTTGACTGACATGATCCGTTTTTAGTATTTAGCGACCATACAATCATGGAGTCCTAAAAGTCCTCTATGTTATGCATTATAAGTTTTGTTTTAGGTCATCTGCATATAAAAGAATTTTTGTATTATATATTTTGGACATTTTATCGAAATCAAAGTTATTGTATTTCAGGTCAGTGGCAGAACTACCCACTACCTCCAGGCACAATATTACCGCCCGCACCAAGCGCCTCGCTACCAAATTTACCTCCCCAATCCAACATGAACATGCCTCAACATAATATGAACATGAATATGCAGCACAACATGAACATGCCTTTGGCACCCCCACACCAGATGTCCAAAAACATGGCCAGCTACCCATATGGTGGGATGATGGGAACTGCGCAGAGACAACCTATGCCTCCTTTACCACCTACGTCTATTGGTCAGATGAATCCGATGCAGGTGAAATTATAAGAATCATATTTTTATATTCAAATTTATTCAGATTCTAGAAGTTACATAACTAAAATTATGAAGTACAATATCATAATATTTTGAAGAGAAATAGGGGATTTTAATCATTATTAACAAACGATTACCTTTTTTCATCTAAAACTGAATGTTTTGAGTCAATACAGTACAATTTCTAAATACTTTTATATGCTACTTTTTTATTACTCGACTAAGTTACGTTCAATAACTCCCTCCAATATTATTATTTTATTACCTTTTTTCCACAAAAAACAACAAAGAAAATCGCTTACGTCATTACAGTGGTGTTCTCCTTTAACAAATAAATAAGAAGATTGAAAAAATATATATTTGAATTGGTACATCCAATGCATCATGTCGTCATTTCTGTGTTTGCCTTCGCCGTAAAGTGATTAGCAACTTGAGCAACGGCAAAAATCAAATTTTTGAAATACCTCAAAAATGCGGCCGCCGACAAATTTGTTTTTACCTACGAGGTCTGTAAACTAAGTAATAAGACTGATTTTTTGTTTTTTTTATCAAATATAATTACATACAATTTTATATTGTGACCCTCAAAATATTTTCCTTCTGAAGCCTCACAATGCTGGAGACGGTTCTTCCACTCCTCATAGCAGTGTTGGAACTCCGATACTGGAATAGCCTTCAGCTGGTCGGTTACAGTCGTTTGAATGTTTTCGACTGTCCCAAAATGAGTTCCCTTCGGGAAGAGAAAAAAGTCACAAGGACTCAAGACAGGCACACAAGGAGGCTGAGAAGCCACAGGAATGGACATTGCTGTGGAAGAAGGAGCATTATCGTAATGCAACATCCAGTTGTTCTTGATCTGATGAACGGTGGTGTGAGTCAAATTTAACTATTTCCCGATCATTCTGACAACCGACGATCTGAACGCACAAGATCCCGGATTCTGTCGTTATTTTCATCGGTTCTTGAAGATGAAGGTCTTCCGCTTGGTGGTTCATCTTCAATCTACTCTAACCCTTCTAAAAATGCCTTAAACCATCGAACAACCTGGGCTCTTGACAAAACACTATCACCGTAGGACTGTGCCCAAGTCTGAAGCAAAGCCTGATAACACACTGTTTCTCTAAATTCATGCCACTCATTTTTAGAACTCAATAGGAAAAACTGTTTCACAAAAAAAAAACACTACGGACAACCAAAGGACTCGAGCGAATTCAAACTTGTACTGAAGGTAGATCACGTGTTCCCATGCCTCCCCCTCAAGCCCGGCGCCTCCAGTGTTTCAAGATCGAACGCTACGTTGCCAGACTCATCACTTAATTCACAGACCTCGTAAGTCCGAAAATAATCAGGAGGTGGTAAAACACAAGCTTAGAAACCTTCTGGACCTAGTTTTTCCCCTCTGCCGATTTGCAAAAGTGGTTGTTACCTAAGACCCCACATCATGTCACTCCAAATTTATTCAGAACCGGTATATCTGTTTTTGAGATTGCACAATTATAAAAACACCAAAAGACGATGGGAACGAGTGTCATGGATTTCGTGATGTAGATGTTATGAAACCCACTGGGTTCCGCATTGTATTGAAAAATAACTTAGCATTACCCGTTATGTGGTGTATTGGTGTAGTCGTATTTGATATCACACTCTTATAAAAAGGCCAACAGTTCGATAGGCTCACGGAAATGTGTATATGCGAGTATTTTCATGATGTATCCATCATAAGATACCAAAAGCTAACTGAAACACCCATTTTTTTAATCAAGATACCAACATCAAACGTCCAAATGCTACAGTACCAAGAGAATAAACCTAATGAAGAGGATTCATCCCAAGTGAAGTTCATGGGTCCCATTCCTCCCCCAGTAAAGTTGCCACCAAAATGGAAATGCGCAAAAGATAAGTACGGCAGACCGTACTACTACCACATTAAAATCAGGAAAAGCCAATGGGAACCGCCCCCTATAGCACCACCACCGCCGCCTATTGAAGACGCTGAAGAATGTGAGTAATTTATGTGAATTTTTCTACTACACGCATGCTCAAAATCTAAGGATATAATAAGTATTGCTATATATTATAATTATTTTTGTTTTAAATTTCATTATAACAGTGAAATACGTTTATTAAGATAAGTAATAACTAAAATAACCTAATACACCGGCAACTTAAGTGATTCCAATGAAATGAATTCTAATTATTCAAAATGCATGAAAATTTTCAAAGTAGATTGTATTAGAAAAAAAAACAATGAAGAGTTTAATATGGAATGTGGCCTCCTCGTGCATTTATGGTCGTTCTACAACGCCTTTCCATACTCAGTACCAAGTTGTCCAAATCTTCTTGTGGAATTGCAGCTCAGCACTGTTGAAGAGCTTGAAACAACTGATTTCGGTTCTGAAATTGATTATGGTCTTTGAAGCATATCCTAGGAATGCTCAATGGGGTTCAAATCGAGAGATTGAGCGGCCCAGTCTAAAATGTGAATTTGTGGGTCTTCCAGGAAATTTCTTGTCACTCTTGCTATATGTGGAGTAGCATTATCATGCATCAATATAAAATCTGGACCGACGGTATCTCTGTATGGAATAACAACAGGTTCTAGAACATTCCTAACATAATCGTTGGCCGATAAAAAAACGGTCCAGCAAAACGAGCTCAGGTCTACCATGAAGACAAATTCCTGCCCACACCATTATTGTGCCTCCTCTGTAACTGTGTACCTCCTGGGTATGTTGGATTTCAGATCTTGTACCAGGTGCTCTCCAAACACGTACCCTTCGAGAATCTGGATACAAACCAAACCATGATACATCAGAAAATAAGACATTACCCCATTGATTTTGGTCCCAAATGACATGTTCTTGGTCCCACGCTAGCCGGGTGGCGCGATTTCAGAGTTAGAGGTTGGCATCTCTAAGGCCTTCTGCTACTAGATTACCTTCCCTTAACCTTCTATAGATGGTATGTCTCGAAACACTCACATGCTGAGCATTGCCCAGATGGTTAATTAATTGAGAAGCAGTTATACTGTCATTTCGTCGAGCTTCCAATTGAACATATCGGTCCTTACTAGGAGTTCTCGTGTGCTTCCAGTCTCACGATAACGATTCCAGAAGCGCGAGATGACGCTTTGAGTAGTTCCCATAGCATTTACGACATCAACTTGAAGCATGCCAGCTTCAAGCATTTCCACGGCTCTCAACATCTCATTTTCACTTAAATGGCGTCTAGGCATATTTAAAAGGTCACTCAAAGCACTTTTGCAGAACAACAATTGAACTGTACATACTTGGTATCGCTTCTTATTGTATATTCTGATAATTTGGTTACCTTTAACTAGACTCTTTTTTTATCTTGTTTTATGGTGAAACTATGCGAAACGATGTGTCCTATTCTGTTTACATTAGTCATACTGCCCAACCTAGTTTAAACTACATAATAAATTATTGAGTATTGGAAATCTCTAATATCCCTAGATTTTGAGCATGTGTGTATATCATAAGAGATTCCTTACTCTAGAAGGTAATTCCAAAAACCTGGTTAAATCCAAACTTCCCTCTACGTCAAAACTTGATGAAAATCCACCGTCTGGTTTTTCGTGGCTCAAAATCTGATAAATCCTTGAACACTGTAGTAATGTTATTTTCCCAGATTATTTCATTTTATCAAAAAAAACTACTATATACATTTAAAAAAGTGACCGTACCTCAGAAGACATAACACTGAAGAAGTGGAAGCTACACATTAAACGACGGCAATATCGTTGACATTTGTCAGGTGGTGGCGCCGCCTACTTGCCTAGAGATCTAGAGGAGCTATCGAAGGAATGCTGAGAATGCGTCTGGAGTTCAATATGTATGAGAGAGAAGTGTGTCTAGCCACATATGTTAGAAGGAGATAGACGCCGGGTGGATAGCGAAGCTCATCACCGGGTTGGCTAGCAACGCTGACGCGGCAATCTGCCTGTAATTTCGAAAATGTTTTCATTTGCTATAAACAAGATGGTTGAACAACATAAAAAATGGGGAAGACTAATAGTGTTATACTCATTTTCTTTTTTTGTTACATACAGAGATTATGGGAAACTCTTTTTGATATTTTTGAAATAATGTATTTATTTACAATACTCTTGAAACAATAGCTCACATCGACATAATACCTGAATGTTGTCCTGTTGACACTATTTTATCAGTCGTTAATTTGAGTTTATTAGCATTTAACCAAATTTTGATGTAATTTATATATATATATATATATATATATATATATATATATATATATATATATATATATAGGTGAAAAATTAAAGCTTCCGCCTTTTGTTGGGTACTTCGACAAAATTTAAGCAAAGAGGACTCTTTATACTTTTTTAATTCTCTCTAGCTTTCAATGGACTTTGCCATCATCATCAGGAGCTGCAATTACAATGATAACAGTAGCAACAACAGTGTAAAATGAATTTAAATTGACTCAACTTACAGTAGTATGTGAGGATGTTGCTAATTGTTGTTTACGTATAGGATGAGGGAAAAGTCCAGTAACATGGTGAGAGCTGGATACATGGTACAATGGTCAAAATTATATAAAATATGACAAGAACAAGTTAAAAACAGATTAAAAATTATTTAAAAACATTAGAGCATTACATCGTGAAGCCACTTGATGATTGAACAAAATGGTGGTATATCATAATATCAAGTTATATATATATATATATGTAATTTATATTTATATATATATATATAAATCCACAAAAAAAGGAGGAAAGTGTATTCCAGCAGAAAATAGGATAGGTAACCCGAGCGATACGTATTTCTGCTGGTTGGCTTCATCAGGCCCGAAATGAATGCACATACAAACTACAAAAGTAGATACACATGCCCACACATCCGGATACGGGTGTAACCCGAGGAAACGAAGATGGAGAGGGAAAAAACAGCACACTAAGTCCACAACAAGAGCCAACCTACACATTGTAGTATAAAATGGCTAGAAGACCTCGAATTTTCAAGGAGACATCTAACCACAACCACGCGGCCGGTTATAGCCACTTGCTTTGGTACTTCAAGCCCAAAGGATCTACAAAAAGAAAATGATCGTGCGGAGAAATGTATATAACAAAAAGTAGGGAAATAATGGGCAAAATCCGCAAAAAGGAAGAAAGTTGTATATATATATATATATAATATATATATATATATATATATATATATATATATATATATTATTTGTTTCAGATTTATTTAGCATTAATGCTACAAGATCCATATTACATAGTATATCACAAAACATATTATGTCTTCAAGACTACATATTTTTATACAAAATTTCACTACTATGAATTCTGGTTTTCCATGAGATATTTTTTCAATTTCCCTTTGAACATTTTCAAACTGACACACATCTTGATATCATTACTTAATTTATTAAATTCGTACAATAATCCCTTTTGAAAAACTGACTTGCTTACTATATTGCTACTGCAGTTTTGTAAATGAAAGTCTATACTTCCTTTAGTAGAATAATTGTAGCACTCATTGTTCAATACAATAAAATTTTCTAAGTGATTTGGTATAAGATGATTTTTTAACTTGAATATGAAAATGAAAACCAAGTAGGCTGTGAAATTTTTGATTTTTATCCATTGTAGTTCTTTCAGCATAAAATTTATTCTAGTTTATGTTTAAGACGCGTTAAAATTTAGAAAGACGATGAATTGCCTAAATAGAATTTGATGCATTTAATGCATCTTGTACTCGTTTTGAATGATTTCAAATGCTGCTGTAATTCCTCCAATTAAGTCTTGCTCTGTTTCTCCTGGAGTTTCGTAAACCAAAGACTTTACATGTCCTCACAGGAAAAAAACTAGCGACGTTAAATCAGGTGACCTAGGAGGCCAAGAAACTGCTCCACCTCTGACAATCCAATGGTGTCCAAACCGCTGAGCCACATACTCACGTACTTGTACAGCAAAGTGAGCCGGCGCTCAACAACACAAGCGCCGGATATGGGTCCCTATACTCAAATGTTTTCTATTGTTGCACTGAATAACCCCTACAAGTTTGATCCCATAATTCTGAAACACCCTGTATATATTAATGTATCATCAGCAAATAGTTGAATTTTGCAGTGTTGTAAAATATCAGGAATATCGTTAATATATAAAATAAATAGTAATGGACCTAATTTGCTACCCTGTGGCACACCTACCGAAATGTTTTTAATGCTTAATAATGTATTGCCAATTGTAGTTCTTTGACTTCTATTGATTAAATAATTTTGTAAAAAGTTGAATGCTGAACCTTGAAATCCATAGTAATGCAATTTCGTTAACAATTTCTCCCTGTCAATAGTCTCAGATGCTCTCTTGAAATCCAAGAACAATGTTACTGTAAACTTTTATTCATCCCTCCATTCGTCTGCTACCATTTGAATTGCTGTTTCAGTAGAATACTTTTTTTCTGAATCCTCCTTGAAATTTTGTCAATATCTTATTTTCTTCAATATATTCAATGACTTGTTCATATATGATTTCCTTCTAAGAGCTTCTCGACATCTGCCAGTACATTAATTGGCCGCATGTTTGTATATAAATCAGAATTTTGCACTTTTGGAACAGGAGTAATTGTAGAACAGTTTAATTTTGAAGGAAATTCGCCATACACTAAACAGTGATTCACTAACAATAATAACTTCTCTCCAATAATGTTGAAACATTCCTTCTTAACCATTTTTGAAAGATGTTCACTAGGATTTCTATTCGATTTCAATCTTGTAATAGCTTTTAAAAGATGGCTGATATTTATTGTTTGGAATTGTCTCATAGAAGAATTATAAGTAACTTGCATGTGACATAGATTTGGATCGCCATCATCTATTGATTCCACTATCTTATTTATACTTTCTATGAAATAAGCATTCATTCCTTCTGCAATCAATATTTCTTGTGTTACTATACCATCTTCGAAGCATATTTTTGATAATTCATTCTTCCTACTGGAGATACAATATTTTTTAGTGTCTTCCACATCATTTTACTGTTATTTTTATTGCTATCGATTTTGTTTTCATATTTTTTCTTTTCGTTCCTAAGAGTTGTTAAACACTTGTTTCTTGATTTCTTATATTGTATCCAATCTTCCTCAGTTTGAGTGATCATAAACTTTTTTATAGTCATTATCACGCTTCTGTTTAGAGTCTAGAAATATTTGTGAAAAGCTGAGTGTTGGCTTTTTCCTTTGATATACCACTTTCCTAATTTGTCCGTCTCTCATGCAGTTCTCCATACAATCCATCATTTTTAAGAAATAAGTGTCAGCATCATTCAAAATGTCAGTGATATTGGCTTGTAAGAGTGACTCTCGTAACGTTTCAGTCAATAATTGTAATTTCTCTTGATTCTCTCTCATTAAACATATTTTCTACCTCGAAACATATCCACGAATGGTCGCTTATTTTTGGAGTATACAAAACCTTAATACTCAAATTCTGTTCATTGGTTATTATTAAATCGATCTTAGTTCGTGAAAAGTTTGTAATCCTTATGTAGTCATTAAGTTTTTGCCATAGACCATGAAAGTAGAGTACCTGTTTAAATTTTTTTACATAAAAATCTTGATAATCAAAATTTATATTGAAGTCGCCCAAGTGCACAGTGGAGCAATTTCGATAATACTGTTTTTCACAAACACTCTCAAAAAAGTTCAAAAATCGGCTTATATTACAGCTTGCAGATCTGTAGTAAAAGTGTACATTGTAATTGTGTTTCATCTTGATTTCAAAATTAATATACCACCATTGAAAATCAACAACTACAGTATTATGTGTTTTTACTTCAATCATACGCAGTTTGTATATTAGTATGCCACCTGTATGTTTCGAAACTGAGTTTACTCTTACAACATCTTAATGACGAATATCAATCTCCATATCTTCAATATCTTCTGTAATATGTGTTTCAGTCAAGCAAAGAACTAATGGTTTCACTAATATTAAAAAGTGTATAACTTCATCCCTGTGCGATAAAAATCCTTGAATATTTATATGGTATATACATTGTTAGAATATTTTTTATCCTGTAATTGCTATTTTTCACCATAAGAAACTTTATTTTTTGATTTTTCATATTCGATTTGGACCATGTTGCAGGTATAGTGGAAGGATGATATCGAAATTTGTGTTGTACTTCAAATTTGATTCTCTGCAATTTGGACATGTTATTTCATCTTTTGATATTGTTCAGTTCTGGGCCTGATGATCACTATTACCACATTTTAAACAAATACTGGTCTTGGTGCAATTCTTCGCTGTGTGGTGAAATCCACCACAGTTAAAACATCTCAGAAGATCGTAATGCTCAAAAATTGTACAAACATCCATGGATACAAACAAAACTGCTTTCATTACTGCTTCAAATATCGATCTATCCAATTCCAAAATTGCCATATACCGAAATTTCATTTTTTTTATTGCCACTACTTTAATCGAAGCATCACTATTTATAACGTTGTTTCTCATTTTCAAGTGTCTAACCAATTCTTCATTGTTTAAGTCTTCTCTGAAACCGACGACTTTAATCAATGGTAATTTTTTGTGGCCTACATTTACTTTATAATTCTGTTCAACACTTTTTTCTATTTCCAATTTTAACTTTTTGATATCATCGATATCCTTGCATTCAATTTTCAGTGCTCCATCTTTCAGATCATTTACTTTTGTAATAGACAAATTGATTTTTGCTGGATTTATATACTTGCTCAATTCCTTCTTTTTTTGCGTACAACTTGATTAATTAATGATGAATTATGATATACTTGTAATGATCATAAAATAGTAATAACGAAAAACGTATGGCAAGAAATGAGAGATATTGTAGAACGCAACTATCGCCCTCTAAAAAATAAAATAAATTCGATTTCCAGTATTTAACCTCAGCACCTTTGATCTCAATTTTCAGTACAGTAAATCATTGCAATGTGACTATTTGCTATTTTGTGTAGTTGTTAAGCTAGGATCTCTACAAAAAGTTGTGTATGTATGAAGTCAATTAGTTCGGTACTCTAAAGCAATGATATTTCTCACAGCTTCTGAAACAGAATCCAGCTCTGACACAAGCAGTTTGAGCTCTTCATCGGACTCAGATGACAGCGACGACGCGATTGACGACACTAAGCTGCTCCAGCATGTCAGGCGACAAATGGAAAAGGCTGATAAAGCTGTATCGAAGACTATCGATAACGTCAAGGTCGAATCCATGATTTTGGCATCTACGCCTAGCCCGACAGTGTCCGATCAACCATCAGAAGATAGATCAGAGGTAAGTTATATTGATGTATTTTGACTGCGTTCAAAAATAATTTGAAAAAGAAATGGTGAAGTCAGGTTTTGGAACACGAAAATTCTTAGCTGATTACCGCAGCGATATTACATATATTGAACATATTATGTAGGTTTTTCTACTAGATGTCAACTTAGAACTGACTGTTTCCCACTTCAAGTACACTCGTTCTGTAGCTCTACGTGTTGCCTAAACATCATGACGCTTCAGCTGTCAATGCTTGGCTCTGACCTGATTAACATCTGCTGCAGAAACGAAATTATTACACACAACGCGCGCGCGGTGGTGATTTCCCGTAATGCTTCTTTTTTAAAACCCAGAAAGCCAGGGAAAATTGTAATTTATAACTTTGAACATAACCCCTCTTCAGAAAGGACAACACACATAACCCGTCTATACAGTTAATATACTTCACGGGTAGCATATTCAGTAATAATCTCACATAGCAAATTCGCTGATTTTATACATGCGCAGACCAATATACAAAATCACCACACACAATCATCCAGATGCGATCTTGCTATTCAACCAGTTTTCTGTCTTTCACAACAAAGCACGCTGGCATGGCATCGAGTCATTCCTCCATAGATGAACTATTTGTACACTAGCAGAAAGTTGACATTTTTTCGTTTTTTTTTACATAATTTTTTTACGTAATAACCCTTCGAAATATGACAACTGAATGATTACAACATGTTTGACCATCGGTATCTTTCTAAGAAAGCGACCAGAAAGTAGAATAAGGTCGAAAAAAATGTTTTAGATCTTAAAATCTAGCATTTTTTCGCTTAAAGAAGATCGAAAACTACTGATTAAAAGAAAACGCCAACAGATTTGTCATGGGAGACATTTTAACCAAAAACTACTTCACCCCCTTTCACCCTCGGCCCCCCAGGGTCATTCCCCTAAAAATTTTAAATGACAAAGGGTAATATGTTGTTTGACAGGTATTTCAAAGTCGTTTATTTTGACTTTTGATTTTTTTAAATCAGTCTATTCGTTTTCGAGAAATTTAGGAAAATCTTTATTTATCTTAATTTGTTCAGATAGAAAACAAAAACACGAAAATATCACTTTTTATTTCAATAAGTGTTCAAAATGTTGTCCGTTAGGGTTTGCCAAATCTACAATTCGTTTATAATTTAAAACGGAAACTACCAACATAAACAGCAGTTCGGAAGATTAGACGTGGCAACAACCAAATAACACCCCGAAGTTTGTTCCGCATTCTTTTAATCAATACAGACATCCTGGGCGAACTGTATTTATTGTTATACTTGTTTAGTTATTTGTTGCTGGGAAAAAAAGGATTTAATTTGCTGTCATTTACCTTTATAGGGGATAGTGAAAATTAATTTATTTATTCAGATTTTACTTCCAAAATAGTTTACACACTAGCCGAAAGACTGGAAATAATTCTTATTTATGGTGCCCAAAACCAATGTGCCCGGCAAACTGCCGTCACGCTTAATACCAGACGTCCGGGGAAGAGAAGTTCGCATAAATATGTTTTGGACCTTGTTACTAACTGTACTCTAACTGGATCTGTTGCAAATGAAAAACGAGAGTTTTGGATAAAGCCACTTAAGTTGAAGTTTTGAGTCATTTTGGAATATATCCTATTACATCATTACGCGAAATTGTTGCTGCGACTGGTATTTCATTTGGCTTTGTACAGATAGTTACTAAACTCCATAAATTTCACCTATTCAAAATGAAAATATTGCAAGAGTTAACCGAAGATGAGTTCGAAAGGCTAGTTGAGTTTTGTGACTTATCAATTAATGATCATATGATTCATGTAAAGAATATCTGCTTCAATGATGAATGCACGTTTCATCTATATGGATTTGTTAATAAGCATAACTGCAGGTATTGTAGCAATGAAAATCCTCATGCTTTTGTAGAAGGGCATACCCAGTACCCCCAAAAAATTAATGTATGGGCAGGCATTTTAGGAAACAAAGGATTTGGGCCATTGTTTATTAATGGAAATTTAATGGAGACATTTATTTGGATATGTTGGAAACTGAAACCATTGAAAACTAAATCGAAGAGGATGGAAACCCTCTACTTGATGAGTCTGAAATATATTTACAGCAAGACGGCGCTCCTCCTCACTATGGTTTTCTGGTTCGGCATTGGCTAGACGAGTTTCCAGATAAATGAATAGGGCGAAGAGGGCCTATAGAATGGCCTGCTACATCTCCTGATTTGGCGCCATTAGACTTTTTTCTATGAGGCCATTTGAAACCTATTATGTTTACTCCCCAACCTGAAAGTTTTGATGAACTTCTTCAATGCATACCGAAAGCTGCCATGATATCCCGCAACATGTTTTTGAAAACGTCCGTCAGAAATTTGAACATCGCCTATATCATTGTTTGGCCAATAACTGGCAACATTTTGAACACATATTGAAATAAAAAGTGATATTTTCGTGTGTTTTTGTTTTCTAACTGAACAAATTAAGATAAAGATTTTCTCATTTCTTGAAAACCGAATAGACCGATTTTAAAAAATCAAACGTGAAAATAAGGGACTTCGAGAGACCTTTCAAACAAGGTATTACTCGATACCTCTTATCATCAACAATTTTTAAGGGGTTGACTCTGGGGGTAGAGGGTGAAAGGCGGTGGTTTTTGGTTAAAAAGTTGTCCCCTTGACAAATCTTTTGACGTGTCGGCGTTTTTTCTTTTAATCAGTGGTTTTCGATAAATCCATAATCCTCTAATTGTAGCAGGAAGTAAGAGGAATTTATTACTGAAATGATGTTGCATTAAATATAAGAGCCGCATTGTATACTTTTTTAGGTGGAAGCGAAGGATTCACCATTAGCAGGACCGTCTCCTGGTGATGGTGATGAATCATTAGAGAGACCTTCGATAGACATCAGACTTAAGGAACTCTCGTTCTTACGAGAAGACACTGCATCCTCATCAAAGAAAAGACGAATAGGATTGTGTGAAGAGATCATCATAAGTGTGAGTATTTGTTTAATTTCGAACCGCCAATGCATTCATTTTCATTTGCTTAAAGTGTTGTATTGACGCATGTTTTTTCATGAAATTGACTGCCGGGTTCCTGAGAAATGATTTCAATCAGGAAAGATAGAAAAGTTTAAAAAACAGTTGTTTGGAACTTGATGGCATCAAAACCCGGCAATTGAAATTCTTCCGTATTTTGCAATACTACGTAATTATAAACTGAATCTATGAAACTTGAGTAGCAAGGGTCACTACAAAACTATAATCTAAAAAGCAGTCATTTGTTATGTTTTTCAAGTATTTAGCTGGAAAGCTATTAAGTCCTTAGTTGCTGGCATATTTGGCTATTCATTGTGGAAGCAAAGTTCTAAGTGTGTGGCTGTGTGCTCGACGATTTGCGAGTAATTTTATCTCCCACTGTCGCACTAGTCCTACAATAACATTTAAATGGAGATGTCTTTAATTTTTTTAATGTAATTTCAGCCACGAAGTGAGGAGGACAAAAAACAACTGAGAGAAGACCTGAAGCGGTACAAAGCCAACAAAGAAAAACTGCGTCGCCAAAAAGAGCTGCTATTGCGCCAATCAAGACAGAAAGAGAAAGAGAGACTGAGAAAAGAGAAGACAAGATTGTCGTTGAAGAAGATCAAAGAAATGCCGGACTTTAATAGTGAAGCAGCCAAGAAAATCAAGGAAACGTTCAGAGCCAACATGGCCTCCACTGTGGTGATGTCGCTCAATGCATATAGGAAGTTGGACTGCAGAGAGGGCAGGATCACTAATACAGAGGATTTCAAGCATTTGGCTAGAAAGGTGAGCCTTTTTATCATTTAAAAAATATAACTATAAATCACAAGCAATCAACTAATTCTTAGGGCACGTTCTTATTGAAGTGCATGGAGGTCTTGCATCATAGACGTACAGTCTGCATAAATCAAAAGTTTGCCAATTTTGGCGAAAAACAAGTTTGAAAATCCCTTAAAATAAACTTATCTTAAAATACTCGTAGGGTCTTGTAGTCCGAGCTTTTACTTTAAGTTAGATATAATAATAATAATAATAATAATAATAATAATAATAATAATAATAATAATAGCGTTTATTTGCAGAGCCAAAAAATACAAAGAGAAAAAAATTAAAAAATAAAGAAACAATATGAATTTCCTGCAAAAGGTAAACAGGCGAGCTGATCAAAGTATTAGCCCAACAAACAAAATTACAACAGAGGAGTTCTTAACCAAATTAATATTAATAATAAATAATAATTATAAACGTCAAAAAAATATGTATACGCCTACACCACCGCCTCTACTCGCTCTATCTAATCTGAAAAATCTATAACCATTAATGTGAATACTAGAATTGGGAATCCCATTATGCAACCACGTCTCACAAACACCAACTATATCAAATTTCTTTTCTAACATAAAGTGTTTAAATTCAAAGAAATTATTTGTAAGCGATCTTACATTAATAAAAGCAAATGATAAATCTTTCATAAAACGGTAATGGATTCAATAAAAAAAACACTAGCAAATAGAATTGAACAATCATTTTTTAAAATTTTCTATGTCTGCTAAGGTTTTGATCCTCAATGCAACTTCCCCATCAGCCTTCCTGGCATAGATCTGGCCATTTCTGCACCAAACGTATTTAAACCCAGAAATCTTCAATTTTCTTGCCTCGTTATAAATGTCTCTAGTTTCCTTTGGAAGATCTTCATTAATAAATATTCTAGCTTGTGAATCACATATGCTGCAGTTTTGATTGCTCAGTGATAGCTTTTTCTCTTTTCTATAACCGTATTACGTTGTTCCACTGAATCAAATTGCACAGCCACCACAGTAGGATCCACCTCAGCCTTAGAAAGAACAAACACCTTATAGCTGGGTTCCCCCATACCCAGTTTCAAAAAGACTTTTTGGCGTTTTCATCAATTTTCGGATTTCCTTTAATTCCTGTAATAATCACCCTTTTCTTCCTAGCTTCATCTTCATCTTTAGAAACCTTTTCCTTCAAAGTTACTACCTCCTTCTCCAGTTCAGCAACACGATTCTTAAGATGCTCTTGTGTTTTTCGCAATTCACGATTCTCATCCGATATAGCTTGTATTGTTCTTTGTAACCCCTCCATCACTTCGCCATTAAAATTAAGGGCCTTTTCTATTTCTGAAAACTTCTGTTGTATAGTTTTCATTATGTCTTTGTTACTGGGATTATCCATTGGTACGGGATCAGAAGCGTCTGACTGATCTGATGATGAAGAATGCCTGTTTCTACCACATCTGCCACACAACCACTTCTGATCAGTCTTACGCTTTTCATAAGCCAAAAATTGCTCGTCCGACAGCCCAGTACATGTCCTATGGTACCATCCACCGCACGTCCCAGCACATTTCAAACTATATTGCGTCTTAGTTATATTATTGCTACATTTACCACATTCACGGGTCTTGAACTTGCCTTTTGTCATATTTATCCAAATCGACCGGACTATCGCACAGGCGTCTAAATAAAATACCAGAAATAACTTTTCATTCACAGCACTTTTTGCAGCCTGGTATACTTTTTATAAACGAGGTGGCGTATATTATATTCAAATTGCTGCAATTTCTCGCAAATAAATGCACATAACACAAATACTTCCGAAAACTTCACTCCTCGCACCACCAAGGGAGGCTTGTAAGAAAAGAAATAAATTAATCGCTGGTGTTACACCCATGAAATTTGAGAAATACCAGAGCACTTTTTAGAACGTGTTAATTGAGGGAAGTGTGTTCACGAGAAAGTGACAGTTATGATACCCATTTTTGGGGTTTTCGGACTTAAAATCGCTTATCTTATCGCTAGTGAGCAGTACGTCGTTACCGGATTATGGTAGGCGAGTTTAATGCACGCATTGGAATAAATTAAGGAAAATTTGGGGGATTTAGCAGCTATTATTGCTTATTCCAAACTGATCAATCGCATGAAACAATTGATAGCCGCTCGGTAACCCGGATCAAGTTTGTTTAAACATTTTTTTTAAATAAATTCCAAAAAAATGTTACTTTTTGGACCTTCGGGTTTTTTAGATTATTCTGAACAAGACGGCCAGTAACGCTTCTGTAAAGTTGACTGTTTGCCGTTTATAAGAGATTTAATGTCGGAAAAACCATAAACATGGGTATATTCAATGCCTAAAAACTCGGCTGAAACTTATAATTTTCTAGATCGCCAAGTATCTAAATCAAAGTTAAACATCCCGAAGTGTATTTTAAGATTCGTTTATTTTTAAGAGATTTTTATGCTTGTTTGTTAGGCGAAAATTGGCGAATTTCTGATTTTTGCAAACTGTACATCAGCGTACATGGAATTAATGTGTGTTTCAAAGCGAGAGAGTTAATGCGTTGAGATGATTTACTTCACAGTTTCGATATCCATGTTTTGTGGTTTTAGTGATTTGATAATAGTAACAGTGAAAGATAAATACTCTTCTAAACTTCTCTCATCTACAGTTTTTCAAAAATGTAGAGCAGCTGTGTTGAAACAATGCAAATTAGAAGGAACCAGTGGATGAACACGTTGTTGGTGAACAGCAATGATGCAGGGTCTTAGAGCCGTTTTACACACTCCGAAAATTATGGTCATAATTATGCCGAAAATTTTTGCTGTCGTATTACACCTAAAAGAATTCTTATGAAAATGTTCATGGTAAAAATATAAAACCCGTTCTATAGAATATGCGCGAGAATCGGCGCAGAGGGTTATTTCCGTGCATGTCATTATCAAATGTCAACGTCAACAACATAACCTCACTTAACATTTGTGGGTGTGGTCCTGTTCGAGTCGTACGAAGAAGCGTTCATTGTTATTGTTTATTCATAATGTCGTGGAATCGGAAAGAAGTTACACTGTTGTTGGAGGAGTACCAAAAATGGCCATACATGTACAAGGTGAAGTCACCCAATTACAAAAACAGAAATTTGCGGCGTCAGGCGCTGGATGCGGTAGTCCAAGAATTGAGAAGTTTTATAATATTAACTAAGATCTCGATTTCAAAAATAAATTTAAATCAACGACGTCTGTTGTCTTTCCGATTATATTGGGTCATACCCGTTAAAGGTTATGTCCATTTGAAAATATTACTCTAATGCGCAGGCGTATCATATGAATTACTCGGAAATTTTGTTTGCTTGTGTCATACAGGTTGTAGAGAAAATCTTCCATATTTTTTCCATGCAAATTTTCGGCATAATTATGTCCATAATTTTCGGAGTAATTCTCTTGTATGTAAAACGGCCCGTTACAGAGTTACACTATTTGGCATGAACGTGCACTTAGATCATTCCGTTGGAATTAATTTCATTGCTGTATAATTTTTTAACTTCAATTAGTAAAAATGTTGTACGATGTAAGAGTAAAGCATTCAGTATTCGGTAATTATCCAAGATCGTATCCGAAACTCAGTTATAATCTTGATAGGTTTTGAAAACTTTTGAAAATTTTAATGTGATCTTCAATATAATGTTATTCCATAATTTATTCTTTATATCATTATTTCAGTTGACGCATTTTGTGATGCTGAAAGAAATGAAGCATATAAGCAGAATCGATGATTTGACTTGTACGGACAATGTCAAAATGAAGGCTAGAGAATATATTCGGAAATATATGAGCAAGTTTGGGGACACATATGTTAAAAGAAACGACTCTCCTGACTTTAAAGATTAATATTTATGTGTTCAACTGTGATATATTATAATTGTAATTATGTTTTTTTCATTGTATTTATACGATAAGATTGTACATTTCGGCTTGATCATCAGATTTGATTTTGTAACCTAATAAAACAAATACACAAATTGTTCAGCAACAAACTGCATTACTATAAACATCAGAGTTAAATGATATAATGAAACATTTTTCAGAAACAGGAGGAATGGGGAAAAATTACACTTTGCTCTGCTGGAAAATTTGATAAAGTATTCAAGAAAATGGGTCACCGCACTTTTTCTTTTCACTTCCTTCAAAAAATTACTGTTTTTCCGTAATAATTATAACTATGAGAAAATGATTGTTATATATATATATATATATATATATATATATATATATATATATATATATTGTCAACATAACTAATTTCGTAACCGTAGATCTATTACTGACGAATCCGTGCTGATGTGATATCTGATTCTTCATTGATGGATACACCCAGGGTGGGGCATAAGTAATGAACCGGTTTGTCAAACAAATTGCTTATTCTCTGGTAGGAGTAGGTAGTGGGTGTCATTGTGTGTGTTGCATCGTTTAATTTTCAGTTGACGCCGTTTTTGATAATGGCCGTTCCGTCATCGCCACGCACAGAGCTGTTCGCGTAATTTCAACATTCCGTGTAATTTTACGGTCCCTAGCGGTATGACAATTAGATTTTGGGCCCATACGTTGGAAGAAACTGGATCCACTAAAAGACCCAAGGTAACTGGAAGACCCAGGTCTGTCACAACACCCGAAAATGTAAGGGCAGCAGTAGAATTGTCGCCAAGGCGCTTTGCTCGAAGGCATGCGATTGCTTTGGATATGTTTGCTCACCCTTTAAGGAGAATTCTGCGATAACTGTCATCCCATCCCTATAAAATCATGGTTGTTCCAGGAGTGATGCCTGATGATTACATCAACCGTGTAAATCGTTGTCAAGAAATGCTTGAACGGATCCCCAAAACATCAGCTTTTTTCAGCAGCGATGAGCCTCACTTTCACCTCTCTGGGGCTGTCAAGAAGCAGAATTTTCGGTACTGGGCTGACAACGACCCAAGACAACTTCATAAGAGACCTCTTCACTCAACCTAAAGTGACTGTGTGGTGTGCGATGTCACAATTTGGGATTATTGGACCTTAGTTTTTTGAGGAGAATGGTCGAACAGTAACTGCCACAGCTGATCGTTATGTTTCAATGCTGCAAAAGATGGGGCTACAGCACACCCAGCTCGGATTTCTATAGCGAAATTGAGACAAATGTTTCCTGGTGGGCCCGTGTCTTTGAGAGGTGACTTGGGTTGATCAGCGCGCTTGCCAGATTTAAGCATATGCGATTTTTTTCTGTGGGGTTGTTTAACGGAGAAAGTTTTTAAAAATCGCACCTACATTTTAGATGAGCTAAAACCCGAATTGTTGAGGATACATCCATTATAGCCCATTATAAGAGATATGGGCTAACATTACATTTATTACCATTTACCATTTTTAAACACAGGATAGACTGGCTATTTTCCATTGCGTTGGAAAAATATAAATAAAATTTCTATAAACTGGAATGTGTTTGACGATAATACCATATAATATCAGGTAACATTAATCTAAGACAATATTAATTTCGTGGGAATTTTTAATAGCACTCCAATCAGTTTCAGAGAACTCAATAAATCGTCGCAAAATCAGCTTTTCTGAAATTATACACTTTGATAAATCGAAATTTGCCGAATGTTGGTGGTCCTTAGAAACCACAGGCATATCATCATGAAGGACTGTGCAATCGGTTTTAAACATTGTCATTGTTGTAGACTGCATAAAGCTAGTTTTGAATTATATCGATTTTAGCGTCACCGGAATCGTCATCGATAAAACGCCATATATTGAAGTCACCTAAAAGTATTGTGGCATTACAGTTGAGGTAATCAAGTTGTTCAAGGTACTTAAAAAAACAATTCAAAGTCCTCGGTACATATTTGGTCCGGTATGTATAAGATTACTATGTGAAAAATTCCAAACTACACTTAACAACTAATAAGTAAACCGATAGAAACTGCAAATCAAAAGAAGTTACATCTAAAATCTCAGAATTTATAATATCATTAACATCTAACAAAATACCACCACCAGAAGCTTTACTGATCCTATTAAACTTATGGTCTCTTCTGTAGGCATTGTAAACTTCTGTAAGAGAAAAGAGATTAGAAAGTGGATAAAAATTGGCCGGATCTGGATTATGTTGAGTGTCGCTCGACGACAAGGTGTTACTCATATTTTGTATGCTCAACTGCACTGGATAGGCACTGCAGAACTAAATCTCACCTATTAGTACCCAATAAAAATGAAATAGAGAATTTTAAATGTGTGACCATTCTGTTTTAAGCTAGCCGTACACGTCATATGATCAAGTACGCTGCCTTCTGGCAATAGGGTATCTAGCCAGTCTGGATTCAGGTAAGAATCATCACAATAAAGGAAATATGGTACCGTATATTGTCACTAAAAAATCGTGGTTAGTTTATTCACTGTTACTGGAACACAGAAACTCACATGTTGAAGTATTGATAGTATATGATTAACACCAAAATAAACTTCTATGTTCCGAAGGAAATTATTATTGCTTACTGCGGTTTCAAGTCTACATACTGAGGTAAACCGTTTTATAAACAGATCAACCTCAAAAAAGATTCTAAATAATTGTTTCGATATAATTGGAGAGAAATTATTATTATTGATGAATCATTATTTAGTACATGGTGAATTCCTATCAAAATTAAAGTGTTCCTCCATTACTTCTGTGCCAAAAGTTCAACATTCTGAGCTGTATACAAATATACGACCGATAAATGTCTTGCCAGACGCCGATAAGCTGTACGAAGGGATAATATATGAACAAACCATTGAAGAAAACAAAATTTTGACAAAAAAATCAAGCTAGATTTAGTAAAAAATCTTCTACAGAAACAGCAATCCAAATGGTGGTGGAAGGCTGGAGAAGAAGTATAGATGAGAAAGAATGTATTGTAACAGTATTTTTGCACTTCAAAAGGGTGCCACTGGGGAGTAAATTAGGGCCTTTATTATTTATATAAATGATATCTCAGGCATTTAAGAACACTGCAAAATTCAAATACTTGCGGACGATACATTGATATAAATATATTAAAAAAATATGAATTGGTTAAATGTTAATAAACTCAAATTAAACACTAATAAAACAAAATGTACATATGTCAATAGGTAAACATTTAGGTGACAATACAATTAGGCTCATGATTAATGATGAAAAAATTGATGTGGTCGAATTATTTCACCAGCATTATGAATACAGTATTTCAAAAATATTAAAAAAGATAAATTACTTCTATAGAGCTTCCCATAATCTTAGTATGGATTCCAAAAAAATTATGTATAACACTATAATTTTTCCCCTTTTTTTATATTGTTCAACATCTTGTTTACAGTAAATGAAAACATATTTTCAATATCACAAATTCTATGAAATAAAGCTATGAGAATCATTTTAAATAAAAACAAATATGCTAGGATTAAGTCTATGTTAAAAGAACTACATTGGTTGAATCGGACAAATTTCGTATGTTATTTAGTTCTCATTTTCATATTCAAATTAAAAAATCATTTATTACCACCACATTTACAAAAATTCCTAAAATGAAATAGTCAATATCATAATTACTAAACTAAAGGCAGTATAGATTTTCATCTGCAAAATTGTAATAGTAGCATAACTAGCAAATCTGTATTTCAAAAGGGAGTATTTCCATTTAATAAATCGAATAATGATATTTAACAATGTTCGAATTTAAAAATGGTTAAGATGGAATAAAAAAAATCACTTTATGGATACTCAAAATACATAGTGGTTATTTTAATAGACAAGAATGTAAAATTACAGAAAATGGATTGAAGAAAAATGTGTAAGCGACTAATTTTACAAAACTGACATTCCAGCATTAATACTAAATAAATCTTCAACAAACAAACCTCTTTAGCTAGCTTAGCAAGAACCAGGTAACAGTCTTCAGAACCTAAACGATGGCGACTGATTGGTTTATTTACTGCCTATATACGTTGACAAAATGCTTTTTCATCACACGCTAAAAGTATCAGAATGAGAAACAAGAAAAATAATAAGAAAATATCTTTATGGCAGTCACGCTACCTTGGAGCTCTGACTTTCTAATTCAGGTCAAGTCGCCAGAAAAAGCCTTTGGTATGCTTATAAATTAGCAGAAGTTTGATTTTATTTACTGAAGCATGATGTATAAAGAATTTCGCCGTTGCAGTAGACTGGTTGAAACATCAAAAAATATATGCGATTCGAAAAAACTTATCACTTGTGTAATAAAAATGTGAAAATAAACATGGCTAGCAAGCAGGGTTGCCACCTTTGTATTTGAATAAAGCGGCCGACATAGAAACAAAAAGCAATATTCTAGTAAAAATAAAAACAAATGAATGGGTCATAGATATAATGATTTTGCGATTTCAAAATGTAAGCGCCGGCCATAGACTTTTTGATTTTTGCGGTGAATTTTGCAACCTTCTTCCCATACATGTTCGATGGGGGAAAGATCTAGGGCCCACTGAAGCAGATTTACTCCAGATGCTTCTTAAGTCTAAACTAACACGTGAGACATGAGGTCGTGCATTGTCCTGCTGAAAAAGCGGATCTTGCAATGTTTCCAAAAAGGGAAGCAGGTGTGGTTGTAAAACTTCATGGATATAGCGCTGGGCAGTCATGCTACCTCGAATGAACACTAATCGTGACCTGCTGCTGTAAGCAATGGCTCCCCATACCATAACACCCACGGTGCGATGAATATTCCGTTCGATGGAATATATCCGTCTTTCACCACGTCTCCTCCTTACTCTTGCACGGCCATCATGTTTGCCCAAACAGAATCTGGACTCATCGCTGAACACGACTGAATTCTATTCCATATTCCATTCAAGTCTCGCCGTACTCCAAAAAAATCGTTGCCGACGATGCTGTGGGGTCAGAAGTAGTACACGGTATGAAAACAGTCCAAAAGACCTTATTCGACGATAAACTGTTCTCATTGTTATTGGCCTTCCGACAGGATCAAACCACTGGTTCGCAACTGCCCTTATTGTCGGAAATTGATCTCTAGTTGACTCAAATAACGATCCTGTCGCTCTGTAGTCTTTGACGTCCAGTACCTCTATATCGTCGATTTCGGCTTTCTTCGAACCACGCTCGACAAGATCTCATTACAGCAGCTTCCTTTCGACTAAGCCGAGTAGCGATTTCCGGCGTAACGTAACCCGATTATCCGACCCCTCTCAAACTCGGAAAGTTGAGTGAAATTAGCACGTCTGCGAGTTGTAGGTATGATAATGAACTGAAACAAATGGAACTAACACAGACATATAACTGAATATTAAGTAAAGATGTTCATATTGTTCGGATTGTGATATGACAAAAAACCTTTCAGAAAAAAAAATTACCACTCGGAATGCCTTCAATATTTTATCAGCGTATACTCCATGATAGCAAATATGTTTACAAGTTTTTATCAAAATTCAATAAATAATTCTGTGTTGCATTTTATATGCCAGTATACAATAACCAGGCTTTGGCTTCACCCCTTCTCATCAGGAAGCTCGGCGCGCAATTGACTGAGAACTGAATCGAATCGACGCACAGCGAATTAGCGGAGGAGACGTAGCTTAAACTTTTCCCTCATACGCGACGTCCAATCACAACTCTATACGCCCTACCACCAGTGATGGGTGTTTACGCGTATACATTAATTGTCTAGTATCCATGCATACAATGAATAGATAATGTATAGAATAGCATAAGTGAGGTTAGGTTTATTTACAAACGTCAGAAAGTTGGTAAACAGTGAACTTAAAAAAAATATGGTTGGACGCTCCAAGAACAAAGAAATCGATAACTAGGGTTCATTTGTTGTTCTTAATTTATTTAAAACTGTATCTTTGTATACGTATATAAATAAATATTATATATTTTTTCATTATTTATAAACTGCTTCCACAGTCAAACCAATAATGCAATGTTGCAGAATTTGTATCTTTCAGTTCCACCTAAAATCGGAGAACCGTTAGAATCGATCTGGAATTGATCTCAAACAGATTCGATAGAAATGGGTTTTTGAGCGTAGAAAACAAGGGGTTGCAGCAAGCTACAGATGTGTTTTGTGGTCTTCATCACTGTTGAGCCAGGCAACGTGGTGTGTGGCGCACTCTTTTTACACAAGTGGTGCCCGCTTATCCCCCTCTCTCTCTTCCCCGTACACATGAAAATCTAAAAGGGACTTTCGCCAGCACTATATGCAAGTAGTTGAACTATGAGTTGCTATTGTATACATTTTATACATTGTATACGTGAATATCGAGACATTATATTCACCATTGTTTATGCGTATACAATGCGCCCATCACCGCCTACCATCTGAGCTGCGTATACGCGATATAACGCTTGGATGATTTTGATTATATCATACCAGTATTTTCAACATAACGCGCGTGATCGGGGCCTTTTCTGTATCTCCTGATACAAACTGCGTTGCATTCTGTAAAAAGTATTTAATAATAATAATATTAATAAATGGCCTTTATTCGTCACACGATTACAAAATAATTGGTTTAAAAGGAACAGTGACGAAAAGGTGGAGTGTCAGCTTATGCTGTTTTTCAACCCGACCTGGAAAACAGTGACACAAACTATAGAGAGAGAGGAAAAAAAAACTTAGAATATAACACTTATCAGAGAAAGGAAACAATCAATTACCTGTGGATATGCATAAAGTAAAATTTTAGCCATCCGACTGCTTTAAACTCATCTTTAACCTTTTTTTAAAATTGCTTAGGCTATATTCTTTATACTCACTTGATAAGCAGTTATATAGTTTGGGTGCCCAGTACGAGAAACTGCGTGTGAACAATGCTGTCGAATGCCGCGGGATAAGTAAGATGAGTTTATTCCTAGAGGATCTTTGATCGTACTGGCAGAGGAGGCTTAGTTTTGTATAAAGATAATATGGCGCTTTAAGGATAAGGGTCTTATGTACCAGAGATAGGCAATGCAGTTTCCTCAATTTGTTCATCTTAAACCATCCCGATTGGTCAAAAGCGCTACTAATATGATCAAATTTACGGATTCCATAAGAAAATCTGATGCATGAGTTTTGTATCATCTGAATCCGCTCGGCATCACGTTGTAAAAGAGCAGGTCCATAAACAGAGTCACCGTAAGATAATTTTGACAGGATAAGGGACTCGCAGAGTTTAAGCTTGAGCTGTGTCGACAGGACACTTCGACTCGGGTATAACTGACGAAGCACATTATAGGACGCATTGCATAGTTGGTTAACATGTTTAGTGAAGCGTAGCTTGCAGTCAAACCAGATACCAAGGTTTTTGCATTCGTTTACGAAGGATATGTCTTCATTATTCACCATAATATTAATGCGATATTGATTTATTTCACGATTCTTTTTGGGCCCAAATAAAATGCAGCATGATTTGCCAGGATTTAGTTTTAGATTGTGAGCACTAGATATGTCAAAAATAGACTGCAGGTCTTGATTTATTTGATGTTGGCCAAGCATATATTCATCAGGATCGAAGCAGTTATAAAGTTGGGTATCATCGCATGCTGTTGCTTGTAGTGTATTCAGAAATTCAAAAAACCTCGTGGAGTGAATGATCTACATTATAGTTTAATTGGATCTTACAAAATGACGGTCTATGTACATCTTTGAGCAGTCATGGTATGATTTGGTTTTCCATGTACATACTTTGATGATTGCTCTTACTGGTTCTGTGTTCTTGTTTCTATAGCATACGAGTTCATAATACTGTTCTCAGTCATCCGAGTGATCAGAGTGCCCCTTGCATCTGCATTGGCATAGGCTACATTGTGGCTTGATCCGTTGATTTTTTTATCACCGCGTCGAATGGCTGAACAAAGAATAGAAATGAAGAAACCAATTTATTGATGATGCATTTAATTTAACTTGCACAAAACACAAGTAATAATACAAATATATATATATATATATATATATATATATATATATATATATATATATATATATATATATATATATATATATATATATATATATATTGTACATCTAAGGCGATGATTGATAGACCAATTCTATTTATGTTCATGTCAGCCTCAAGCTTAATCAAGCATGCTTTTGTTTTTATTCTTTTGAAAACATGAAAGTTGCTTTACAGTCATCATAAAGTATTTTTTTGATATTATACCATATTGTTACAAATATGATCAACTAATGATCATAACACAAAGAAATAGATTAAAACCAAATAAAAACGCATGTCATAAAAACACAGAAATATAAAATATATGTACAATAAACGAATAAAAAATGGGAAAACACTCAAAGAAATATGTTTGGCAAGAGAAACATGTCTGATAAGTTATGCTTCTAAAAAGCACTCGTCTAGAAATGTTATGAGGTTGGTCGTATCTTATATTAACGGGAAGAATGAGCAACAGTATAATTTAAACATTGAAAGTGACAGATTTCTGTCCACTACTTTTTTTGATGTTGTTTAAAAGAGCAGTTTCAAAACTCTGTAGGGACTTGTTAACTTTTGCAAACAACAAACTTAGAGTGTTTTCGCTGTCAGCCGGTTGCAACACAGTCAATGCTTGGTATATTTGATTCATGGAATTTAGCACTTCCATCTTGCTTAGTTTTTTCGGTTCCTGTCTTATCTCTGCCCAGGTGAGGTTTTTGACGAAATCATTCAAATTGCTGTAATTTATTGAACCTAACTGGACACATGCCTGTCTCCTGTTTGCAAGGTCTTGTATGATGATAGAGTCAATGTTGAACGTGCATATTAGCCCATTGTTATAGCACCTGCATTAAAAATATTGAATCAAATAGATTATTTCAATATTTGTTATACACACGTACACCATATGGATAGATCTTATATCACTAGAAAATTGGCAGTCCTTACCATTCTTTGATATCTTCAAGTAAATCATCGTCGCATAGGCTTTTCTGGTCATCAGTTAGAACTCCTTCTAGTTCTTCTAGAAAGTTCGATTGATAAGGACTCAGTGTCACATCATTTTCAACGGTTTTTAAGATTCGAAGTCGGGATTCCAATTCGTCTTTATATCTCTCCACTTCAGCTAGTTCTTTCATCTGTAACAAAACGTTCTACCTCAATGACATGCTCTCTTCTGACACTGATGTTTCCTGGGACTATTCTATATGTCTTTTGAGGGTTTTTGAAAAACGAGTTTAGTCTGGAGATACAGGGCGAACATAATTTATTGTAACATATCAATTTATTTCCGGGTTGCTATTCGCACTCGCGGCGAGTGGTCTTGCTGACTGACCCCAACTCCTCCGACGTCTGCCTTTTATGAATGCGCCGATTATTCTTCCAAAATAAAGCTCACTAACAGCCTAATACTAAACTGTCAGGAGGCTTTCCGAATACAAAAAGTCTATGTATGCTATATTTCAGGAGCCTCGAGAAGAGAAGCAATTTCTAGGCATCTTGAGGATATAAAATGGCTTAAAATGCATCAGCGTGGGTAGTACATATCTCTTTTTTGCTCTCAATACAATCCTCTATAATAAAATCTCAATTTATCAGTTTAACAAATTGTCTGTTAAAAGTCAGTACCACTTGCGCTATGCTGGACATACACTAAATATGCCATCATCGAGGACAACCTTTTTGAAGAAATCTTTCTTCTATGTGGCACCTTCACAATGTATAACCTGCCAGCTACTTTAAAAACTCTGCCAATATAATCATACATGATATCGTTTACCCTGAATTATTGTGATACGCTTTAAATTTTTTTAACTGATTGTTTGTGTAATAATTATGCATTTTACCTTACTGAGAAAGCTGTACTTTTTTGTATTCCATGTATTTTTCTGCCCTGCTTGATACTGAAAACCAGCTGTTAAGCTGAATACCCGCCAGGTGAGTAAATGCTTTTCAATATTATTATTAACTCCTCTCAAAAGTTCGACCGTATCGAGGGTTGATCTGAAGTCTGTACTTCTGGTAGTCGCTGATAAATGGCGCTACCAGATGTCCTGCTCATATACAACACATAGCCCTCGCAGCATAATGGCAACTGATTTTTTTATCGCCAACAGATAGCGCTGGTGGCATCACAGAGATTGGCAGTAAAAGGAGGAGATGGGGTCTCGCATTCTAGCTAGATGTACTTATATATTTTGATTAGGACAATAAAAATGCTACATTCGAAAGTCTTTGTTCAACCTGCGTGTTGGAAAAGAAGCTGTAAGTTTTCTTGAAAACCACTGAATGACAAATTAGACTTAAAATATGTTAAATAATTATCCTTTAAACGTTTGCACACTATTCCAGAATACAAGTATCTAAATGCCGCCTCTACCTGAGTCTTTTTCGTCTCCAAAAATCTTTCTTCCCAGTTCTTCTGCACTAAATAAAGTTTAGCTTCAGTTTCTGTCAATTTGCTCCTGAGATCTTCCAGTTCTTCATTTTGACTATCATTTATAACAATCACAGATGAGGCTGAAGACATTGAAGTTCGTTCCATATCATCTCTTATTGATTTCAATCTGAAAAATAAGCATGCAATTCCATCAGTATATATTTTTTATACTAATTGAAACAGATAAAAAACTAGGGTTCTAAAAAAATTTAGGAATTTCGTATAAACTAATGATACGAGATAGAAATTGCTGAACCATACCTCCTAGGTGCGTTTATAAAAACGCTACAGTGGACAAATAGATGAGTATTTTGATGACTACGTTCAGACGGTCCAGGTACCGATCGCCTGCACTCTGTTATCAGCGGTGTGGCAACAGGTCATCGAATATTTGGGTGTCGCGTGTGTTATTAAGAACAGAGCACGTAATATAGTATTATTAGAGCCAAAAAAGTTGCGATCACATCTGTATAAAGTGTGATACCTAGACCATCTCTTCCATGTCTTAGGCCAAATTGTTTTTTTGCTGTTTCAGTTAAGAATAAAAATACAATTTCATGTCTAACAATTAATAGTATTTACCTATCTATCTCCGATTTTAATTCCTGAACCAATTTTTCATGTGGGCTCTCATTTACAACTGCTCTGTTCACAATGCACCTGGCCTGGCAAGCATACCTCAAAGTAGACAATGTTTCTTCCAAATGACTACTAGCTGGTGAAATAGTGGCTAACATTGATGTCAAAGAATTTCCACCAAGGCTTTCCTATAAAAATATATAGAACACCTGTGAAAAAGCCACAAAGAAACTATCGGCCCTCCAACTGTTCTATTCTTATTGTTATTTTTCTTTACTAATAATTTTGTTGAATAAATTATGTGCCCACTCTTTGGAGAAGGAATACTGCAACTGTGTATATTTGCTTAAATTTGTATATTTTGAGGATTTTTAGTAGGATGTACACTTGTACAGCACAAAAATGCAGTCATTGAAAACGACTAATATTTTTTAGGCATGATGAAACAGTCACCACCATGGATGATGGTGTGATTTATAAAAATTGTTTATGGACGATTTGATCGACCATGCTTGACACCTACCAAGTTATCTTCAATGTTTTTAACAATTGGTCGATGGTTGGAAGGTAATTCTGGAGCAGTGAGGCTAAAAGTTGCACGTTTTCAAAATAAGCAAGCCAACGCTGTCTCTTTTATGGATGCCATACAAAAAATTGTTACATAAATGTTCCGTCAAATGATTCGGAATGATGGACAGTTCTGCTCATATTCTTATGACCTACATAGATATTTTAAAGAATGGTAAGTTTATTTATTAAATTAAAGTAGGTTGAGTCTGTACTTTCAACGCAACGCCACCATCACTTCATAAAGGATTAAGCACAAGATAGATCCTATCAAAAAAATACAGCGCCGTAGACCTCATATCGTGTATAGAGGATAGTTGCTATACTTTTATTGATTGTTCCAGTCACTAAGCCTAGACACTGCTGACAAGTTGAAAAAAAGCACGAAACAGCTGATCATGGTCGGACGGACAAAAACAGCATGTTCAAGTTAAGTCCTCTGGAAACGACAAATAACGAAGTTTGAACGATTTTCATTTTTTTTTTTTCGTTTTTACAATGCTCTTTTGTCCTTGCATAGTAACCTTGTGTAAAAATTTCATAAAAATCCAGCAGTACTTTCAAAATTATAGACAGACCAAGGATTTATTTTATATAATTTGAGATGTAGAGGTTTATGATACCTCGAACATAAGTGACCTTTCCTAATCAAGTTTTACTTTGAAATTTGCGAATTTCAATAAAAGCATAGGAAATATATATCTTTTTTTCAGCCCAGGAGCCAACTTTGGTTCTATAATAGTCACCAATGGTCAAATATGTATTTTCTTAGTTACCATGGAAACCAAAGTGAATATAGCTCTGCTTATATGTGGAACTTTTCAGGAGATAATGCTACTTTGAAATTCAAATTACAGATTTTCTCTTTTCAAAAACGTTGAGCCGATTGATGAGAATCGCCCGGTTTAAGATATTTTATTCCCCGATTTTTGTGACACTTTTGGTAATACCTTTAGTAGCCATGTGAGTACAGATTCCCTATATGGTACAAATTGATTCTTCTTCTGATCAGCTAAAGCAGATATCACTTTTCCCAGAGTCAATAAAGCTTTATTGATGAAGACACCTTCTCTCATTTTGTCGTCTGTGTTATAGGAATTACCCAGTCTTTCACTTCCTGCCAAATCTACTAGGCTGACTTTGCTTCTTCTATTGTCTTCCTTACGTAGTCCTTCTGACATGCACAATTCCACAGAAAATATACTGTGAGATCTGGAATAAAAAACGAGATAAATTGTTCAGCTATACTGAAAAGGCCTTGAAGAAAATTTGAAATACAACCATCAATAACACTACCATTGATTAACATATTCTACAAGAAGATACCTAATTCAATTGAAAGCCGCGCCTGCCCGAAAACGAGCATCTGTTCCGTAGGATCGCCAACCACTTATGCGTACAACTATAATATACATGTCGGCTACCATATTTAGGCGCCAGCGTAGCTACCTCTTTGGAATAATTGTCGCAGAGGTTGTGGGGTGACCTTGTTTTGGAAGCTTGATGACACGATTTTCTTTAAAAGGAAAATAGGGTGTATTTTTCTACTTATATGCAAATTAATGTGATCCTGCTAAGCAACAATGCAGTGACGATAAAATTATATGTGATGTCCAAATTATTGAGCGTAGGGTTAGGTATATTAGAGAATATTATGTTCATCACTAGTACTGGAGTCTTAAATCGTCAATATTTGTGGCCCAGCTACATACATATTCTAGATATATCTTGAAAATATTGTCTGTAATGTGTAGACACGTACATGATCCGAAGTTCTCACCAGAATGACTATAAAACCAGGTAGGAATGTATGGATCACTACAGCATATATTACATGAAAATAGGTCAGAAAAGTTGAAAAAATGATAGCTGGAGTAGAAAAATATTGGCCATTTTGAAGCCCATTAGTATATGATTCTTGTGACATACCTTGAAGACTTTTCATTCATGGTAGTTGCAGCTATAGCTCTATTCTTGTTGCCCATCAGAAGATATTCTCTGAGCTGACAGTAACTTTTCACTGGTTTGACTGTCAGGTCAACAACATAAGGACCCCACATTGGATGTTCTCTGACTTTCAATGGCAATTTGGTGGCTGAGGTAGCTAGCAGGTCATGGATCTTTTCATTGTAGATCTCAAAATAGCTTACCTCCACAGCTACATGGCTGTGGCTTTTTAGCTTCGAAATCCTATAAATAAAATTTGCATAGTTTTTCTAGTCCACTTCTTAGTTTTATTGCATAACAGAGTATTTTCAAAATTTGGAGCAAAAATACCAAGGGTGATTTTTTTGTACAATCTCAGACTGGTAATCCCCCGTGTTTCTATGGCCGAATCAAACCACATACATTTAAAGTTCATCATTTCTGTTTCAATGGTAACCTTCAAGTACAATCGACTCTTTTTTCACAACATATTTTATTTTATGTGTTTCAGGTGACACTTCTTTAGTTTTTTACTTTCATTTTCACATTCCTATACAGTGTGTTACCACACAATAGTTTAAAATGTTCTGTAACATATAGAGATTGTGCGAAGTCATCATTCCAAGTTAAGATGGCACCTCACAAAAACCACATAGCCCAGAACCACCTGGGGTAGGCACAATGCTGTACATGCATGATTTAGTGATCTGAAATGCGAGAAATAATACTTTGACATCTATCTAAGGGGAACCACATTTGTCCTGTGAGGAAATAATATAAAACACAACAGTTTGGCCTTGAGGTAGAGAAGTAAAATATATGCACATTTGAGATTCAATAACAACCATAAGAAAAAAAAATTGGAATGATGGCTTCGCACAATCTCGGCATGTCACAGGACATTTCATTTGTAGAAGTTCAACATTGGGACCGAAATGTTGTTCAATAAAGATGAATTTTAAACATATGTGGTTTGATTTGGCCAGAGAAACCTACAATATTATCAACATGAAAATCACAGGATAAGTTTCAGATGTTAATTTAAGACAGTTTTGTTCTAATCTCCAATCTTCTTCAAATAGGCTACCAAACTATTTCAATTATACCAGGGTTGTTTCTTATTTAATTTAATCAGGTTCTCATCAACATATCCTTTGTGAGTTTCTATTAAAGACTCATGACATTCTATACTAAAGATGCTGGATGTAACTCAATAAGAAATGACTTTGGTGTATTTGAAAGAGTTTTGCAGTCTATAACAACTAGATTGCAGCTTAATATTTTAATTTGAAGGTTCTCATTGATTTGCAGAATATTCCAACATTAGTAAGCTTCACAGTGTCAATCAAAAATGTTATTTTGTAAAAAAATGGCTCCTATATTCAAAACCATTGATGTAAAATATCTAGGCAATATTGCATAATGTCAGTAGTTACAGGGTCAGGTCGAGATTTTTATCATAAAAACCTGTCAAAGTGAATGCATTTATGTTTTGCACAATTGGCCAGGTTTTTACTTTAAAATATTTCTTTTTTATGTACTTATATTGAATGTGTTATTAGAAACAATCATATAGATACCAGAAAACATCAGGTATAACATTTGACAGATTATCATATTTTAATGACAAAATTCAGGATTGAACTAAAGCTTTTTTAAATGCAAAATATGATACCAATGTGTCATTCTTGGCTCTACCCCTGACTACATTTTTTATAGCCAAAATAATTTCAAATAGTGCCTCTCTACTCTCTAGATACTATTTTCATGTTCAAAATGAGGCATTTTTTTCAATCTTACTGCATAAATGTCTCATAAAATAAACAGAAACATCATCACTTTTAATTGTTTCACATGTTATTTAAACTTTCTCACATTTCTTAAGCAACTCTATGACCCCCTTAAATTACTGTAGAATTTCTAATTCTGCCAATAAATTAATTAGGAAAATATGCTCATTTCTTACCTATCAAATAGATCCCTACAGAATCTAGGAATGATACCACAGTAATCATCAGAGTCGATATCTACACATTCTGTTAAGTGTTGTCCCATCATACTAAAGCTCTTCCCTGATCCAGTCTGTCCATATGCAAAAAGGCAGGCATTGTAACCCTGAAAGGCACTATTTAGTAACGGTTTACCTATAGTTGTGAACACATCCTCCTGAGATGCATATATGGGACTAGAGCTATCACAAGACCAAAATATGTGATCATATTGGAAGATGTGATCTGTCCCAAGACTACTGCTGTGTATTATTAAATCCTTATCTCTGATTTTGACAATGTTGGAGGCTCCTCCTTGGACAGCCTGATCCTTTTCAGTCAGGGGCCTTATTCTAACAGCAACTGTGAGATTACTACCCTCTTCATTCTTTTCTTTGCTAGGTCTCCTCCTTAGGGGTGTTTCTAATATGACATTGCTAAAGCATTCTGGAGTATATGCTGTAGTTGCATCTTGCTTTTTAGATTTTGGAGTTGTATAGTTACTTCTTGGTGTACAATTGCTGAAGATTGCTCCTGGCCGTTTGGGTGTTGGGAAGTTTGTCTTAGGTGTTCCTGGGTTCGAAAGAGCCATTTTTGAATTCAATTCTTGTTTAAAATATAGCTAAAATCGTCCTGATTCCTGAACATTCCTCTTTTACAAAGTACTGAACTTGCTCTTTGATCACGCTGGCAAAGCTGTAACTATATAATTCTAGCGCTTGGGTCTTGATTTTCAGCTCAAAATGGGTCTTATGTCTATAAAAACACTATAAAATCCAGTATCGAGATAAAACTATAAAATTTGATCACAAAATCTTCACCGTTTTTAAATGTTTGGAATTAGGTTCTGTTCCATTTTACATGAGAGTCCAAAATTGGGCTGTCATTTATGCAACCGTCCAATCCAAAATCCCACAACTTATCATGTGATCAGCTTCCAACCAATAAGGGAACGCGAGGTTTAGATAGGAACAAACGTTTGATTGCCGTTACATGTACTGACAACTTCCCACTGTTCGTCAAATGACTTAAGCAAGTTACCACTAGATGCCACTTCAACTTTATGTCGTGCAAACACCAGGGGCGTAGCTATTGAAGGGGAAGAGGGACTATTAGCAAAAGTTTTGGGGTTCCATAGCCCATACACTAAACCTAACGAACCTCTGTACCAGTACCACTCTGTACGAATGCCTGAAAGGACGGATTCAGAGGGTTGCGTGGTTATGGTATACTTAACATAACCATGTATTTAGAGGTTTAACCTGTACACAACAATGTAATATGTAATCCTGCACAAAAAGTCTTGGACGGATCACTTTTTATATGGGAATTTGGTTTTTTCAAATTACCATTTAAGGATACCATAGGGTAATAAATAAACTAAAACTATATTTTCCAAAATAACATAAACAATAAATAAATAAAAACAGTAACTTACAGTATTATCTAACAACATAATAAAATTCAAATGATCTAAAAATATAATGCAGGGCTGTAAAAATTCGCATCTATCCCATCCTGTGATCGATATCCTGTAGTATATTCTCCAACTTCACTTGTTTTGTGTTGCTTTTGATATCAAGGTATTGCTCAGTATATGTTTTCTGGTATTGCTGGAAAGTGGTTTTGTTTTGGCAGAACAAATTGACATAAAAAAGTGTTCCATCCAAGATTTTTTGTGCAGAATTACATATTGCACTGTTGTGTACATGTTAAACCTGCAATAACTCCTAAATATAGGGTTATCTTAAGTGTACCATTGTGGGTGGCGCCCCACCTGCTATGTTTTCCAAGAAAATGATATATCAGGATGTTTCGTATAACAACCGACACAGAGCAGGGGCACAGCTTAGATAACAATCAGCTATGAAACTCTCCGGTCAGTGTCAAAAACGGCCACTATTTCGGTGGAGAGAATCTAATATAAAGGATGAAAGAGGTTTTAGTGCTCAGCTGCTCGACAGCAGCCGGTGTTGCCATGCCTCCTGCAGCGACAGCAGATATTCATTGCAATCGTAAAAGAATAATATTTCGATATGATCCAGTGTAGTTTGTTTGAATCAATAATAAAAAGGAGTATGTTTCTCCAAAAAGAAGCGACGATTTATTTATGTATGAAAAAGCTTATAGCTATAAATTTGTAATGGTGGAAGTATTTACAAAAAATGAAAAAATACTTATCATATGTATTCTACGCTGCTGCGATATAATCAATCCATTTTCAATGTAACTGTTGCTAAAAACATCAGACAAATACAACCTTCACTTGTCGCAGAAAAAATTAATCACATGAACATTTAAATGAGAGATTTAAGAAACACTGTTCATCAGTAAAACTAATCCATTTTTGGCATGAATATTTTTCAGAAGTGTCAGGTTTGATTGCGGTGTTTTGACACCGTTTAACGTTGAACATGGAATGGATTGAGAATATCGTAGCAGCAAAGAATGCATGGCAAAAGTAAATATTTTTCTGTCCATTGTAAATACTTCCACCAATAGGAATTTATTTTAAAACTGTTTCATAAATAAATAGTCATTAATACTTCGTCGCTTCTTCTTGGATAAACATATTCCTATTCATTACTGGTTCATATAAACTATGCTATAGTCCATTACCGAAACTGTCGACCGCAAGGCTTTGTTGTCACATGATCATCTGGAAATTCATAAAGTTCATCTAAAAGAGTCATAGTGTATAAGCATAAGCTGGGAATAACCGTTTGAAAAATATTTCATCATATTTTAAATGTCTGCGATGATAATAGAAATACCTAACGTAGCAACAGGCTATAAGTTTCAAAGTTAATTGACACACTCGTGAGTATTCCGCAAATATTTTGATTTGCGCGTGTAATTTCAAAAACGTCTGTTATCAGATACCAGTTTGAGTCGTGATAATTAAATAATAATAATAATATGTGCGTCTAACGACAGTACAGCGATAAAGCTGCTTTATGACATTTTTTGACATATTTTTCAAGCGATATCTATCAAAAGTTAGGCTTTAGTGCTGTACATTCGCTAGACGCGCACAGTAACAGCAACAGTGTGATTTAAAAAAAACACCACGGATATTATCGTTTTATGGTTTACTATTGCTGGATGCGACGGGCAAATAATAGTACAAATCTTAAAATATAAGTGGCACCTCAAGACGCGGCAACATCGTCGGACATTTTGCCGACGTACAAAGAAAGCACACGAGCACCGTTTTCTACCCGTTTTCTTTGGTCAGATGCGGCGCGCATAACGGAAAGGAGGTGAGTTGGGAATTGTTGAAAATTCAGGGATTACGAAACATAGATCATCACGCAATGGATAGTCTACCCCATAAACCGCATAATTTATGTTCTGGACAAAGAAATATAGTGAAAAATGTGTATGACGCACTCCGAACATGATTTCCAGATAAACCAGTAAGAGATATCGTTAAACTTTGTAGCCATATGACAAAGCTATCATCATTTTCAGAATTATAAGGAAAGAAACGTAGTGTGTGTTCGGTGGTAGCAAAAAGGAAAAACAGGGACGTTAACTAGTGGTTTTAAATGACTCGTTTTATTTGAGAAGAGAAATACCGACAATAAAAAACTACAGCACGCTTTGAATACTGACGATAGTCTACCAAAAATATCACAGCGTATCTTTCTATGAACTAAACGAGAAATTAATATCAGATATTTGAAGAAGAGGAATAGCGCATTGATCGAAAGGGATGACCAGGCGCAGCGAGTATCTGAAAATAATACGTAGTATTCGCGTAATGGGAGGACAGAACATTTATCATTCGGATGATGATTGAATGACGGTCACACAGTTTATAAATAGTGGCAAGATATAAATATCACATCTCGTACTCAAGCGTATCGTATCATATTGGTAGCGATTCAGGCCTTGTCGATGTAGGATTGAGCGTCTTCAAATCACGAAGAACTGGATATTATCATGAAGATATAAACGCACAAGTTTTTGAAGATTGGTCCAAAGCAATGTTACCAAAATTAGAACCCGAGTCTGATTGTCCTAGATAATGCTTCATATCACAGTCGACGTGTAGAAAATCTTCCCACTTTAAATTGGAGAAACTTAGAAATTTATGATTGGCTAGTGTCAAAAAATATACCATGCGACCTATCGATGCTCAAAGCAGAGTTGATGCAAATCGCTCGTCAACACAAAGGTAGGTGCACGAGATTACGATGGCGGATGTTCGTATGCTTTTGGAAGAGGCAATTAAGGGTGTAGCTGGTGACACGTGGCGGAATTGCATAAAGCATTTAGTGAAAGAAGAGGAAAAGTTCTGGCAATTGGACCATTCCATAGAGCAGATAATCGAACCAGTGATAATTAACTTAAATGATGACAAAGATATCGACAGCACTGACGGTGACAGTTCCTGCTCGAATAATGGTGAGTCATATAACCGCAATTTGACCGCAACCCAGTTGACTGCTATTTATTTGTTCAATTGAATATTTATTCGTATATTTATTTATATTTGCACATATTTACGTTATACATTATTCATAGTCGTTTTATATTTGTTTTTAATTTTGCAATAATCAGAATGTATCGTTTAATTTTTGTGTTCGAGAAACTTTTATTTTTGTGATTTGTATTAAGTTTCAGAGATCAATACTATTTATTTTTCATTTTGTTGAAACGGAAAGACGGGTGGAAGGATGGGCGGGACTCGATATTCATCCACCTCCCCATGGTGAGTCCTGTGTAGCCCGATCATGGGCTAACAAATTAATCCATTTTTTCTTATATTAATCAGTTACAGGTCGCTGCTCTAGCTATTTCTGTTTAGTGATGACAAGTGTTGCAAAATGTTGAGGTAAATTCTACCTTTTAATCCCTTAAGCGGAAAGCGGGCTCCCTTCGAAGAAGTCAGCAATATTCCTCGCATTCCATTGCTGTCAACAGTTTAGGTAATGAACTTCATATCAAAATATCATTTTACGATTCCAAATAGTATCTGCAGCCGGTGGCAGGGTACGGGGCAACACCGTCTGCTGCTGAGTCCTACAACAACATACAACCATATTTTTCTTTTTAATAACCCTTCATATTAGATCAAGCAGAATGTCAATGAAATTACAAATAAACATAGAATCCACTTTTCATGAAACAAAGCACTTGATATAGACAAAATTATTAATCTATTCGATAACAAAATGCAACAGAGTCACTGGGAAGATACGGCAGCTCAAAATAATACAAAAACATGAAATTTAATGCACAGAATGTGATTAACATTTTCAGGAACATCACAAATCTTCAGAGCTACAATAGACTCCAAGAGCAAACTGTGATACACTTATGCATCGTCATGTTATAATAAAGGAAAAGGGTTGGTCATTCATTTCTAATACATGTGCATGCCCTTCGTATTTCTGTGGTCCCTAGTACTACTGCCTGATATTTTTATGTGTAGACCAAGACAAAGGAAGTGGTTTATACAATGAAACAACTTCAAAGGAGCATTTGATTTGCAAAATTAATGAATTATTTAAGAAATGTAAACCAAGATCCTTATAACCCACAACTACTAAATACAACTAAAAGCTTTCAGGGAAGTCATGAAAATGCATCAGAAATAATGGTTCAAATCATGAGAATGAGCAAATGAGTGTGTTACTTTCAAGTGCTGTATTAGAAGAAATGGGTATGACGATAAGTTTCCAGTGAGTCTTCAGAAAAGCTACATGGTTCTGTGAAACGAATCACTTTTAGTAAACTGACTATACTGCTACGCGAATACGAAACAAGGGCACGAAAATGTGTAGGTAAGAACAATTTGCATTTTGTTATAGAACGAATGGATACTTTTGTCTCTGTCAAGTGCTCTCTTTAACAAAAAGTGAATTTTATGTTTTTTTGTAATATCGATGACATTCTCCATCATCCACGTGGGGATGGAGGAATACATCCCTTCATACAGTGAAAGAGCCTACACCAGGGTCCAACGGCGGTTCAACAAATCGTGTGACACTGCTCGCCTGCAGAAGATCAAGGCACACAGAATACAATATAAAAGTTAGGTACAGGGTAATGTCGCAGCGCAATGGCAGTCGGTCTTCCTGGACGTTGGACAAGCAGATTGAAAAGAACTTCTCAGACAGTAGACTTCCACCACTTCAAAGGGTTCACTACACTTTGCGGGAATTAACATTCACGCATAAGACCGTAAGACGAATGCTCTTGTCGCTCGACATCAACAGTTTCTGGTCCGGACTTGATTCCTGCCATTGTACTGAAGAGGTCTGCAGCAGAAAACTGGAAACTTGTATATATCCAACCCATCCCAAAAAAAGGATCTAAGACCGACCCTTACAACTACAGGCTTATAGCTCTGCTTTCTGTTCTAAGTACGGTGATGGAGATGTGCATACATCGCGATCTTCTGGACTACCTCGTACGTCACGGCTTAATTAGGGACAGGCAGTATGGTTTCCACCACCAGCGATCCATAGGGGACCTCCTAGCTTTCTAGCGTTCTACAAACCTTAGGCAGTTCAAAAATCATACTAACAAAATTTCTTTGGGATCATCATAGCCGCCGCGGTGTTCCGGCATTTAGGCTTCTGCCTGCGCGGCTGCTTCGATATAAAAAACAAAAAAAAAACCTTTAATATTCGTTATCCTCCGGAATCTTCATACATACATAAGACATCTGAATTCAAAACAGAAAATTAGGATAAGGGCTTTATCCCATTTTATGTCTATAACACGGCTCATCAAAGTATGGAAAATGTAGATTCAAATTACTTAAAACGATAAATCAGTTGATTCGTTTGTAAAATACATATACAAATACATATATTTTGCTTCGGAAACGACAAGCATGCAGTTATAGGAACGAAGGATACACCCAAAATTATCAGTTTAAATTTTAGTTACGAAGGTAATCATACATAACTGAATATATATGTTGAATAAATAAAACCACTAATACCAGAACAGAAGATTTGGGATTTACCATACTAAAGGTTCAGAAAAAATAGTGACATTCGTCAGATTTAATTTATAATTACCTCATTTTTCAAGCAACAACGGTTTTACAATGAGATGAAGGGAATTCTGTTTATAAACGTAAATTTTACCATAAAAGTATTACAATGTTCCCACAAAATAATTGTCATTCAAATTCTAATATTCGTTGAGTCATGACATCAGCTTTTCAACCCGTAAATAACAGTTTATTCCATAATTCATCATTTTCCACTGAACAATTTCTTAACGTTTGGGAAAGTGAGAAATCTGTTGGTGCTAGATCAGAGTTGTATGGCGCATTTTCGAGTCAATGGATTAGTTCAGAATGCCGTACCATACAGTCCCAACAAAGCACCAATCGAATTTTTTCTTTATCTTATCTATAACAAAAAAGTTAAAACATTTCTTAGTGAAAGGCGATTCGAATGATGCATGAACCTTTTAGCCTTAATGTGATTTTGAAAGTGAGCTAAGGCTAGATTCCTCTGGTCTTTAGTCTAAGGAACTAGAATCCTGGTATTTTCATTCGGAAAAATTATATACACTTGTTGAGATTCCGGATCTGGATGTGGTCCTTGGATATCTTCAAAATGATATAGAGGTTCTGGGTGATTATTGTCTTGCTGTGCTTCTGATATCAAATTCCCGTCCAGATGCAAATTAGCAATTTTCTTTTGTAAATGACCGGCCTCGCCCTTCTCCATCAGATTCTTGAAGAGTCTAGCCGTTTGGTAGACATCATCTGGTAATCGGTATGATGCACGGTGGTTACCAAGTGTGTCCCATAAAAGATGCGAGTTGTTCCATGTCATTTTTTGACATTGGTGAACAATTGGGTCACGATTTCAAGTGCTTTCTCAGCCGTGTGCTAGTCAGGGCATGCGGATTTTTTGCTTGGCACTCTCTTGAGTACACAACAGATTTGCATGTCCATGAATTCTCAGAACATAGATAAAAGATATACATAGCTCTATCCTACTCGGAGGCACCTGATTTATGGACGGAATGGAAAGTGATCGGGAGTCCGATATGACGCCGTTCAGTTAATTCGGGTATTGTGGAGGACTCAGCACTGCTTTGCGTATATACGAGTATTCTACATGGGATACCGATCTAACAGTGTTTAGTAAATTCGAGTATTTTGGGACACTCAGTGCTGTTTTTTTGTGAATCGGAGGGTATTTTGATGGGCGATGTATCATACGGCTTTTGGTTGGCGTGTCTATATAGTTAATTCTGAGCTATTAGAAAAAATCAAAATCAAGTAAAGCTTGATTTACTTATCCAAAAATAACGTCACATCATGGCAAGCGAGGAGGGAAGTAATTCGAGTATTTTCGGAGACTCAAAATGCTGCGAACCGGAGGGTAGCGGAGTATTTCAATTGCAAATATTCCAAATTTGAAAGTACGTTTTTAAGACTTTATAGCACAAAAAGTCATGTTTTTCAACTCTGCCGGTTTGTCTGTTGGCGATTTTATTAGCGCATAATCCCAGTAGCATCTGCGCCGATTTCAATAGAAATTGGAGTGATGAGATGTAAACATGTGATAGGAAATTATAGATTCTTTTTTGTTTGTTGGAGGTATGCGATCATTTTCTGTCATGTTCAGTTTTTCTTTATGGTGGGTTCGAAAAATTTTTGAAACTCAAAAACGTTGTTTTTTGGTTTTTGCTTTTTATCAACCCAACCAGTCGTAAATAGCACCGTTTATCATCGTTAGGATGTCATCGATACGACATAGGCTATCGGAGATAGACGGAACGCAAAGTGCTCCGTAGTACATACAACCTCTCGGGCATGTGATAGAAGAAGGTATCTAGATTTTGTGGGCTGCTCGATGTTCCGATAATTTCAGGGCATTTTTCGCATGAGTTACAAATTTACGAAACAAGTTGGGCATCCTTCTTTCGCATGCTAGCGATGTTTTGTATAGTCTAAATCGAGTAATTAAATGAATGAAAATTGGCACCACTGCACAGATAACTTAACCAGTGGTGTTTAGTTTATTTGAGTATTTTGGAGGACCTAATGCCGCTTTGTTATCTGGAGGGTATTCCGATTGAGGACACATCATACAGTTTTTGAAAGGGAGACCTATATAGCGGACTTTGTATGGAAATCCGAAATGTTAATGTACAGTTTTTTTAACTGATCTTGGAGCAATGTGTCTTGGTGTCAGATATTCACGAATTAAATTTGATAGTATATTCAGTATTTCTGGTAGGTGACTTATTGCTGGTTTATATAATTCTGCATAGCATTGTTGTATTGCTTAGTATGACATACCATAAGAAGGAGTAGATGTGGAGGAACTTTTTTCACTGATTTTAAATTACAAGGTTGCCAAAACTTCCCATAAATTCTTTCGAATAGCCACAAAGCAGTAGAAGATCAAACCATTCAGTAAACTGGTATTGTTTTCATAAAGTGTACATGATCCTTCAATACCTTGGAAATGATATGTATACGGAGACTATACATCCCGAAAAATGATAAAAATAAGAAAATAAAGCAGTTGCTCTTTATCATTGAACATTAGTTGCTCATCGATTTTTTTTCAGGATTTCACAAAATATAACGCGTAACTCAAAACTAGTTCGACTTTGTACTAAGGTATATGCGACTCAACGTGTCTCAAATGGGGTGTACTATCACCCCTTGAATGGATGGTATTGACCTTCCGAACACCCTGTATATTATTTGTGAGTACAATTATCGTCATTCCTCATGAAGATATCTTCAGGAAAAATCAAAAACAGTCGCCTGATTTTTACCTACTAGAAAATCGTTTATTGAAGATTTTCTCAAATTTACATGACTGACAAACAGTGACAGTAGATATAACTTTTTGTTCCCATATATGAAACATATCTTTATATTATATATCATGTTTACGACGCGACTATTTACAAAGGTTAACCCAGCAAAACGACCCAAGGCACATTTTGGCAGTGTAAACAGCAAAATATGAAAACAAAACAAATATAAACAAAATAATAAAGGTAATAAAACAGAAACATTGTATGGCATAATCCATGTGTAATAGAGCTACTTCAACAAATAAAAAATGTGCGTTTTTAGCAATAGCCCCGTCAATCTGAACGTATAATTGGAGCTTTTAGATTCTGTTATAGTTTAATAGCTAGCTACAATAAGAACAGGCCAAGGTCCATGAAGTGTTTTACTTCAAAAACATTCAGTTGGTGACAGCAAAGCAAAAATCTGACAGAAGACGGCTAAAATTTAGATGTGTATTTCCAACAAAAAAACTACTATTAACGTAGTCGACTGAACGGATGCGACATTTCAAATAAATACATTAATCAATGATACTATATTCTTTTTTATATTTTCCTTCTATGCCATCAATCAAACTTCGTGGGCCAAGACATGTTACTGGATCTGTAGACAGCTCTCTATATAGTAAATTCTATTTTTATAAACTGTTAAGACTTATTCACGTACTACGAATAAATGTAAAAAAATGAATTGAAAAGATTCTTGAAGTAGTGCCATTCTTATTGAATAATCCATACATTCTTATAAGCTATGAACACAAATTTAACTACCTATAATAAAAATTTTGATTATACTCGTGGATAAATGATAGTCGAATTTTTAACAAAATTTATTTATATATTTCGGTAAACCCTTTTTATAAAAATGGCAATAGTGGCAGCCTACACATAAAACAATCGAACTGTCTTCTGTATAACAACAGACAAAAACCTAGAATTTTGATAAATTCCACATACATTAAAGTATATGAAAAAAATACATTCTCTAAGGCATAAAGTTATATATATTTTTAGTGCCTTACGAAATACAATATAAACTGCGCTAAACATTGACACTTCTCTCATCTAACCTTGAATAGTAACAAGAGAATAAACATATTGATTAATGGTTAGTGTGGTTACCTTGAAACTACAACTGAAGCTAAGCATTAGTGCTTTCAAATAATCAAATATCTACCAGTAATATCAAATCATGCTGTCCACCATCATGACATCATCTGAAGAACTGCAGGTTACAACTTCTGCAAAAGCGCATTCGAGCACGACTAACTTTGAATTTGAATAGCTGCCCCGATTTTTGTTACATTTCCGCAGTGCAACCATGTGACTAAGAAAAGTGTCAAGTCTTAAATGCAGTCGAGAACAATACACATAGAACGTACGTCAAAGCTGCCATTTAAAAAATACAATTTTACTCCTTACCTTACCACCTAGAAAATTATGTACACATTTTAAATATACCGAAATTTACAATAATTATAGTGCACGCTATGTGCAGCCAGTAAACATTTGGTTTCAAGTTTCAGAAGGTTTCATAGTCGAAAAATGAAAGAGTTGCTGTCGCGTCTCCATTACATTTCGACTGTTCGCGCTGTATATCGACGATCTCAAATCAATACCTCGTCGTTCCTATATCCCATACAACATCAAAACAGAACAAAATCAGAAAATCGACATTTTCGCACTTACGAGGTATTGATTTGAGACCTTCGATATGTGATTCTGTTGTCAGCATAAATATTGTTGGGTTGTTGATTCAATTATTTTATGTTTTTATGCCTTGTATCTTTTTCATGAAAACATTTTACACACAATTATTAGGTTTTCATTTTATTGCATTATCACAAAATTACCAGTCTACTCTTTCAAGTCAAATCATCACGGTACTACGGAAAATCGCCGACAAAGGCAGCTGAAGACTTCCCTGCACACCACATTTGCAAATGGCAAAAAATGCATGAATATCATGCTACATACATATGTGCGGTAAAACCAGAAATTGGTAATTGAAGCTCTGAACATTACGTTTGCTTTATCTCTCCCTAAAAGCAGAATATAAGATAATATATAATTCACTCATCTTTACTCCCTGTGTTATTGCTAGTACTGCGGTAACTTGAAGTGTTGCTTTTCATCCTATGACCAGAATGAACATATTTTTCATTCTATGCATTTATTTAAAGGATTTAATTAAATCAGATTCACTACTTGCAGTGGTCTATGAACCTTCTTAAAATAAAACCAACATACTGGCGTTTAACTACGACCATGATAAAAATGGTAACTTTTCTAATTCCCATTTTTATCTTCACTCATTCGTTTTACAAATGTTTTGTATATAAATGCACTAACTAAACAACATTCACTAATTCAATCGTCAACTAACAGCGCTACTAGCAGTCCGTTTCTTGCCCTGCTCCTTGACGGTATCCGTGTCCGTCTTTTTGCCTTTGGCTTGCGCCAGCATAGTGACCAGCTTCTTGGGGGAATCCCCGACGATCCAACCATGCTGTATTGGCCGGTCTTCGTCGTCCTCCGGTTCGTCCCTTATCGGTTTTACCTATTTAAGATTCACTTGTAAATATAAGGCTTGTGTACTTCAACGCCACTTGAGTGCTGACTGAGACCTGAGTGATTAGTTCTCCTTAGTCATTCTCGAGTGTGATTTTCACAATGGATGACATACAAATTCAAACTACAGGTAACCCATTATTTCAATAACGTGTAATGTATGATGATGTAGTTGAATCTTTCATCAATTTTTGTTTTGTAAATGTTTTCGAAAGTGGCTTATGCAAAGATAAGAAAAATCTTTTTAGGACTGTGATACGCTTTTAAAGACACAAAAACATAAAACAAATAAAGAAACTGATTACTGAGCAATGAACTCAAATAAATGAAGGCTGGGAAGACTGTGACTTTTGAAAACTAAACCTCCTCATAAAATCTGCATCTTATTTTTGGGAAGTAGATTACAAAAATGGTATTCAAGCTATATACATCAAAAACGACAGAAACTATGGATTTGTCTACATTTTTTCTAAATATTTCAATAACGAAATAGGTGAATGACTTTCAGTTCTGCAGAACGTTGTGATGCTGCTTGAGTTTCATACACTCAGTTTTTCAAGATACCTATAATTATTCCTCTTTAGAAAACGAAATACTTTGGGAAAATAAACATTTTAATGCCGCCCAAGTTTCATATGATCGGTTTTTTAAACTTTCTGTAAATTTAACTTGTGTGAAAATTGATAAATATAAAGTTTCATATAAGAGGCATTACATCGGGAGCATTACTGAGAAAACTTTCGCTGTTTAGTCTGGCATTATCAATGAGCATGACATAAATTATTTTGCATTTTTATTTTTGCGTTTTCATAAAAATAATACAAATGTTGCCAGTTTCGTTGCCTTGTTTTAACAATAGGGCGCAAGTATCTATCTTCTCAAAACAACACTTCTGCTGCTTTGCGCTTGTGTAATCCCGAACAAATTTAGCCTTAACCCTACCCCCACCTAAGGGCCAACAAAATAAGTATCAGCGATTATTAGAAAATTGAATGAGGCAAATATTGTCTGTAAAAAAATGCAAAAACAGAATTCGTTCAATTCTGACGAAATCACTTCAAGAGAATGGTCAAGTGCGAAATGAAACTGCCAAAGTCCACTGAAGGGACTCACATCACCTCTTATCATAAAACACTCGACATACAAGCCTCTCGGGCAAGTTTTCCAAAGAAATTTTCTGAAACGCTACTTTCAGCACAGTTATCTACTCACCTCAATCAAATCCTGCGACTCGTCCTCCGAGGAACTTGACCAATGATAGAGGGGATTTGTGGCAGCCCGCTTCCTTCTATTTGTCTGCGCGGCAGATCCTTCCATGGCTTCCTTGGTCACTTCATCTCTTATGGCTGCACCTTTCGGTCGCTGCTTTTTCTTCTTTGCGGTCACAGTCTTTTTTGATTGCACTTTTCTCTCTTTCGGTGGTTTCTCTCCAGCAGGTTGTTGTTCTATAACAGGATCAGGTTTGTTCTCGACGATAGGTTTTTCTTCCGGTTCTGGCATTGTTTGAGGAGGTTCCTGAAATAAGGTTGCATTGCATTGCAATAAATGTATGGAAAACGTGCATAATTAAAACGCGCAACTACAAATACGTGCCTGATGCTGCAAGTGTTCGATAATGCTGTATCTGCGTGTTTGCAGTCAAACTGATGTGCTACCAGTCGCGTTCACCTTTGTGCTCAGCTGTTTCTATTCTACACATATTTATATTCTATTGCGAAATCGTAAAAATAAAGTGACACTTCAAATGTCATATGTGCCAGTAATCATAAGTAGTATAACTGGTAACACTAGATTGATAATGGCTGTCAATGAAGAGATTTGGCCTGTAACTTGACTCCCTGTCTTCAGATTTGCAAAAGCACACAAATCAAATACCATTGGGACAGGTAATACGTACCCTCACCATTTAGCACAAAGCTGGTCCTGCCATTTACGCTTCCTATGGCGCACCACGTTGTGCAATACCCATTGTAATTACTGTCTATGTATAGTTATTCTAGAGCATATGCTCTTTCCAGGAAATTAGCGAGCGCTTATGAAACATCAATACATGACAAAAATGAATCTCATTATTTTTGAACTGTAAATATATATTACACCAAGGTAAAAATGAATTATGCTAGCATTGTGCTGCAAATGTGTGAACAGTTAAAGTGTTCCATTATTTGATGGAGTTCATAAAAACAACCGTTGTTGTGTTGTTTGGTTGGTTTTTAGATAGTTCGTTTGCTTGACCTTTCGCCAAGACGAGTGGTTGGCATCTTCAGAAGATGTTTACAGTTTGGAGTCCTGCTTCTTGCATCCCCGCTGTCTTAGCTCATATGTATATGTGGCTCGGGTGGTAGGGGGAGCTCATCGGGAATCCTCGGCTGGCGTTGCGGTCAGGACGACTCCGAGGTTGTTTTGCCATTTGGATCACGCAATTTTCGTGGTTTTTTAATACTTTTAGCCAGGTTTTGTGTACTTTCAGTGATTCCTCTGTTTTGTTGAAGTTATCCTTGTGTGTGTGTAACTCTATAGCCTTGTATAATCTAGCATGGTATGCTGGCGTGTTAGCAATGACCTGGCCTTCTTCAAATTTAATACGGTGATCCGTTTTGGTGAGTGCGTGTTCGGCTACAGCAGATTTTTGAATTTGACCCAGACTGCATTCTGCTTTGTGTTCTTTAGTTCTGGGATTCGCTGATCGTTTTGTTGTTCACACTTACACAAGTACAAGGTATGCGATAGACTCCCGAAGACGACAGAGGGTCTCTCCTTTTGCCGATCTCAGACTTTCACTAATTTTTGTCGTAGGCCTGTATATTGTTTTGACGTGCTCCTTGAGAAGTAGACTTCCATTCTGTCTGTGACTCTGGAAATACATGGCAAAAATGCTTTGGAGACTGGTTGGTTATTTTCTTTGACTCTGGCATTACTTGACGTCATGGATTTTCTAATTTCCAGCTCTGAGTATCCATTGGCCATTGAGCTGTTCTTTAGATCTACAAGTTCTAAACGCAGTTCTTCGGGTTCACAGATTCTCCTGGCTCTTTCTGTTAGTGTTTTAATGATGCCATATATTTCTGACAAGGGTGGTGACTGGAATTCCTATCCAGATACCGATCTGTGTGCGTTTGTTTTCTATATACCGTATGTCCCAGTCGTCTTTCTGAGTGAGGAATTCATTAAGTTTCTCAGGTCCGTGGCTCCTTCTTGAAGAAATTCGCTACCACTGGACTCAAAGGGCTGCCCTTTGCCACCAACTCAGTCTGTTCGTATATTATGTTGTCCCACGTGAAGTATGTAGTCGTCAGGCAGTCTGTATAAATTAGCAAAGCCCTCTGGAAACATGCGGCTGATTGCAGCATCAACTGGTACTTTTGTTACGAGCGATACTACGCCAAAGCTCACTAGTATATCGTTTTCTTCGAGATGAATTTCCTTTATTTTTGATATGAAATGGGTCCTTTCGCATTTCAACCTTTGTTGAGCTTGATACAAAGTCCCACATCGCAAGTTGAATGTTTCCATAAGCTCCGTGTGACTGTACCTGCTGTTTCAACCACTGGAGCTATTTTGTTGGTTATCACTGTTGCGTTCATTTTACACACAATCTCATATAGCCTCACCACACCACACTCAAGTCCACTCAATGTATTGCACGTTCATTTTACCAAATCTCAGTTTAAGTGAAATGAGATGCCTTTCATAAATGAGCCAGGGATCAGATCTGACAGCCTCATTCATCTCTTTTGGACTGTCTCACTTTACTTGCATAACAAACGTAACGCATTTCTTGAAAAGCATACATCATAAGCAACTATTGTGGTAACGTCAGAATAGCTTCAAAGGACAAGTACATTGACTATGAATTGGTGGTCATTCCAGAAGAACAGTAGGCCGCAAATTATTAACGTCGGTCTATCATATACACTGAAAACCAATTTTGTCTGTCGGCTGGTACGAGAGAACTGTGTATAGACACATATGTTAGAAAGAGGTAGAAGCCGGCTGGATATCGAAGCTCATCCCGCGTTGCCCGGCAACGCTGACGCGGCGATGTGCGGCGTTGCAATTATGCTACACCAGTTCCTTGAAATTAAGATACATGTTAGTTTATTATCTACGCCCAAATAATGGTTTTTACACATTTTTGAATTGTGTCGAGTCTGTTTAGAATCGATTTCGCTCATTGGGGAGTGTCATTTTACATTTTCCAACCGCTCGCTGTCGCAAAATTTAACAATAAATCAGGATGTGTTGATTTTATCACCATCGGGGAAACCTATATATCATAAAAAATCGATATAATGACACTTTTTACATTACCTAATACGGGTGCGGGTCTCTACGTGAATAAATAGTTTTTGATTATGTCTGTGAAAATTGGACATGATGAAACGATCGTGAACGTGGAGCTTAACACGGCGGACACGATGCAGAGTCTCGGCGAAATATCGTCCTAACAACGCATCGTCAATGCCCCATTTTCATTATCCATATGGCATCACGAGATGCGCAATGTTTTACTCACTTTCAACGTCGCGCTTTCAGCTTCGTATAACGTCGCTAACTGTGCACTAGTAGATAGCGCGAGAAAAAGTTGCGATTCACAATTATATGAACGTGTGCCTAGCTACATAAGTTGTGATAACGTGGCGTTCGCAATGCGTTCCGATTGCAGAAAACGGGCGTCGACGGCACCTTTATGATTGGTTAAAAATATTTCTTTGAAGATAGTCTGGCCGCATTTCGCGTGGTGCTTGCCCTGTTGTCCCGCGCGAAAGATAATATGAAAAAATATTGGAATGTTTTCAACGCAGCTGCTGTTTTGTCTTATTTCTTATCGTAAGCTATTTTAATTCATACCGTGTCAGCGATTGTTTTAGTGGTGATCTTCTGGCTTTCGAGCATCGCTTCAAACTGTGACTCGTCGGAACTCCAGTACTCGACCAGTACGTTTTGCTTTCCACTCGTGCACTTCCTTTGACTCTTCCGGCTAGCAACACCAATGCATTCCTTCAATTCTAGTTCCAAATTGATGCAGCTGTCCTCCTCCTTGGCAGTCTTCTTATATGATCGTTTTGAGGTGTTTGTTATTTTGAATTCGTCATCGGTAGAGTCCGATTGCGTCCTCGCACGCTTTTTGCCTTTCATTTTCGAAGGTTTCTTTTTGGTTTCGAGCTTTTTGTTGACCTCCTTGGATTCTTGCTTAGGTTTTACTGGCGGTGCTGTAGGAGGTGCGGGTTTTGAAGCGGCTTCTGGCTCAGCTTGCTCACCTTTGAAGTTAAAAGAGCGTTAGAAAACTATGAATATTTAGGATATTAATTTATGGCAGTTTCAGTTTAGAAAGGAAGGTTCCAGATATTAATAAAAAAGTGAGGTTACTACATTTCACGAAATGATATAAATCTATTTGAAGTTTTATTTATGGGTTAAAAGATACTAGTAATACCTTATTTCAATCTTTTAACCACCTGAAATGCTTTTGGCTACGCTATTAAAACTAACAGAAAGTTGAAAATGTCTACAGGCAAGATTTATGAGGTATTAATTGAATAATATTTTGACTGCACCGAAAAATTATCAGAGGCCCGAATACATCACAAAAACGTTTAAGAGATCTAGATTCAAACCTAATAATTTCTGCATTCTATAGCGATCAAGAAGTTGTGAAATGTCCATAATAAAAGTTTAATTGGTTTTTGTGATCCTATAAAATACTTGGTCAACTATGAGTTATAGAGGCCTAGGATTAGTGGACGGACACTGGTGCCATGATTTTTATTAAAAAATATATTCAACAACACTCACAAAATGTTTTAGATTTCGAGCTTCCACGAAATCCTCCTTCCCCCTATTATTAGGGAGGAAATTGAGAAGCTACCCAAACTATGATTTATCTTTTTTCCAAAAATTTACTTTTATATTGATTCCAAAACTTTACGAATTACTTGTTCACTGAATAAGCTCACTCAAATTCCAAAATGTTTCAGTACCAACCTTCTTTACTTTCGATTTTATCTTCCAGTAGCTGATCAAAAAGCAAGTTGATCTCTGACTCGCTCAATTTCGGCTTTGATTCATTTCGTATTACCCTCTTACAACTGGCAACATAGTTCTCTATCAACTCATCATTGTCAATCGGAGGAATAGCTCTGATGTCCTCGTCGATATCTTCCACTTTGGACTTGGCTGCATTCTTGAATATCCTACCCATGATCATGCATTTCTTCTTTGTGATGTTCTCTTGTGCTTTAGGCTTCTTCACTACGCTCGAGGCCAAAGATGATACGCTCGAGTCTCGTTCTACAGTAAAGGTGTCCAAGTAGTCTCTGCTGTCTGTATCGCTTTCTTGATCGGTTGGTTCGGCTATAGGTTCTTGAAGATCAGTGGGCTTTACGCTTTTGAAAGCCTTGAAATCTGGTTTGGTGAAAACTTCCGTATTATCCTGAGTTTCTTCGAAGTCATATACGTCGAGGTTTGTTTCTGGTTCTTCAGATTGGATCACAATGTTTGTATTCGGTGATCCCTTCTTCTTATTCACCTTGAAAAGGCATGAATCAAATTATACAAGGTGGTCCAAAAATCAGCGGTAATATTTCTAGGACAGAACAATAACATGGAAAGTTTCTACAAATATGCAAAAAATGCCTGCATATCGAGAAATATGGTGATTAATCTTGACAATTTACGTTTAATATATTTTTTATATTATTTTTTATGTACTTGTTGCTTTACAGATATTGCCACTGTTCTTTAAATTACCCTACGAAAAATAAAAAATTAAAACTCGGAAATGCCATTCCAAAATGTGTTTTTTATCAGTATAATGCTGCTGACTTACTTTGAACATAAGGTTGCTTCCAACTTGCGCTTTCTTCACCGGCTTTGATTTTCTTGAAGCTTTCTTTGGTACGTCCTCCATTTTTTCCACATCATCACCTTTTTTGCATTTCTGTCCGGTACTTAAGACCTCCTCCATATTAAGTTCTTCAGTAGGAATTGATACTTTCAAGCCTTCAAACACTTTTCTAGCTCCCTTTGTCACGAACTTTTTGGCATCAAGCAGTTCGTCCGGCTTGGCATTTTCAGAGGGAGTGATGTTAAGGGGCTTGGAAATCTCGTTCTCACTGTTTTGAAAACACGGTATTTCATATATGTTATATAAATATTAAGGTCTAAACTACAAATGGGTAAAAAAATTAATATATCAATGAGACTTCACCTCACATCTGATAGGTTACTATTCGAGTTTTTCTCCATTCAGGAGCGCTCTGCTAGCGGACGAGGTGGCAACAAGGAAACTGCAGCAAACACGTTTAATTTCAGTTAGAAGGTTGTTTTTCGGCGACTGATATATCAGCCAATATGAAGAGACAATGGAGGCATCCTGAGGAGGTAGATTTTTCTCCTTAGTACCTTGTACCCTGTAAGCACACTTGATCCCAAGACGTCTCCATTTCAATGTGGCCAATTTATACGGAAAACATTTTACCATCGTCAACGGATGTTTTTTTGTTGATAGTTCAGTCAAAATTGTTCCAAATCTTAGTACTGGAGTTAAATGTATTTGCGACAGGCTGCTAATAGGCAATCCTAATTCAACATACACCACTCAAAAAAAAAAACCAAGGGAGCAATCAAAAGAATCAAATTTTTTCATTGGCTCTATTTTGGTAAGAAATGGTCGTATCTAGACTTAAAAAAAAAGCATTTTGAAGCTTCAAGATTCTAGATTTTAGGTTTTTTAGCAGACAAATTTTAGGTTCTCATGCAATTCCAACAGATAGCGCAAGTAAAATTTTTTACAAACTTTCTGCCTTTTCTAGTCCATGAGTTTGAACAATTCTTTTTTCTGTTACGATATGATCACTGATAATTCGGCAACCAGTGATCGCACGTAGAATGTAAGGATATTCTCGAAAACTGGTTTAGATCTCATATAAGATTTTATTGCAATCTTTGAGGATTTTTTTTATTCATATTGAAAAAGAGTAAAAAAAGTCGCTTCTTGCCTTGTTTTGGAACTGACAATGAAAAGGCCAATGTTTTTAGGTTTTTTATACCTCAATGCACCTCTAGTAACCCTGCATGACGGCAGATCGATCCATTGTACGATTTTTCCGGACCGATTGGTCAAAATTTGAAATTATGCAAATTTAGTGTCGGATCTTACTGACTTCGGTCGGACGGAGCACTGAATATTTTCTATATCCGCCCCTGGTTAGTGATTTTGTTTTTTAGAATATTCCATGAATAAAAGAATTTTTTTTCAATTGCTATTTTTAAAATTGAAGGTGTTACATGTACCCAATAGTAAAGGCAAAATAAGAAAAACGGATTTTCTATTTTCAACCAGATTACAGGATATTTCTCCGGAGCAACCGTACAATGGATCGATATGTAGTCGTGAGGGATTATTAGGGGTACATTGAGGTATAAAAAAAAATAGAAACGTTACCCTTCTCATTAGCAGTTCCAAAAATGCGGCCGCTTTTCCAAAACAAGGTAAACAGTAACTTTTTTTGAGTTTCTTGAAATCAACAATAAGGAAACAGAAACAATTCCCCAAAGATTGCGATAAAATCTTTAGGAAATTTATTTCAGTTTTAGGAAACACCCTTACATTCTCTGTGCAATCACAGGTTACCGAGATATCAGTGGTCGATGACAAAAAGATCATTTTTCATTCACAGTCGGATATCTCAATCACCTCGCTTCAGAGGTAGTTCTTCTAGGTGGTTTCAATGCCCATACTGAGCTTTGGTTGGGCTCAAACAAGACCGATGCAGCAGGTCGTGCAGTCGAAGCGTTCGCTCTTACTCAAGGGCTGACCCGGGTGATGATGAGCCTTACCTTTTTCCCCCGCGTCTCGTCACATTCCAGTAGCCTGTTGGATCTCTTTCTCACCACGCATCCTGTCCCTTACATCACTGCTGGCCTGTCCCCGCTGGGTAACTCAGACCACGGTGTTGTGGATGTTAGGTTTCGGTCAGAACCCGCTGTGACAGCAGAAACTCGTACTGGCCGCAAAACTTGGCATTACGGACATGCCGACTGGGAGAGGATAAGAGACTTCTCATCTTTCCTTGCAGAGATGTCTGTTTCACTAACGCGGATACGTCGGCTGTCTGTTCTTCGATAACCGAAATTATCCACGTCGGAATGGAGGAATACATCCCTCACACAGTGAAAGTGCCCAAACCAGGGACCAACCGCTGGTTTAACAGATCGTGTGACACTGCTCGCCAGCAGATGATCAAGGCACACAGAACCTTCTTACAAAACCCCACTATAGAGAACAGACAAGCCGACGTCGAGTCCAGAAACAAATATAACGAAGCGGTTTGCAATGCCAAAACCCAGCACGATATAAAAGTTAGCAGCGCAATGGCAGTCGGTCTTTCTGGACGCTGGCCAAGCAGATTGAAAAGAACTTCTCAAACAGTAGCTTTCCACCACTTACGTGTCAGGATGGAACGATTGTATCCGACTCAAAGGTCAATGCGGAAGTGCTTGCCAAGATCTTTGCTGCCAACTCCACCATGGACGTCTCCCCTCCCCCAACGCCCAAGTGCCGTCAATTCAAAGGGTTTCCTACACTATGCGGAAGGTATCATTCAGGCATACGACCGTAAGACGAGTGCCATCCCAAAAAAGGATCTAAAGAGCGACCCTTACTACTACAGGCCTATAGCTTTGCATTCTGTTATAAGTAAGGTGGTGGAGATTTGCATTAATCGCGAGCTTCTGGACTACCTCGAACGTCACAGCTTGATTAGCGACTGGCAGTATGGTTTCCGGCACCAGCGATCCACAGGGGACATCCTAGCTTACGTCACGCAATTGTGGAGTAAACTCATCCAGTCTTATGGTGAGGCTCATGTCGTTGCTCTTGACATCACGAAAGCGTTCGATCAGCTGTGGCACGCTGCCCTCTTAAGCAAACTTCCATCCTATGGCCTCCCAGAAAAGCTTTGCAGATGGGTGACTGAGTTTATCTCTGGCCGAAAGATATCCATCGTAATTGACGGCTTCTCCTCTTGATCCCACAACGTCAACGCCGGTGATCCCCAGGGATCGGTGTTGGCTCCGACACTGTTCCTCTTACATATCAACGATCTCCACGATCAACCCAATCCACAGCTTCGCTGATGACAGCACTCTACATGCCGGAATTCAGAGTGATAAGCCGATCTCTGCCGCTGAGCTGGAAGAAAGAAGACTAGCGACGACTTCCTCTCTGACAAGAGATCTGGAGGTTATCACTGCTTGGGGACGCAACAATCTTGTACAGTTTAATGCTTCCAAAACACAGTACTATACTTCGACGAACAAAAATAGTCCTAGCGCTCATCTGGTTTCGATGGATGGCCGAGTTCTGCCAAAGAGCCATTCATTTCGGCTGGTCGGAGTCCAGATTACCAAGGACCTGATCGGGCACCAACACATCTCGTCAATAGCGGCAGCTGCTGGGAAAAAGCTAGGCTATTTGTTTAGGGCTAAAAAGTACTTTTCTCCGTATGACAATCTTACTCTATACAAGGCTCAGATGAGGGCTAGCCTTGAGTATTGCTCACACGTTAGGGATGCTGCCGCGCCGACTACATTATTTATGCTCGATGCTGTCTAGAGGAGGGCGGTCCGACTGATTGATGACTCTTCTCTAACAGACAGTCTCGGGAGTCTTTCGCACCGGCGGGCCGTCGGCGATCTAGCTCTTTTCTACCGCTATACCAACGGGCTTTGCTCCTCAGAGCTCTCTTCCATTATGCCGCCACGCGATGTGCCTGCCAGACAGACCCGCCTGATTTTGGCGTCCCATCCTAACCGTGTCGAACTTCGTACATCCAGAACTGACCGACACGACCGCTCCTTTGTCCCGAGGGTATCGAGATTGTGGAACAATCTACAAGAGGAAGCTTTTCCCAGTTCGACTAACCTTAGACAGTTCAGAAATCGTATTAACAAAATTTCTTTGGGATCATCATAGCAGCAGCGGTGTCCCGGCATTTAGGCTTCTGCCTGCGCGGCTGCTTCGGTTTATAAAAAAATATCTGCGCCAAATGATCGTATCGAGATTTTAAAAATATGATATGGGCTATCTGATCCATATGATGGCTTAATAGGAACAAAATTCAAGCCCGTGGTCTAAAAAGAAGGCAAACATTGTCTGCGCTATCTGTTAGAATTGCATAAGAACTGTTGCACCTAAAATTTTTCTGCTAAAAGACCTAAAAACTAGAATTTTGAAGCTTCAAAATGCTTTTTCAAAGTCTAGATATCACCATTTTTCACCGGAATACAACCTGTCAAAAATCATTGAAAGATCTAGATTTTTTCCCTTAATTTCGTTATTTCTATATTAACGAACTTCAATATGAACACCACAGGGTAGCTCAAATTATTATGGGATCTGGGCTGGTCAGTTGACTGAAGTAAATGCAATACAAAATATTACCACTTAACAACTCACCGATTTAAAGCTTCACGTTCTTCCTCATTTATCCGGAATCCAAGGATTTTGCTTTTATCGCCGTCCCTCTTCAGATCCTTCGTTGTCTCATTCCTCAACCCCCAATTAGACGATATCGTATTGGAGTCGGACGCGTCATCATCGTAACTGCTACCTAAAGGAGTTGCGATGCGTGAGTTCCCGTTACTAGATTCATTGGCTTCTTCGAAAGGCGGCTTGTGCGGCACGCTCTTGTCTTTCGACCATGCTGCGTGTCTGCTCTTTGACACCTCTGAACCGCTTTTCAGCAGGCTGCAGCATTCTAGGAACAATTCTTCGTCCCTGTTGAGTGTTTTTCGTAACTTCTGTTCCTCGTAGTTCCGTAGATTCGCGCTGTCTTCCGAGATTTCTTCGTATTGCGCCGGTTTGAGGAAACTGTCATCACATGTTCTTTTTGATCCGCGTTCTGAGTCATTGACAGTTTTTATCGCGTCCACAGTGGATGTTGCCCGCATCTCGGAGTTAGTCGACGTCACAGATATGTCATCGACGTAACTGACACCGGTACGATTTTCGATGATATTTTCGAGCAAACTGATCTGTTTTTCCAATATGGACGTTTTCGAGATGAGGTAAGGTTCAGAGATTGAATCAGCTGGGACAGAACTTTCGGACTCGAAGCTCTTCCGCTCCCCAAGGCTTTTGTATCTTTTATATTTCGGCTCAATTTCAGCACTGCTCTTCATAATTATATCTACAAACTTTTCGTTTCCTTCAAGAAAAGGTTTTTGAAGCTCGCGACTGACAGAGTCATCTAATTTCATCGAATCAGAGTAAGAAGCTGAGACAGGTTCAACCAGAGATTCTTTTTCGGCAGTGTCTATATTTGGCGTGTCGTCTGCAACTGGAGCATGATCAACCTCTGCATCTTGCTGAGTTTCACCTGCTCTTTGCTTTTCCGAAGCTTCCCTTGCCTCGATCTCGGACAATTTCTGGATATGCGTTATCGTTCTTTTATGTTTCACTAAGCTTTCCACTCTTACAAATGACTTGTTGCAAATTTCACAGTAATTATCACTATTTTTCTCACTTGTTTTAACTTTATCTGTAACTTCTACAGGAGGCTCTAACGATATAGATTCATTCTCATCAGACGGTATTTTGATAGAAGGCGTGATGCACTGTGATGGTCTCTTGCTCTTGTTAGTCATACAATCTTCAACGATTGGTAAACTTTCGGTTTCTGGGCTGTCCGTAAATTCATAGATTTTATCAGGATCTTTCTGCTTTTCGCTGTTTCTATTTGCATTAGCTTTGATGAGGAGAGTCGATTTTTCGATGAGATTATCAAACACATTATCAAAACTTTGATCGTTTAATTCCCTAGAATTGTCTTCTAAGTTGTTTAAAAACGAATTTTGCGGTTTTGGGTCCAACGTCTCATCAGTGGTCGATGCTTTCAACATACTGAATAACGCATCACTGTTTAATCTCTTCTCGGTATCTTTATTAGCTTTATTTTCTTTCACGACTGTTTCTTTCTTTTTGGTACTATTTTTATTTTCCAAAGCATCTAAAATAGGATCCAACTCATTTTCATTGTAAGAAGCAACTTTTCTAGAATTTCTTCTACTCCTCCTTAGTTCTAGATTTTCTTCGTCGAGTTGCTTTGGTTCTTCTACCTCTTCAAGATCATTTTCTGCCCTAAGCTCCCTTTCTATACTATTCCTGAGTTCTTCCAGCCCAGCCAAGTCTGCAACCAAGTCTGCCAGTAGAGGTGCCTTCTCTTGCAAAATGTCCTTTGGAAAGCTCAATGGATCTATCACTGGAAGTAGTTTGTTTTTAGCCTGCTTCTTTGTATTTTTCACACCAGCAGTCGTATCTTCATCTACTTTTTTCCTACCAGTCTGCCTGTTTATTTCACTGTCTGTCAACTCAGCCAATGCGTCATCATGTATGTGTTCTAAAGCTTTAACTTTCGCTGTTCTTACTGACCTCTTTCTTAGGCTCTCTTCATGCGGTTCAATTTCTGGTTCTGTTTCGAAAATTTCTGAATGTGATCTTTTCTTAGATGGCGCATTTTTATCAACTGGTTTCTCATTCAAGTCTGGCTCTACAGGAGTTTCAATCATTGATTGAGATCCGTTTTCGATCAAACTAGCTTCCACTGGTTTTTCTTGACTCATATGATTATTAATCAGACTTGTATCATTAGCTAAAGATGATCCAGATTTGCGGTTTTTTCTTTTTGTGATCTTTTTTGTCTTTACGTTAGCGTTTTTGCTTTCATCGATCTCCTTATCGATTTCAGCTAAAATACATGCATCTTTATCAATCTGGTCTAATACGCTTTCAACAATTTTATCAGTTTGTTCTTTCATTTGAGGTAGTTCCGAGGGGTCTATTTCAGGAAACATAAATTCTGATTTTTTCCCCTTTTTCGTTGCCCTGGTTGCTTTACTTTCCTCTATTTCTCTATCAATTTCTTCTAAAATAACTTTCTCCCTATCAGGTGTGTTAAAGATTCCATCAACAATATATTTATCACTGTTATCGGCGAGCAAATGTTGTTCTACGCCGGTACTTATGTCGAAGACATCGTTGGGCTTATCAGTTTTTTGATCGCTATGATGTATGGCCGATATTATACCGCCATCTTTAAGAGATTTTTTATTATCTTCTAGGGCTGCCATTACCTTAATTTCATTTTGAGACGGCTCTTGTGTGACATGTCCAAGTATTTTGTCACTTCCAGTGTTGGCCGAAATAGCATTTCTACTTTCAATATTATCAGAATTCTCATCTCCAATAATTTTTGATTTTCCTCCTCTTTTCTTCGATACTCTACCTCTGGTATTTTTGGAAGCATTATATCTACTTACGCCGATGTCTTTCTCGACGGTATCAGCAGCAATTTTGTTTGCAACGACTTTATTAGAAACATCTCCGATCTCCTTAACTTCTCCTATCTTTAGACATGATACTCCAATAAGTTTTTCGGTTTTTCCGGAAACTGAGTTACCTTTTTCATTGCTGGTATCATTCTTGTCGATTTCGTTATAAATTTCATCTAAAATATCTTCACTCGATTCGATCTTATTTAAAAAATCTTCATCGATATTGTTTATGCTTATATCATCAACTAATGAGCTATCCAAATTAGATCTTTCGCTGGTATTGAAAAAGTCTCGAGGTTGAACTTCAGATTTTTTGTCGTTGTCCTTTGCAGCATCCTCCTCATTTAAATTTTCGCCATCTATGTTTCCTGAAATGTCTTCCTTTGTGTATGCTTGGTCTCCATCACGATGATTAATACCGGTTTCAACTGGTACGCTTTGAGAATTTACAGACCTTTTCGTTTTCTTATTTTTTGCGTTCCTCGCCCTTCTATTGCCTGATCGAACCTCAACTTCATTGTAACTTTTACTTATATCCATAATATTAGGAATACATTCATGATCAATATCTGATGGCTGTGGTATGGTGTGCTGTACTGAAAGGCCAGTATTTAAACTAATTTTGTTCAGTTCAATCACATGACAAAGGTCTGACTTTTTATTGAAGGCATTTTCATTATCTATTTTTTCAGGTTCAGACTGTTCGATCAACGATTTTTTAATAGCCCATCTGATTTTTTCTTCGAGGCTCGTAATATCCTTTGTGTTTTCACTAGGCAGTTCTTTGTTTTCTGTGGCGACTTTTTGACTCTTCTGATCAACGACATTCGGACGTTCAGGTGCAGTTGTTATATTACATTTTCTTGGCAATCTAAGAGGCAGTTCGGCAGGTTTTTCAATTTCAAGGTCTTCACTTTCACTGAAAGCATATATACTGTCTACATCTTTGGTTTTACCTTTTTCTTTGTCAGATGAGACGTTATGAAGAGTAAGATCATTAGTTACTGAACTTGCTACCTTATTGATGCTTTTGGATTTTGGTTTAGGCTCGATAAATTTATCTTCATCAGTAATACCTAACGCTTCTACTACTTGTTTTGACTTTTTACTAGTCCTTTTGAATCTACCTCTTAATATTCGTTTTCCCACAATTTCCTTTTCTATACCAATGTCTGTAGAGCTATCAATTACAGATGTAGGATCTAGATATGTTGTTTCAGGAACGTTAATACCTGCTTCTACTTCAGGTATATCTCTGTTGACCTCTCCAGTGCATTCTGACTCTATGTCTGTAGCTTGGAACGCTTCTTGGGTTGATTCTTTGGAACCTCCTTCAACTTCACCATCATAATTCTTCCATTTCTTTGTTTTTGGCGTACTTTCAGACTTCATTACATCAACGAATTCATCATCCAAATCATCATCAGTATCATCATCGATCACTGGATCGATTCCTTGATCCAATTGCAGTTTATCATCAGCTAAAATAACAGTATCTTCCAATTCACGACCTTTCGATTGCTCTTTTGTAAATTTTATATCGACAACACTGTCAATTTTGGCAGATTCTTTCAGCTCGGGAATAATCTGGTGTTCAATATCATCGATGAGATTTCCCAAAGCATTATCAAAAACACTGGTAGCTTCCAAAACATTGTGAATCGTTGTTTCCATTTCTTTCTCAGACTTTTTGTTACCTCTTTTCGATCTAGTTTTTCGTTTTTCCGTGTGCTGATCTATTTGTATACCTCTCATCAGCTCGTTTTCAAATATGTCCACCATATTCTCATACTCACTGCTATTTGCTCTTCCAGATTCATCTCTAGATTTTGTTTCTTTGGTAGGTATGTCACTATTATTAGGATTTTGCTCAATTGTTGTTGTTAGTACAGAAATAATTTCTTCAGATTTTTTATTTCTCATTGACCTTAAATTCGATCTGACATTTTGTTCCGAAACATTATTTTCAATATTCACTCCATCTAATGTATAACCAGTTTTCCCAGACTTTCGGTTGCTCTTTCCGTTCTTGACTTTCGTTTCATTAATATCTGCATCAGGTATAATCTTGTCTAAAACATCCAAAGTATTTTCAAACTCATTACCAAATACGTTAGTTGCTTGCAACACAGCATCGATTGTTGAATCAAGTTCTTTTTCAACTACAGCCAATTTTTCATCTAAGACATCTCGGTTTGATAACGCAAAATTTTTTTCGGTCGTCTTTCCTTTACGTCTTATATTTTTAACATCAACTTCCCCAGATTTGTTGATGGCTTCTGTTTTCTGGATATTTGGGTCAACTATTGGGTCAAGTCTTTTACTTCTCCTAGATCTGGTTTCTAGTTCTTTGGGAGCTACACTGGCTACATTTTCAGCTCCAAACCTAAGGACATCAGGTATTTCCATTTCTTTGAACTTTGGAACGAAAGAACCTACAATTTTTTTATTCTCGATATCTGTGTTAGGCTCAAAAAATACATTATCAGAATTTCCAGCTTCGCTTAGTTTAAAACCCTCATATGGTATAGCAGTGTTCATCTTGTTTTTATTTTTGTTCGGCCTTTTACATTTGGTATTCTTCTTTGATAAGTTTTTTGTTCCATTATTAATTTCATCTATTTGTGAAGGTTGAGCCAACTTTTCGGTTTCTATGATTTTAGGCGGAATTGGTATTTCATCTAGTTCCATGTCCATTTCCTCTACAGATACGTCTGCTGTATTATCTTCGTTGGAACCATCCAAAGTTGATAGATTATTTTCTGGTTCTAAGAGATTCTGCTCACCTTCAGTGCCAGGAAGTTTAACGTCACTTGTATCAGTATCTTTGAGAAATGTGTCTGCAGGGCTAAATCTTATTATCGGCGTGACGCCTTTTTTCGGCTTTTTGATAACTAAAGCAAAATCTTCGTAGAGGTCATTCGGACCTTTGAGATCGGTCTTTTTGAAACTCCTCGATTTCCTCCTAGTTTTTTGCTTATTGATTACTATCCGAATTGGCTCTTCGTTGGTGGTTTTTAACGTGGTTTGTTCTTCAGAAAAGTAATCGATATCCTTCATAGGCAAATTCTTAGTTTGCGTGATATCATCCACTAAGGGTCCACCTAGATAAGATAATTTCTGTCCATCGTCTTTTAGATCAGGTGGTTCTAAAGTGGATATAAGGGGGTTCGTGAAAACTTCATTCACATCGGCAGTCAAATCCGCTTTCTTAGTTGTCAACGACTTTTTCATGCTATCGACTTGTTTTTTAGCTGAAACATCTCTGTTAAATGTGGTAAACCTCTTCATATCGTACAGGTCAAAGATTGAAATAACGTCACTGTCTTCTCTCCTGGGGGTGTGCATAATATCTGGTTCAACATAACTGATATGAGGCTTCTTCCTCAAATTACGAGGTCTTTCAAAAACATCGTTATCAAGCTCGGTTACTGAATTGTCTATAGATTTTTCAATGCCAGAGTCATCGGTAATCGCGTCCTCAATTGTTTGGTCGTCCATAGATTTGTGACATTTCTTTGGAGATTTCGAACGAAACCTGCTTTCAGTGAACTTTTTAGCTTTTTTCATTGGCGCGGAACGTGATCTGCGCACATTACTTTCGGGTTTCAATTTAGCCTTTTCATTTTTCCTTTCGGTATCTCTCTTATCTTCATAAGCTTCAAAGTTTTCATTTGATTCAGACACGTTAGATTCGATATCTCTTGATGGTGGGTCTTCAGGTTCACTAAAGCTAGCTTCTAAGTGAGAAACATCATCCAACGACTTCTCAACTCTACCTTCTGGAGCATCAAAAACTTTATTTTTTGCTAGTAATATTGTATCATTAGACTGTTTTAACTGATCAAATACGTCTCCTGGTGTTTTTTTGGTCAAATTCGGAATATTTTGTATAGAGCCATTCTCACTAACTTTAATGTCAGGACATGTCTTTAGCTTTTGTGTTTTCTTAACTGTCTTCGGTTTACCTCTCCTTTTTGAAATGACATTGTTTTTCTTTTCAACCTCTAAATTATCATTGTGTTCCATCTGTTTGGTTATATCCACAGTATCGTTTGTTTTTTGCAATTGATCTAGTTTATTTTCTATCAACTGGTGAAGAATGTCAGATGGATTTCTTAGATCTATATATTTCTCTGGCGTCCCTAACTCTGTGACACTTTCACTTTTACTGACATCTACAGCTGGAATGTTAAATTTACATTTCCTTTGTGGAACGTTTGCTCGCTTCGGTTTTTGAGTTTCAGTCATTGTGTCCCTCGTGTCGATTTTCTCCATCAGCTTAGTACCTTTATTTTCCACTGTTTTTCCTGCGATCGCAGTGTCCAAGAAAGAATTATCTGGTGAGATATTTTGAGCCAACTCGCTGGAATCACTTTTCTCAATGAGGTCTTCATTTTTGATCTGCTGAGGTTCTGTGGAATCGTAACTACCATTGATAAATTTCTTCATTTTTCTTGTAACTCTTTGATCCAGAAAATCGCTAAGCAATATTTCTGAGTCAATTTTAGGATCTGGTTTATTGACAAAATTTTCAGTCCCGCAGTTGTCTAATGAACTTGTAGAATCTGACATATCATTTCTACTGATCATATCTCTGGAATCTTCTGATGACTCTGATTCAGATGTTTTCACATTTAGGTTTTGAGCAGCTTGCTCTTTCGTCCTTGTTGACCTCCTTTTTGGTAAGGATTCTCCATTTTTCAAGGAATTATCTTCAGACGATTCGTTGTCTTCGGAAGCGCTAGAATCTATGACGTTTTGCTTATTAACACTTCTAACTCTGCGGCCTTTTCTAGAAGGTTTCCTTTGTATTGGTTCTATTGGGGCAATAAACGTCTGATCTATCACAATACTAGTTGCTTTTGTAGTTTGACCATTACTGGCAACTGTACTGTCTATCACAGAAGCTTCTGCATCGTCGATTGCCGAATCTATTTTTTCTACATTTTTCGAATCTTCATGAAAAGCAAGATCTTTTTTGTCTGTTAATTCATCTGATATATCAAGAGTTTTCGATCTATTAGATGACCTTGAAGATTTTCTTTTATGTTGTTCATTATCAGATTCACTATTCTCAATAATTTTCGTATCTAGTCCGGCATCTTCCAAAGCAGTTTCTTTTTCTTGTATTTCTTTACTCTTGTCATTTTCCTGACCTTCAGTTGTACTGAGTTCTAGCGATGTATCTAAGGAACTAGACGATTTTGACATTGTTGCTATAAGATTTTGCCTATGTAGTTCTACATCTTCTAGGGTTGGTTGGTCAATCTTGGCATCAAAATTTTGCGTTTCCTTATCACTACATTCATTCAAACTTCTGTCAGTATCTATTGAGTTTTCGGATATCTTCGATCTTTTGGATCTCCTGGTAGGTGTAACAAAACTTGCTTCACAACTAACATCAGAAGAATTGTTAGGATTCAATGTTTGATTGTTAGACATGTCATTACTGGATTCAATCCTGTTAGATATATCGGATTCAATAGTTGTTGATTCATCATTAGACGACGATAGAGATGTATTAAGATCTTGTGTAGGTTTAGATTCCTTAGCTCTCCTCTGAGGCAGTTTCCTTCTGATTGATTCAGCTCCAGAATCGCTAAGCTCTGTTTTAGGCATGCAGGAAAGGGATTCAGTTGGAGAATCATTAACTGATTTTTCTGTTATCTCCTCATTTGATAATTCAATAATTGAAGTGTTTATGGATTCCAAATCATCACAGACATTTTCAGGAATCTTGGCTCTTCTTCTGGTTGTTATTCTTTTTTCTGACTGAGGTGTAGATGAAACTGGTTTTTCAGAATCTGACTCATATTTTTGATCATCTTGAACTTCTCTGTCAATGTTATTGATATTTGAGATCGCATCGACATTTTGTGTGGTACTGGGGTTGTTTGGTACCTTAGTTTTTCTTGCTTTACTAGATCGCTTCAACACTCTGCCTTTTTCTAACAAATGAAGATCGCCAGTGTCAACTACATCACTCTTAGTATCATCAACATATCTCCATTGAATGGGCTCCACAGCGTCATTTTTTTCATTCGATAAATCATCTAAATGTTCCGGCACATTATCGCTGACGTCAAGCGCTAAACATTCAACTGATGAAGTTGATGCTTTTGTACACTTGGAATTTAAAGACATTTTATCACGTCGTTTCTTGGTAGTTGTTTTTATTGGTGGGGCAGCTAGAGAATTTTCATCGCTTTTTTCAAAATCGGATGTTTCGCAACTGTCAGATGCATCAGACTGAACTTTTTCAGGAAAAAGTTTTGAACCGCTCGTAGATCTACTAATTCTTTGTGTTGTTTTCATTGGACCATTCATATACTCAATGTCAGATTGATCACTAGCACTTATGTCAGAAAATGAATCAACGTTATCAGAAATGTTTGGATCAACATCGCCTTCACTTTCATTTGGGGCTTTTGTAAGCGAAACTTTTGTCCGTCGTCTACATTTCCCCTTTCGTCTCGAAACTTTGATTTTAACTGGCTTCAAAGGAAGTACAAATGGTTCTTCACTGTTTTTTTCGCTGTTTAAAATATCCTGACCTGGTGGCGCCAAATCACTGACATCTGAATGTAATTTAACACTGTCGGATATAGATGATTTAGTAATATCTGACCTGCTTGCTTTATCTTGTGTTTTGTTAGCTCCAACATCCGTTTTTGAAATCCTCAATATTATTTTCTCAGGAGTATGGGAATTTACTTTACTGACTTCAGCTTCGTTGTTAACTTCATCAGTCACATTGAGCAGAGATTCAAGTTTTTCAGACATACCTAAGCCAATATCAGATGATTTTGAGAGTTTTATTTTTCGACTACCTCTCTTTGGCAATGTTACTTGCTGTATTTTGATAGAAGCGTCAGATGTTTCTACAAGTGCAATCTCTTCGTTTTCATTTGTTTTACCTCCATCGATTTTAAGATCAGATGTTTGCAAAGCTGTGAATTTTCCACTAGATCTTTTTGTCAGTGTTGTTTGTAGAGGTTCGATGATTGCCTCAGACTTTTCTACATTAAAAATGTTCTTGTCATCCTTTGTAGTTATATCCATGTCAGAGTTGTTCAAAGGTCGACAACTATCGAGTATATTGGACTCAACATCCGATGTTTCTGAAAGTTTTGACTTTCTATTGCCTCTTTTTGGAAGTTTCATTAATACATCAGGAATGTGTGTTTCCGAAATATTTCCAATATCTTTTGTTAATCCAATATAATTCAAAGATTTACAGCTGTTGGATACATTGTCCTTATTATCGGAAGTTTGCTTTACGTTTGGACTTGTTCTTTTTGACAGAACTTTTTGTGATTGGTCGGTAAAAGTATTAGTTTGTACACTGCTTATCTCATTTAATGATTCACAACTCTCGGTAACACTTGACTCAACACCTGATGTTTTTATTAGCTTTGTTTTTCGATTTGATCTTTTCGGGCAAGGCTCGGTAGAGGCATCGGCTTCTCGCTCACTACCAATGTCTGCACCGTCATCTGTAGTTTTACGCACTTCAGTTTTACTATTCAAAGATTCACAGCTATCATACGTACAAGAGTCAACGTCTGATGCTCGCAATGATTTTCGAGTTCTTTTTGGGAGTATATCTTGTTGCGCTGCATTACCAACTGACAAACTATCCATAATTTTATTTTCATCTTTAACTGGAACTTCATCATGCGGCTTTTGGGCAGTACCAACTGACTGGTCACCAACTTGCCCATTTTTGTTCCTATCTGCAAATTCATTCTGAGTCTCATCGTGTTCAATAGGAGACTTCGCGGCTTTCCCTTTTCGATCAGACCTTTTTGGAAGTCTTACTTGCAATAGTTCAGCAGTTGTAGTCGAAGGCTTCCGGTTGGTAGATGCCTCCATTTTATCTGTCATGTTTATAAGTATGTCATTTACAACAGAAACCGGCTCATCACTACCAGAAATAGAAACATGATCCGCATCATTTCCTCCTCTATTCAGGTCTTTAGATTTTCTACCTCTTTTGTTAAATCTTGTTTGTATAGGGACGATCGGAACTATAAACGGCTCTTCATTATCAAGTGTTGCAGAACATGTCGAGTTATCACTATCAGGTTCCGACATAGCATGTTCTGTTGAGTTCCTAATCGATTTTGTTTGAACAGTTTCAGCAGATTTTGGTGCATAATTATAATCATCAGCATTTTGAACGTCTTGTATTGAGTTATTTATATCAGAAGTATCGTTAGGCTTACGTATTAACTTGAAATTATCATTTATAGATGTTCTTCCTATCGGAGATGAACTTGCAAATGATTCGAGCGTTTTATCTTTTTCTGGAAGAGCACTTTGGGATTTCACAATTCCAACAGTGGTATCAACTGTATCAGAAACCTTTGAATTTGCTCTAACTCGTCTTAGTGTTCTTCTTTCAATGACTTCCATCGAATCTCCTGTCGAATCTGGAAGAACGTCAACTTTCGAAGCATCGCTATCGCTGTTATCAAGGCTGGATAAATCTGATTCCGAATTTTCCACAGGAATACTTGATATTTGTGCCCTTGATCGCCTACTTCTTCTTTTTACCGGCTCTGAAGGTGCTACAAATGAAGCTTCGTCAGCTGAACTGTCAACTATATCAGTTTTTTCGGATGCAATGGGAAAAGTTCTTCCTGAATTTCTCGTAGGTTTTGGTTCCGATTCAAATTGACCCGAAGATGTTGTATCTTCCATTATACCGTTCAGTGATAATTGTGCAGTCTCTTCATTTAGAAGACTTTGATTAAGTTTACTGTTATTACATGGAAGAGATGTAGACAAACTAGCTGCAATAACAGTGTTATCAACAGCAACATCATTTCCAAAGTTTACTTGTGATAATCTAGTGCTTCTTTTGGCATCTTTCTTTGAAACCATTTTTTGTTTGGTTTTAGTAGATTTTTGTCCACCAATGACTTTTGATATTCGGTTTTTTATGCCTCTCATAAATGTACTTATTTTACCACGCTTTTTTGAGTTTACAGCCCCCCTCTTTGTAGGTTCACTCGATCCGTTAGATGTTTCAATTTCAGTTTTATTACATCCAGTTAAATCTGGAATATTAGCGGTCTCATCTCTAGTATCTTGTTCCGCAATTTTCTCGTCAGCGGTAGTTTCATTACTCTTTTCTATATTTATCACCATTTTTGTTTAAATTTTCAACCAACGGTTTTATCAATTCATCTTCTAGCTGTTTATTTCCAATTGATTTACTTGTTAAAGGATTTGACTTAAGATCAACAACTTTTGGCCTAACATTATCCAATGATAAGGAAATGTTCAAAGCACCAAATAAACAAGGCTCCGACTTTGATTTTGATAAAAATAGATCGTTTGCTGGTGGAACAGGTGTAAAACTTTGTAATGCAGCTTTCTCTTTAATTTTAGATAAAGCAGCTGTCAATTTAGATTCTTTTATTAAGACACTTCTTTTGGGAGCTTTATGTGGTTCATCCTGTGAAGCAGCTGTATTAACAATCAAAGTCATTCCTTCTTCATGTGCAGTTTTATTTCCTTCATATGTTCGTTTCATTTGATCCTCAAAAAATATATTATCTTTGACCTGGACAGGGTCACCTTTAACTACTGTTTCAATCTGTGTAATATCAGTTTCCACAAATCCAGTTGTCAAATCACTGGTACTCTTTGAAAGAGTCTTTTTATTTCTAGGTTGTCTCTTTGATGATTTTTTCGATTTCTTAGAAGGTTCTTTTATGGGTTTGGAATCAGTAGGGCTAGACTCGGCAGCTGCAATAACACTTGATGCTTTAGAAACGTCATTGACAAGTTTCTCAATAGGTTCTCCAGGAGCCGTATCCTTTACTTCGGAAGGTGGACCATTTTTGTCAGCAGACTTATCATCGTTTGTGTGGAGACCAGCCAGCTTATCTAAAGTTACATTTTCTGAACTTGTATCACTATTTGCTTCACACCGCACAATATCTCTTGAAATATCTTCTTGAGAAGCACTCCTGCTCGCAGCTTTCAATGCGATTAATGGAACATCGTCTTCTGAATCACTGGAAGACTTTCCCACCGATGTAACAGTTTTATTTTCCAAATGATGTGGTTCATCTTCGTTGTGGAGCAGGATTTTATCACTTTTCAGTGATCTATCAATGTTTGGCTCGCCTTGAACTGTGGATACCTCTATATTGGTGTTTATCTCCTTAATATCAAGTAAATTATCTAAATGGGTTTCGAGAACAGGAACTTGTTTGGCTTCATATTTAGTTTCTTCTTCAATAGCTGACTCCGTGTCTGTAGGTGCAGGTTTGCTCTCTTTGCCAGATTTTTTAGCGACGTTTGATTCGATAACCTCATCATTCTTCTTCACTGGGGGTTTCCTAACTTGGCCAATCTTTCGGTTTTTCTTCTTCACTTGCAACTCTTTAACCAACTGCATCTTATCTTGTAATGTGTCTTTAATATTAGTTGGAGGTTTCCCTTCTTTGATTATGTCTTTAGAAGGCACTATCTGGGGTACGTCCTTATTCTCAATCATTGCCCCAATTTTGGTTTCAGCAGAATCATTTGTTTCTAGAGGCGTCTTTATCTCTACATTATCAGTTTTAGCATCTTCTGTCTTTTTGTCGAGTTTATCTTCAATTTCTGTATTTGTAGGTAGGATATCTGACGTTACAGTAACTACATACTGTTTCAAAATATTTTCTAAATCCTCTACTATAGAGTCGCCAACTTCAGCTTCATCGACTTTCGACTGTTCAACCTCTTTCACCTCAATTCCTTTTGTTACTACCAAGTCCTTCTCGTCCTTTTTGAGCGTATCACAAGTATTCACAGACTTTTTTGAAACTGGTTTTCTATCCCTAGGCTTTCTCGGGTTCCTTATTTTCTTTATACCACCCTCTAACGGTTTAAAGTTTTCATTTGTACTATTGGCTACCACAAAATCTATGATATCATCAACCGAACTTCTTGGGAAGTGAATGTGAAGTTTGTTAGGTTGATGAGCTGCTAGGTCCCATGGCATATGGAAACCTGTATTGCTGATAACGTCTTCTATAGTTTTATCAACTGTACTTCGGACAGCGTTGAGTTTAATTTGTTCTATGTTGACAGGCCATATTGGAGAAGGTATCTCGCCTGTCTTCTTCTTGGTACTAAGATCAAGAGCAGTTTCCTCAGTACCCAAAAGCATGTTGGTTTTGAATGTTGGTATCTTCAAAATACATTCGGTTTTGTGAGGTATGGGATCTTCTACAACCTTTGTTGGGCTACTTGAAGAAAATACGCTAACGATACCGTGGAGTTTGGAGCATGGTTCTACAGGTTTGGGTTCAGCATGTTGTTGCAATTTGCTAGTCAACATAGCAATACAATCATTCAGACCCCTAGCTGGCTTCCAGGGTTTTGCTTTAGAGCTCGGAGATGTAAGAGGCGTAACTTTACACTTAGTAGTAGTTGTACTTGTGTCAATCGAGATAGGTTTCATCTCTTCAGTTGGAACCGTCGCTGCCTCAACAGGCATTTCAGGAATCGTCTTTGGTGTTTCTAGAGTAACCTTCGGTCTATCAAAGTTCAATTCTCCCTTAGCCTGCAAATTTTTCTCATTGTCTGACCCGAGCTTGAACATCGTCTCTGGAATTGCTGGATTTTCGTTAGATTCGTTAAAGTTGATCGCAACAGGTGCATTTATTGATATGTCAGCTATATTTTCTTTCGTTTCTAAGGTTGAAGGGATTACTATTTTGTCTGGTTGCAACATTTTTGGCTTGCCTTCGTCTAAAAAAGGATCCTTTGCATTAGGTTGTTGCACTTTATTTCGATCGCTTGTCACTCCGTCTAGCTTCAATTTCTTCACTTTGTTCAGGACGTTTTTCAAATTTTGTTTTAGTTTACGCTTCTTGGCAGTTTTTTCCTCCTCCTCATTTAAAATTGGCTTTACTGGATTTTTTAATTTCACTTTGTTTTCAGATTTTCTGGTAACACTTCGACTGGGTTTAACATCTAACGCTTTGGCAGTGCTTTTAGCAATATCAGATTTAGTCTTTTTATTCTCCGATCCAAGTTTACCTCCTTCAGTCTTTTTGCCCCTAGGTTTTTTATCAGGTTTTTCACTAGAAGCATTCTCTGTCAGCCCTTTTTTGTTGTTTTGTTTTTTAACAGGAAAAAAGGATTTGATATTCAGTTTGCTCGAAAGTATCTTTTTCACGGTAGACGCGACTTGTTTAGAGTCATTTGGAAAACTCCTTGGCGAGGAACGGGTAGGACGCGTAGATTCTACAGACTCAGAATTTTCCGGACTAGAACCGTTTGTAGATCTGGAGCATTTCTGTTGTTTCAATGCCTGTGATAATAAGAATAGCAAAAATGTACTACACTACTTTTATCTAAAATACTAATCCAATTTGTATGCGTATCAAAACTCTACTTGTATGACAAAAGTGGCAGTGATATACAATTTTGCTTCTGCTAGGCGGAGCTTGTATGCAGGTTAAATGTCAAAGGTAGAAGGGGGAAAAACGGATTTGATAGAAAGCCAACCTATTTTTCATGACTTCCTCACGCTTTGACGTCTACTGATGTGAACAGCTTATCAGCAATTGGCCTCTTTGTCGATGTATAACCTCAGACATGAGTAACCTAACTAGAGCCATTTAATTCGAGCTTCCTATCCCCATGCGCAATGGTGGTTGCGTGGGGGTCCATCCGGCGATTGAAATTTGAAGAAAGAATGCCCTTATGAGGCAAAAGAAGAGCGGGGTATATTAGTGATCAAAACGATTCGCTCGAGGAAGGGGGTTAAGACTCCCTGAATCCGCTCTTGTAGCACTCATAAAGTGGGTGATAGATGACCGTTTTATGATCGACCTTATGAAAATACCGCCATAAACTTAGCATAAACTGTCGACTTTTAGTTATTTAGTATGTTATATCGAGAATTAACAAAAAAAGTAAACTCAAATCGCACGCCCATAACAAATGGGTGATTACAGTAACAATGACAAGGGTAATTTTAGAACACCCATACCTAATGAGAAAATGTTCATGGCGGCGAGTCAAGACAAAAACGTTCGTCTGTGTGCTTACCTACACGTCCGCACGTGTATGTGTGATATATACAGCGTGATTCACGAGTCGTGAGCAAGAATGAAACATCATACACAGCACTGCATGTTAACGGAGGTCTTCTGTGTAACATTTTTTTGGGGGCTACATTATAAAGATACTGGGTGTTGGAGTTTAAAAATAAAAAACAATTCAACAATCTTCAAAACCGTCAACTGGAATGAACTAAACTTTGGTATGTGGATTTATTTAAGAATTGTCCACATTCAAAAATCTTTAGTTAAAATTAACGTGCACCAGTGGCGGAGATACAGGGGATTATTGGCATTATTTTTCCAAATGAAAATAGTACGCCACTGTTTTTTTTCGAAACGCGTAATTTTTAGAATTTTACCTTCAATTTGCTACTAACAATTACTCTTGTTATCATGTTACATAGAAGCCCCCCTTAAAATGCGGTCCTGTGATTGATGTTTCATTTTCGGTCACGACTTGTGTATCACCCTGTTGCAGTTGCTAATGTTATTACCTGTAGCTTTCTTTTCACGCTGTACTTAGCACTCGTATCCAAAATCCTGCTGGACAGAACTTTATTGAGACTCTTCAGCGTCCTGTTAGAAGTAGTTGGCTTTTTCTGAGTATTGACAGTTTTTTCCATATTTTCCTTGATGCTTCTTGTAGTATATATCACCTTTCCGCATTTAATCTTCTTCTGGTTGACCGTTTTGCGAGAAATTTGATTAACTGTGGTATTTTTCCTAGATCTGTAGATGCCTTCTTGGAATGATATCATCTTCCTAGTTGATCGCTTAGCTGGCAGATTGGCTAACATGCGTTGAATTGTTTCCGCTGTCAAGACATTATGGATAAGTCACTAATAATATAAGGATTCTAGTACAGGGTGCGTCATCTATTACTTTTTTCTATTTGAAAAATTAAATCGCTTTTTACGAGGTAAAATCGAATTTTTTTATTGATAAATGAAGGTTGGTTTATGCCATTTAAGTATGAAAAATAACATCAGTCATGTGACCACCGCGGCTTCGTTTACAGGCCAACATCCGAACATCAAAATTTTCAATGACTTTTCCCAGAATACGAGTAATCGGGTCTATGGCCGCAATTTCAGTCCGAATATTGCGATTTAGGTCTTGGATTATCCGGGGACCATTCCAATACACATTTCCTTTAAAAAATCCCCAAAGAAAATAGTCAAGAGGTGTTAAATCGCACGATCTGGGGGGCCAACTGACATCTGAATTTCGTGAAATTATGCGGTCTTGAAATTTCGTGTGCAATAAGGCGATTGTTTGGCGAGATGTGTGAGCCGTTGCTCCGTCTTGATGAAACCAAAGATCGCTGACACCAATACGATCCAATTGTGGCCACAAAAAGTCTGTTAATGTGCCGCTATAACGTTCCCCGTTGACGGTAATGGCCTTTTCTTCGGCATCTTCAAAGAAGAATGGTCCAACGATGCCACCAGCCCATAATCCGCACCAGTCACTTTTTCAGGATGGAGAGGTTGTTCATGATATTGGTGTGGATTTTCAGCCCCCAAAATCTGCAATTTTGCTTATTTACGTAGCCATTGAGGTGAAAATGAGCCTCATCAGAAAAGAGCACTTTGGCCGAAAATCCGTCTTCTCTTTCTAGCATCCAATTAACAAAAACACGCCGCTGTTGATGGTCTGCCGGCTTCAATTCTTGTGTTAGTTGGATTTTGTATGGATGGAGGTATAAATCAAAGTTTAAAATCCGGCGTAAAGTGGTCTCACTAATTCCCAATTGTTGCGAACGGTGCCTAATCGAGGTGGCTGGATCTTCTCGCACACTTTCACTCACTGCGGCTATGTTTTCACGAGTACGAGCTGGACGAGCATGTTGGTATGGTCTACGACCTTCAGCTGAACCAGTTTCCTCAAAACGATTAACAACCCAACGGCTCTATAGGGCGTCCGTGTCCGTATTTTTTATATTTCGAGCGTTTTCGTAATAAGTTTGGGTAACCAAAATGCGTTGTTGTGTTGTAAACGAATCCATGACTATAAATGGCATACCTTTGACAGTTCATTTATGCATACCACATGACTTTTGACTCACATGGTAACACATAAACTTATAGGTAAAAAAAAGTAATAGATGGCGCACCCAGTACTAAATACAACTAGCTGTTGCCCGCAACGTACGCGTTAAATTGTTACGAACATATAACATCGATAAGCTGCGGGGGTAAACTCGCGGTGAGGAAAGCTAGCAAATTAATATTACCATTTTTTTTGAAATTAGCATTTTAAATTAAACTAAAATTTACATTGTAAAAGCTACCTCTCTGCCAAATTTCAGGCTATAAAATCCATTTTTAGTTAAACCTACTCTAAACAAAACCTCATCGTTGACAATTTTTAGATATTAGAAAACTCCAAGCAATTTCAAATAATTTTACATATTCACAATTCTTAGAAAAAAAAATTGGGAAAGTGAATGCTCACTTTACCCCCTTAGGGGTGGAATTAATTTTTTTTTTTTTAGTGCCCATTTACAATGTATCAAAGTCGAGCATATGAAGCCCATATCTGTATACCTAGCTTCAAAAAATAATACTTTCCCTACTACTATAGCTTTTACTCGTTATATCAACCTCTTCAAGTCTAATTTTCACAACAAAAGTTCCTCCTACAAGGTCTAATATACATATATACACTGTGTTTGGTCACGACATACCGATATTTAAGGGGGTATTTTTATCGACAAATCCACCCCTACAATATCCTACCTCACTTTGAATGGCAGCCATTTTTATTTTTACGTTACGATTACGCTATTGCACCTATGGAAATTGTAATAATTGAGTAAGTAAGTGTCACAGAATGATAAATTTGGTGTCATTTGAACAAATAACCGGTTGTTACCATCTCGATAACGAGACCTTTCGGTAGATGTTGTCTTCACTCACACTCTCTAAACATTCATCTCTATCCCAGTAATGTGGGGTCCGGCACGCTACCTGATCCGGGACGGTTTGTACCTAAAATAACTAACCTAGGGTAACAAATTTCATTCTGTAGATAACATAGTCAGCTGTAGAATTAGCACAAAAAGTACAACTTCACAGACTACTTTTTGTCTGTTTTTAAGTATTTTTGACGGTTAGTATCAATACAAGTTTTTCAATAATCACTAGGACAACATGTTATCGTTCAAATGATACCAAATTTATCATTCTGTGACACTTATGTACTCAGTTATTACAATTTTCATATATATGTTACCGCTAATATCCAAAATCCGCTAATATGCATAATAATTAGACATAATAGGAATTATGCGTAAATACTAAAACTGTCGGTTAGTATGAAAAATAACGGCGCGTATCAGGAATTATCGATAACTACTAAAATCGTCAGTAATTATGCAAAGTATCGCCATATTTTTAGTAAATATTGATAATAACTGACACAGCAATAGGAATTATGCATAATATCTGCTGTGTATATTAGTGATTATACATGTAACCTCACAAAATACGACTGGTCCTGCCTTGAAGCGAGCGTTGAAGTTTGATGTTATGTTTTGATTGTTTTGTTGTTGGAGTTTCTCATCGCAATGACTGCACTACCTACTGATAACATTAAATTTAAATTTGTCGATGAAGTTAAGAAGTTGAAGGGAAGAACAAACTCACGATTGAACATTTTATTCAAGGAAGAATATGACGTGCTTTTATCCGAGGTAAGAATGATTTTAAACTAATATAGTGCCTATATTTTAACGTTTAATTCCTGATGTTTTTCTCTAGGTTAGGGATGCTTCATCAAATAATGGTCCCAAAACTCCATTACAGTATCGTAGACTTAAAAAGATTTGGAATAGTTGAAGTCGGAAATATTGAAAAGCTTGTAACGCGAAATAAAGAGCAAACGGGAAAGGAAAATAATGAAGATTCTAATAATATAGTGATTGACATACGAGATGTTCGCTATGTTGTTCCCGTTAAAGAAATGTTTGATATTTTAACCATTTGTCACAGAAGTATAGGTCACGGAGGAAGAGATCGAATGAAGACCGAAATGTCCAAACAGTATTCGAATATTACACAAAATTGCACAAAATTCTGCCAAAACAATACCTGCCGCGGTAAAAAAAAATAATCGATTATGCAATAGTAAGTGCCATCAAAGCTCTTCTTGTTCCAATAAATAAATATAAATATAATAATATAAATAATTTTTATGTAGTCGTTTGAAATGTTACGGTTATGTTTTTTTTTCGTTCTGATTCCTGAATATGTTTGATTTTCATCTATGCATACCATATAGTTTTGTAGAATTACATATATATTAAATGTTATGTAATAGTATACTTACTCGTAATATATTTCTATTTTATCATTAACTACATAGCATTTCAAATTTGACGTTACTTAGTTAATGACGTTACGTGATATTATGCTTAATCACTAACATAAGATATTGGTAGCTCCAGTATGTACGCATAATTTCTAATTTGGACAGTGAATATGCATCATAACTGATTATTTTAGTACTTATTAATAATTCCTGATACGCGCCGTTATTTTGCATACTAACGGACGGTTTTAGTATTTACGCATAATTCCTATTATGTGTAGTTTTTATGCATATTAGCGGATTTTGGATATTAGCGGTAACATATACACTAGCGTAATCGTAACGTATAAATCAAAATGATTGCCATTTCAAGGGGGGTGGGGTGGGACATTTTAGGGGGTGGATTTGTCGATAAATATAGCTGAAAAAATAAATAAATATCGGTATGTCGTGACCAAACACATTGTATATATGCTAAACTTCATCAAAATCGGTTCAGCCGTTTTCATATTTATAATATTAGTAGCGATAAAAAGGGACACAGCACCCAATCACGTAAAAATTGCAATCCAATTGGACAACAACCTCTGTTCCAAAACAAAAAGGTGGTCACGTCGTAATCGAGTTTGTTAATACGTAGAACGAACTTTTCATTTGACTGCTACAATTGCTGACCAATTGAGTTTTAATGCGATAAAGAGTTGAGGATCTGTAATAAGGAATCTTAAATACTTTCTAAAATGTTGGAATGGAACTAAACTGTCGAGATATGTTTAGAAAAATACTTATATTGCCTTTAAGATCCATTCAACTTTTTTTGTGATTCTACAGTGGTAGAGTATATGCACAATATAAACTCACCGTCACTAGGTTTCTGTCTGGGACCTTCAAACCGTTTCTTGTATTTTTTGCGTTCGGTAGGTTCAGTCTTTTGTCTATGTCTTTGGACCAGTCCTGTAAGAACAAACTACATGTACTACTGGAAGTCACACCATAACGGCGATGGGCGCCCGCAGGAATTTTTCTCATGGGGGCCGACGATCGACAAGGCATAACTTTCTTGAAAGTGTACATGCCCCCAAAACTTTTTGCAGAGTGAAGGGTAGCAAATTTTCCCAGGGGGAATCCTAAAAATCCTCAAAACTGTACACAAAATCATGCTAAATTTGCAAATTTTAAGGTTCGACTATATTCCCAAACACGTTTATGATTTGATTGTACAGATGCTCACCTCTCCTTTTCCTTCTGGATTTAGCACCAAATGGCTTGTACTTGCATTTCTTTCTAACCAGCATCCATGTCCAATCGCCTCCACATTCCAACACATGCCTGTGCAATTCTCCCAAAGAATTACACTGCTTGTCGCATTTAGTGCACAGTCTAGCATCACTCCTTTTAAACAACTTGCATGGGAGCCGCTCCTCGACAGCGCCAACCTAAGTAAAAAACATTGCTCATTGTCATAGAATGCATCCTTTCAAGCTCAGTCTGAACTGAGCTAAAGCCCAAAATTACAGATTGAGGTTCAGACATACCCATGTTATTTGTAGCCCATACAGAAGCATTCTCACCTGCCATACAAGCATGCCATTCTTTCCTATCACAAAAAAACGTTGTTCCGTTACGAGAGGAATGAACGGCAATCTTTTCGTGAGGCTCGTTGGCTCATCAATTCGACACGCAAAAATTCGTACTAAAACGACTAATATTGCCACCAGATGTCAATTATGCCTGGAGGAAACACTAAGGGATTACACTCCTGCCAATAAAGACTGCGTGAGATGCAATTGTTAACTAGTCAATTCAACACGCAATAGTTCGTAGTGAAGTGACATATTTTTCCACTAATTATTTATCAAATATTCTGAAAGGAATACTGAAGGGGTTACTTTCCGAGCATATCAAAGTGCGATATGAAAGATTGACAGATTTTTTCCATTCACTCATGTGACAGGAAAGGGTGGCATGACTGAATGCCAGGAAAGAACGGTCGTTCGTGTATTAGCTGTAATTGTGCGTTTCGTTCAAAATTCAAATTAAGCAAGGTGTTACCGAGGACGTTAAAATGTGAAAAAATGATGTAACTATAGGTCAGGAAATACTCCGTTTCCATAGTACAAGGAGTATAAGCTCGTCCGTATTTGATAGTTCTTCTCGAAAACATCTTGAGATAATCAGATGATTTTTGGTACACCCAAACGTATTATCAAGGTCACATTAACATTAACAAAACTGATTTCTAAAGCGCTTTTATCAGTGACGTTCGTACCCGCGGAAAAACTATAAACCAAAGGTTTGTCATAAAATAGTATCAGTACCTTAAAGCCAGGCTGATTCTACTTTAAACCTGTCTCGTGAAGTTTTTTTTTTGTTTAGACACATGCTTTGCGAAGTTAAACTGTTTTATTAACCAGCACAATAAACCATTATCGTTATAAGAAACTAGTATCCGAACTTTTTTAATGATCATAGCGGAAAACTCCAAGAGACACCTTTCAATCAGAATTAATACGGCTTTGAGAAAACAACATGAATTTTTGCAAAAACTAAACTGGTAGACAGTTGCTTTGCAACATGGAAAATTTTACCCAAATTCAAATCTAGATATTTTCGGAACGGAAAGGGATATCGAGTTGTGGTATTCGGGAGGTTCTTGATCAACTCTTTTAGAACACGTACAGGGTTCGACGGTATATTTCCTTCATTTATCCTCATATGGTCAGCAAAGGAAATACGTGTTTTTTTTCTAGCAAAGTTTGGTTCTATTGCAGATACTCAATTTTTGATCTTGGAAATTTTTCTATGCATCTTTCTGATCTATAATAAAAAAAGTAATTTCTCAAAATTTTCGAAAGTTGGCTATAACTCAAATTATCGAATTTTAAAAAAGTGTTACATTTATCCCTAAAAAAGGGACTTTTTGGGGTTTGTCTTGAGAATGGGTAAGTAACAAGTCACTGGAATAAAACATGTTAGTGCGAGGATTCGTATTGCGATTTGCTCTACGGTATGGTTCCTCCGGAAATTCTCCAGGTTGACAATGGGCTCATTTTTCTCATTTTTTTGAGACGTTTCCTCAAAGCCCTACTAAATTGTATTTAAATTGAAAATTAAAGATCATAATGTATCAAGTACCAAAACCACAAGACCTTTAAATGTTACTTCTCACGTCTCTTGACTGGGAAATATTGTATTCGTGAAACATTCTAAATCTGGAGCTTGATTTTAGTATTAGCATTAAGAACATTTTCGGCAAGGGTACCACAGTGTAGCAAATTAGGTCCATTACTATTTATTTTATATATTAACGATATTCCTAATGCTTTACAACACTGCAAAATTCAAATATCTGCTGATGATACATTAATATACATATATCCAACTAAAGACCTTGAAACTGCAATAGAGCTATTAAATAATGATATGAAAAACAGTCAATTGGTAGAATGTGAATAAGCTCAAATTAAACTCAAACAAACCAAAATATTTAATTATAGGAAAATCTGTAGATGAAAATACGATAAATCTTATGATTAATCATGAAATAATTGAGTTAACCGAATGATTTAAATGTATGTAGACAGTGAAATAAAAGAAGCACTGTGAATATATTATTTCAAAAATATCCCAAAAGATAAATTACTTCTATAGAATTTTGCATAGACTAAGTGTTTATTTAAAAAAAAATGTGTACAACACTATCATTCTTCCTCATTTGTTATATTGTTCGACTATTTTGTTCACTGCAAACGAAACTGTGATTTCAAAATTTCAAATATTATATAATAAAGCTATGAGAATCATCTTAAATAAAGATAAATATACTAGAATAAATTTTATGCTGACAGAACTACAATGGTTAAATATCAAAAATTCCATAACCTATTTTGCTTCTGATTTTCATATTAAAGTTAAAAAATCATCTTCTACCAAATAATTTAGAAAATTTTATTGAACTGAACAGTGAGTACCATAGTTATCCTACTAGAGGAAGTATAGACTTCCATTTACAAAATAGTAGTAGCATTATAACAAATCAGTATTTCAAAAAGTATTGAATGAATTTAATACATTAAGTAATGATATCAAGATGTGTGCCAGTTTGAGAATGTTCAAAGGGAAATTGATGAAATATCTCATGGAAACCCAGAATTCATAGTAGCGAGATTTTTTATAAAAATATGCAGATTTGAAGACATAAAATATTATGTGATATATTGTGTAACATTGATATTGTAGCATTAATGCTAAATAAATCTACAAACAAACACAGATTCAAGGTACCCAGAATCTAACAAAGCTCACCTTGCCAAGTGCAGGGATACTGAGATGTCTATACAGCTCGCTCTGGTTCCCGACGAATTCGTAATGCTGCACCCAAACATTCTGATGGTAAATATTCTTGTGGTCCAAAAGGTATCGCATGTTGGGTAATTTTGCTCCGCATGCGGCGCATACATACATCCGACATCGTGCCCATTCGCCTGACAGTTCCACCAGCTCGTTCTCTGATCGCACAGGATTGGTAGGTAGCTCGAAGTTATCCGTTTCCCGGGATGAGCAGATCAATGTGATCTTGTCAGAATGGTCGATGTCACCTGGCAAAAATGATTTATTTAATATGTTTGGGTACAATACAGCAGTCGATTCACTAACATAAATTGTCGGTCCACCTCTTCTTTGCAAGGATACGCCAGGTCCTAGGATAGGTTTATCGAGAGTGGGTCAATCACGATCCTCTACTGCGGCTCACTGATCTATTGTGGCTAACACCTACTTATATTTCTGATAGTAATTCCGACCTCCTGAGAAAGTCGATCAGCTTATTTCGAGAAATATCCTTCAGGTCGTCTACTTGGAGTACTACTCTCCCAAGTATATTGTACCGAACTCTGGCAATTGTAGGGCACCTACACAAAACATGTTTAACCATTTCGTCTCCTTCCATGCACAGTCGGCACTCAGCGTCTACCGCCATGCCCAGCCCGCTCATGTGGTGATCCAATTTGCAATGAACAGTGTACAGTTCCCATTAATGTAGAAAAGACAAAATACATGGAATGGGCAGATAAGAACTTAATAAAAGGCAGCACTTAATAATGACCACCACAAAATGAGAAATCTATGTTTGAAAAAGTACAAACATTTGACTACTTGGGCACAGTATTTACATCAAAGCGGAGCAACGAGGAAATACAACAAATAATGATGGCCGGAAATCGTGCCATATATGCGCAAAAAGGACTAATGAAGAGCAAAATTATTTCCAGGGGAGCTAAAATCAGGATCTACAAAACGCTAATAAGGCCAGTGGTCACGTATACAAGTGCAACATGGACGATAACAAAGGCAGAACAAGCAAAGTTCAGAGGTTGAGATGGTTAGGACACGTGCAAAGAATGGCAGAACATATAGTACCAAAGGCACCCAGGAAGAGGTGGAAAACTGAGGTGAAAGATGACCTGAGGAAGTTAAACGTAAATGATTGGAAAATAAGAGCAATGAATGGAGAAGAATGGCGAAAGATCACCAATCAAGCATGGGTCTACTAGACCTGTAGTGCTAGTTTATATATACAGTGTACAGTTCCGCTAAAGCGTTAATTCTATTCCTGTTTAGCCGCAGCAGTGAGTGTGTTTGTAATGAATGGTGTAGTTGCCTTAGCATGGGTTAACCTTGTTAATCCCTCTCAGTGTTGTCTTTCCTTCCATCTCTACAGAGATTGTTTGTTTAGCCGTGTTGTACGCGATCCTGATCACCGGCTCATGTCCTATGAAGGGGGTGATAGTCCCACTCTTTACCAGAATGTCGGTTGTCTCCCTTCAGACCTGTATGTTCTGGTATCCATAGGAGATGAACCTTATTTCCATCCCCTATGCTATCAAGGGCTTCTTTAAAATTCCTCACTAATTTCGATGTTGAGTAGGTGGAGTCAATTGCTTGAAGCGCGGCTTGACTGATAAAATATTTATAGTCCTGTGCCTCAATTGTCGTTCTGCGATCATTCTGGCACACAGTTATATAGCCTGGAAAATCGATGCACAAGTTTCTAGGCTGTCTGATTCCCAAATATTTAGCTTTGGCAAGAATATACCAGCCCCAACACCTACTTCGTTGTTAGAGCCATCTGTACATGCACATATATATTTCATCGCCATTCCCACTCATTCCTTTGAGGAATTATCACTGAATAGGGTTTAGCATATCTTGTTATTTTTAGCTTTATATCAGAAGACATTCCCAGGCAGTGGTGGCTGTGTATAACCACCACCATATCCGTTTCCTCCATAGTGATATTATCCATTAAACCATTTGCCACATGATGTATGCTATAAGTTGACCTTCTTGCCTCGCCTTCCAGGTATATGCACAAGGGATGTAAGTCAAGAACAACATCCATAGCCGCAGTTGGTGTGATGAGAAAAGCTCCATTTAGTTTAGCTTGGACAGTACGTTGTGCTGCTTTGCCCCACCAAGCTACAGTTAGGTACCTAAGCTTTAGTATGAGGGTTTAATATATCATAGAAAGGGAAATGCGGAAAAGCTGGAATCTCCTAAAATATACTAAGTGACATATAAATCCGAACACCCAGTTTAAATGGTTTTATTTTAATACAATTTTGTATAAGTACTTAATGAAGCATAATAAGTAAATGATAAAAATTTCAAAATGATTGCACTGCTTTAAAGCCCTTTGACCTTTAATAATGTGTTGATGCACCCTGATGTGCTACGCATTCTCCAACGCGCCTAGGCATGCTTCTGATCAGGTGGTCAATGTCCTCCTGTGGTATCTCATTCCAGGCAACCACCAACTCCTCTCGAAGTGCTTCTAGAGTCTGAGGAGGACGTTGCAAATTGAGCAATCTCCTACCCATCATATCCCACACGTGCTCAGTTGGGGATAAGTCGGGAGATCTTGGTGGCCATGGTAACAATGTTGAAAGAAGTCTATTGTGATAGGGTAAAAGATGGGGTTCTAGAACTTCGTGGATATAACGCTGCGCGTTCATGTTACCTCTGATGAAGATTAAAGGTGACCTGGAGCCATAAGCTATAGCACCCCAAACCATAACTCCAACAGTGTGATGAACATGTCTTTCAACAAAAAACTGTGGATTCCTCCTTTCACCACGTCGCCTTCTAACCCTGGCACGACCATCGTGCATGCCTAAACAAAATCGAGACTCGTCACTAAAGACAATACTGTTCCATTCCTGATCCCAGAGTGACCGTTGTCTGCACCACTCAAGGCGATTACGTCGGTGTTCTCGAGTTAAAGGGAGGACCCAGTGTGGCCGGTATGAAAACAAGCCAAAACTTCTCATTCATCGGTAAACACTTCGCATGGCAATAGGTGTTCCGTGTTCTGCAAACCATTCATTTGCAATGGACCTGGTAGTGGAGAAACGGTCCCTTAAGGCCAATAATCTTAGGTGGCGATCTTCACGGTCTGTTGGTCTACGGCGGCGTCCAGTGCCCCTTGCTCTTTGCGTACGGCCTTCCCAAAGCCATGCCTGACAACAACTAACCACAGTGTCTACACTTCTTTGCACTCTAACTGCAATTGCCCGAAAAGAAAGTCCAGCTTCCCGAAGTCCCACTATACGGCCCCTATCAAACTCACTAAGTTGACGAAATCGTACAGGTCTCCGTACTCTAGGCATCGTAACCGATCGTAAAGGATGTCAAGAACCAAAATCCGCCAACGTTGATTCTTTACTGCGGCTGAAATATTCATTTTTAGAGCGTTAGTGAATTAAAAAAAAGCAGTATAAAAACCGGAATGTCCAACTGATAAGGCTGAAAATTTTTTCACTTGTTATTTACAGTAAGATAAATACATTCACAAACTTTTATTAAAATAAAACCATTTAAACTGGGTGTTCGGATTTATATGTCACTTAGTATATCTTACTACATTCTAATGAGCAGGAAGTTGGACATCGTTAAAAACGAGGCTTCATATTTACTTAAATTCTACCCATCCATAAAAATGTATCTGGCTACGTCTAAAAATTTTCATGAAAAATACAAATAAAAAAGATGTTTGGGCAGTTTTGAGTCTTATAAAATGTTTTATTAAGAAAACTCCGACTAATTTTAAAATATACCAAGATTTGTCATCTTATAATTATCCATGCTTTTCTGGCCATTAAATGAAACCTCATAATTATGTAGAAATGACTGTTTACTGATATTTTAACCACCTCAATTGTTCAATTGTCACAAATGGCCTCATCTTCTTGCCCTTGGAACGAAATGCTCCTCAACTTTTTACTTTTTATTCTCTTGAAACTTACGAAAATCATTTGACCTCAACTTCTAGCTCCACAATTCTTTATATACAATAATAACATGTGAATAACAACTTTCTAGAAAGCAATTTTATATTGGCACAGAAGTAGGGATTTTGACACAAAGGTTCGGATTGTCAGATTATTGAAGACGAAAATAAAACAAAGAAAATTACAGCAAAACTTGAATAGCACTTCAGCTTTCTTTTCTCTTGTTTGCTTTCCATTATCGGTCTCGAAATGACTAGCCCTATACTGTACTGATGACTACTGAAAAGCATGAAACAACTCTGTATACGGTTGGTTATGGTTGCACAGACGGAAAGCAAACAGATCCTAATCAGCTTATCAGCAATTCACGAGTTAGGCGGTTAAGAATTCCAAAACTGACGGAAATGAGTGACATGGTTTATATATTTTTTATTTTATAACATGCAAACACACAGTATCCCGATATGAAATGTTTTCTTGATTATAATATTTCCCTTGTCGATTGGTAATAATAAGACATTTGCTCAAAGTTATTTGCAGCTTTAATAGATTTCATTTATATGATAGATACAGATAAAATTCTTACCATCGGTCGGTAGAGATGACGAAGGTCTCAAGTTCAGGTAACGAGGAATTTTCCTAACATCTTCACATCTAGAAGTATTTTCACCTAAAATCTCGCTTTCACAGTCTTGTTCTGTTATAGCGAACACTTTATTAAGAATCTCATTCAGGACTTCCCTAACTTCCATAAAGCTCTCGGGACTGATGCTCCTTTCGGGGTTCAAAGAATTTAGTTTGTCTAGGGCTGCTTTTTTACTTGCTTCCTCCTAAATGGTAATTCAAACATAATTACTTACTTGCTGATCTACACAAATTTGTTCAAGGAATCAGTTTCAACGGAAGATGAATCTTGGTGTACCGATTTAGTATAAAAACGCTCAAAATTTTCGATACCTTACGACGATCGAATGGGTAAAGTACATGGCTTCTGTTAAGTGAGTATTAAACTATATCCCAATTTTGTGTTTGTTTTTTTCTAAATATACAACTGGTCTTTTGTGGATTGGATACTTGTCCCTTCATTAAGCACAAAATAAAAATTTGTTCCTCTTGTATTTTTTACGTGCTAGGCTTAGTTTCCGAAAAAATACAATTCCCTCTAATAGTTTTGCATTTAAAAATGGGTATTTTGTTTTTATTGTTTATGTCGAAAAGTAAGTTAGATTTATGCAACAACAAATTTAATTTTAGATCGTACTTGACATATCCGAAATATCCGAGCAATAGTTCTGAAATTAATTACGATATTTGGAAGGATCGATACAAATTTAACATCAATTAAAACGATTTCTGAAGCATCTGCCAAAGAAAAACATTTGTGGCAATCAGTTTTCATGATATTTAATATTTCTGAGATTATCTTAGATTTTGAAAACGAGACATTTCCAACATATCTTTACTAAAAGTTTTTTAAATCAAACAAGAAGTCAGCCCACAGAATGATTTCAATGACTTCAGAAGGCCAAGCCATAAGAGTTAACAGAAAAACATAAAAAATATAGGCTTAAAAAAAATTCGGAAAAATCTACACCCTGTAATGATCTTTTAGTTCCCATTACTACTAATTTCAAGACGGAGTGGAGTGCAATGCTAGTGCTGCAGCTAGGCTTAATCGTAAGAGGTACCCAAATGCTGCTCGTCATCTGATAACCAAGTCCTTGTGAATGTGCAGAGTTTACTCTTAGAGGGATGATTCCAAAATCAAGCACACTGTGAAGGAAAAATTTCCTTTCCTGACGAGGGCGTCGTACTAAAAGCAGTCGAAGAAGACCCGAGTACTTCAGTTCGTCAAATAGAAGCAAGCACGGAAGTGCCCAAAAGTACAGCCCACCGAATCTTGCGAAAGAACGAGTTCCACCCGCACCATGTACCGCGAGTACAATCTCTACAACCCCGGGATTATCTTCCAAGAGTTGAATTTTGTCAAACGATGTTTCAGGGACACCGTGAAGATCCCCGTTTTTTAGAGAAAATTTTATGGAGTGATGAGTCGACATTTAAAAAAGACGGTTTCACGAATCTACACAACTTACACGAGTGGCATGTAGAAAATCCACTGATAAGACAAGATAGATCACAGAATCGTTTTAAAGTAAACATGTGGACCGGGATTCTAAATGGGAGAATCATTGTACCCTTTGAGCTGCTAGAGTTCTTGAAGGGTGATATTTATTAAGACTTTTTACAAAATCATTTACCAAATTTATTGAAAGACGCATTTCAAAAAAATGCCAGTTCAGTTAGAGATTACCTTGTTGCGGAATACCCGATCAGATGGATAGGGCGGCTGGTACAAATTCGTGTCCGGCCCGGCCCGTCCACCTGACTTAAATCCACTCGATTTTTTTTACTGGATAATAACTGTTTAATAACGGAAGATTCTCCAGTCTGATAGCCGTATTATTTTTAATATGTCAAGCTTGCATTGCTGCTGAAGGAAGGCAGTTTGAACATTTATTGTGAATTTAATAAATACATTAACAAATTAATAAAAGTGGCGGTACTGGTCTGTCTGTAGAATGATACCTGTCCGTCAGTCCGTATGAGAAAAAAAAATGAAATTTGTAGTAGTGGAGCTAAAAGATCATCACAGCGTGAAGATTTTCCCAATTTTGTTGTTTTTAATGTCTATAATTTGAAAGGTACACGACTTGGATTTTTTTATATTTTTTTGGTAACTACTATATTATGACTTGGCCTACCCTTCCAGCTTGACATCGACTTCTGGGACACCCTGTATACACAGGTTCTTTGGCGTGGAACGTGGTGGTTGGTGGGAGCGAAAGGCGCGGCGTAACAACCGTACACGAGTATGTTTCCGCATGATTCCGCGAGGCTCTTCAATTCCGAAGGAAAGCGCGTATGTGTAGTATGGTCAGAAGCCGTCATTTGGCGTGTTAATTGAAATGGACTCATCATCCAATAATGCGATAATTCCAACGTTGTTTACAACGTTCGACACCCCACAATTGGCACGTGTGTCTCCTACACGATGAGATGAACTTTTTAGTCTCGGACGTTCGACGCATGGTGGTCTATTATCGGTGTTAGTGTCGCGCTTGAACCTTTACAACTGAAGGAAATATTATACAAAATAAACGATGAAACAATTTTTTCGAGAGCCAAATCTAATTTCAGATCTGTCTTCAGCCAAAACTTGAGTCTGTCAGAAGCCTCAGAAACGTCGAAAAAGGAAGTTTGACCGTTTTTTGTTTGTTTTCGACTATACCTCCGCCGCCAGTGCACCGATTTTCAAAAACTGCAGAGCTTTTTGGTCATTTTCATAGCAGTAACCTAGGGTCAAAATTTCATCAAAATCCTGATAGTACTTTCAGAGTTATTGTTTATTTCATCTTATTCGTTAGTTATGAAATGCAAGTCAATATATTTCTCAACTAGTCTTGCATTGCAACACGACATTATTATGAAACAACTGTAAGCACTTGATAATTTATTATTAACTAAAATACATATCCTTAGGCCAGCCATAACTCACCTGCGATATTAGCAATATGAAAAAGGTGTTGTGTTGGCAGCCTATGTTTGGAATGTGTACTAATTTAATTCATTCTCCTCAAAAGTTAGTTACAGAACATACATTATTATGAATAGGTAGGTATTCAAATCAAAATACGTCCCGCATATCACTACTTCATCACAATCACAACAAACAAGTAAATAATGTTTATCGCCGCTACTGGTTCTAACCTAAAGCCATCAAACACATGACATCTCGTGTGTATGTGTGTGTGTCAGATTTACCGACAAGAGCTCGAACGTGCCATGTGGCGAACGTTGGACACATGCAATCTGTCAGCGCTCTCCCACAGGATGTGGCGAATGGCCATGTGTTCCCGTTTTATTAAGGCATGTGGCAACGCCAATCGACATAAATCATTTTACACATGTTTTTCGGACGCCACATCATTTTCCTCGCGAAAGAACATGTGTGTATGGTCAGCTAACAGTACTGAAATTCCACGTATACTGAAATCACCTAAATCAAAAAATAGTGCACTAAAAGGAAATGTTACATATTTTTTTTCGCTAGATTGCATAGCTTAGACGTCAAGTTGTACCGAAACATACCTTGAGATCTTCAAATGGGCCCCGTCGGTCCAAAATTTTATTCAATTCCTCTCTTCTGAGTTTATTTTTGTATTCATCACACGAAGAATACTCCAACATTTCTTTAGCACTTTTTTTATCATCCACCATCTTCTGTTGGCGTTTCTTGATGACTAGTTGCGTCCACATGTCCAGTTTGCTGAGATCGCGATTCTCTTTTTGCTCCAAAATGCTGGCTTGAAACTTGCGACGCGTGAAGTATTTGTAGTGAACCTAAAAAAAATATTCATCGAGTCAAAAAATCAGCATTTTGTCATTTTCCGTCAGAGCATCTGTAGAATCATTGCTCTTGGTTAGTTTCGTACGTCAGTATAGGTTTGTTAGGCTAGGGTAGATTAGATCGAAAAAACAAAGGATTACAATAACAATACCCTCTTAAAAAGCATTGGGATTTTATAAATGGATGCTTGAAGAATATTCAGGAACTTTGCCAACATTAAAATTTTAGTTTTTATCCGACTCCCTCAGAAGGAGCGATATGTTTTCCACTCGCGGGTATGTATGTATCCAAAATATTATATTTCAAGGGCTAAAGCTTACATGGCTCGGTGGATTCTGACATACGAGGTGTTGTTGGATTCGTCTTCAGTAGTGTGAGTGATACTGACTCTATTAAAATTTTATACAAATATATCGGCGGATTTTAATAAAAAAAATCAACCTTGAAATTCTTACTTCACGAGTTACACCTTGAACGGCTTGTAAAATTTTTACATATGAGGTGAGGTGTCTCTAGATTTCTGTTGACAGCACAATCAATTCCTCATTCTGTTCAGTTACTGCAGTCGAGTTTGTGTTTTTCATATTATTTTTCATTGCAAAAAATGCATATTTTGCAATTTGCCAAATATCCATTGTATCTCTAAAAATTCCCTCTTCAGAGAAAAGTTCATAGGAATCTTGTTTGTCCAAAACGATCAAAGGAAAAAAATGTCCGGTGCGAAATAAAACAAATTTTGGAATTTATTTAATCAAAAGTTAAAAATCAATTTTTGAAGCAATTTTGGGTCTGGCAACAAAAACTTTCGCTAAAAGCCGTTCTTCAGTGATATTATGCAAAATACCAAATCAAAATACTTTTCCGAGATTTGAAGATACCTCCTAATTTAGGTATAAACGAACAAAACTAGGGATCAAACAAACCTATGACTGCGTGTCATGAGTAGTGGATCTGTAAATTTAGGTATGGTTCACGTTTTTTAAGTTAATTATAAACCTTACCTCGTCCTTCTTGTTTTGAGTCTTCTTTTTGGAAGGTTTTGCTCCGTACTCGATCTGTGACTCAAAATCCTCCCCAAATTGAGAATTCAATGATAATGATGCCACTGGCGTCACAGCATTCAAGGAAAGTTCACAGCCAAAGTTTTCTGGATTCGAACTTTGAGATTCCTGTGGTGTTGTGGACACCTAAAATGAAATACTACTCATGTAGTTATTCGAAAATAATGAAGCGTTATTTTCCAAAAAAATTCACCGAATTTCTGAAACATGCTTAGGTAATAAATAAAGTTATAGATTTTTTTGACGAATCAAATAAAAAATGGAAGTAAGTGTATTTAAAAAATGCTGCACTCCTTCATTTTTCCAGTTCAAGCTCCTACCTTTTCAAAATTAGATATCCTCGTCTCCGATTCCTGATTTTTGAAAAGCTTTCCATCGATATGATGAAGAAGATTCTCTTCAATATTGCACTTGATCCGATTGAAGAAAGCTTTATCAAAAACATCGTCGAACGTCAGCGAGCTGATTTTGAGGTTATCAATGGAATGATCGGTGATCTTTTTCACCCTATAGAAACTGTCAAACTCTGGATATGGGTTGATACAGTTTGAAGTTGACTTCGTTTGTTTTTCGACAGATTTTGTGCTGGTGCTGGGATCGGAGTTGGTTCGATCGACCTGTTTGGAACGCTTTCGCTGTTGACTTTCCGTGAGTTTTAAGCCTAATTTCTTCCCTTCTTTCTTTTTCAAAGCCAGGCGGGAACTCCTCACCGTCAACCTAAACAGGGTTCCAAAATTAGGGTGGCAATCCAGAGTTTGGCAAAATATACAGAAAAAAGGTCATAAACCAGTTATTAATTTTTTTCTTATTACTTGTTAATAAAATTTCGTGAGAATGTTATCGTTTCATTCTTGATGTAAGGCTACTTCATTCCCAAAAAAATCAAGTTGAAGTAATTCTTTTTTCTGCGTGTAATACTTCTAATGCAACTGAGTATATTACTTGGAAGTTAACTATCAGTTACCCGTCAATGTCTGTCAGGTTCTGGGTAACTAACGCATAGTTGTCGCTCTGGCAACACTGCTGTTAAATCTTAACTATCGTGTTCTGTGTATTTCACGACGCTCGGTAACTCGTGTCATTCGTGACAACTCCTGTCACTGTCAAGTAACATTGCGGTTTAACTATAACCTCCTAGTTAATCCATTACAGAGCCTTCGAGTAAAGTCAACTACACACTGAGGGCGAACTTGACATTGCAAAAACGCTTTTTGAAAGTAAGCTAGCAATCTATTTATCGTTAATAGAAAATATCAATTGAGCTGACACCTTCAAGTTCAAGAGAATCAATATGGCTTTGAGAAAATGACATTTTTGCAAATACCAGATATGCATCATTTTTCCCTTAACATGAAGTTTAAATACCGCGTATCAAGGAAACGAGAAATTTATTAACATCCAAACTCATGTTTATATGAAGTTATTTTTGCCGACTCTTAAATTTATATATATATATATATATATATATATATATATATATATTAAAACGTCCTGTACAACTTCGACCTAGCCAGTATTCCCACTAAGCTCACTGTGCTCTTGAAGCTGTGTGGTATGGGTGGTATCCTGGTAACATACAATCAGTCGACAAGCTTACCTCCTGCTTCGTAGATCTCGTAACTTTCCAGGTTTCTTGCTAATCTCTTCCGCTTTTTTTATTCGACTTCTAGTAATTTTCACAGTCACTTCCTCGTCTATTTCCGGGTCTTCTCGATGCTCCTCAGTTCCTTTGGTGGTTTGTTCTTCAACTGCTGTGGCCTGAATCTTTTGGGTATCAGGCTGCGATGGAGCATCTAAAATAGGGATTATATGCTCAATGAAATATTCTTCAATACTGATGACAATAATACTAACCTTTGGTTGGATGGTTGGCAGAATTATGGTCCGCCAACATTGCTGGACTCAAAAATCGATCTCTACATGTCAGACACCCAAAGTACCTAAGAACAATAAAATCAAAAAATATAGGCCCAATGCAGATTATATTTAAGAAAAATTATTTTCTTTTTACCCGATTGCCTCAAAAGGAGGGTTATGTTTTTCGCGGGTAGGTATGTGGACAAAAAATCTATTTCACGGTTTGATGCATTTCAACACATGAGATGTTGTTAGAATCGTCTTACTTAGCCGCGCGAGTGGCACTAGGTATATTGAATCAATCAATGAACTAAATGGAGGAGACGGCACATAGGCCACATAACGGGCCTTATGCACCACTACATTCCTTAAGCCTCTAGGGAAGTTAAGTATAGCTCTGAGTCCTGGCCCCTCAACATTCTGGAGATCCAATGTGTTGGACCTCAGTATAGTCTGCCTGTAGTAACTCGGAGCTTCGCAGCGACACAGAACATGCGCCAAGTACTCCACCTCTGCCCTGCAGCCTTTACCCATGGAATCCTCAGCCACCTCCATCACATGCAGGCACATAGGCCCGTCCCGTTCCAGAGTGCGGAATACATAAGCCAAATTCGCATAGAGAGGCTAGTTCTAATTCCAAAGACCCCGGTGCCAGGGCCCTCTTCAGTAACCGTGTACCAGGCTTGCTCCTTTCCTTCGGAGACCTTCCGGCTTGTGGAACCCAGGTATTCTCAGATTCGTCTTTTTAGCGCAATCAAAACTGCATTTTTTTCTGTTACTGTTGTCGGGTTTTTTATATTTTTTAAAAATGTTCTTGTACGAAAGTATATATGATTCTCGGTCTTGGTATTCGGTTAGCGGTCGTGGAAAGATTTGATTTTTCTCATCAAGATCCATATGGATAAAATCAATTTAATGCATATGAAAGACAATGCACCCGTGTATCGTACATTATTAGGTGTCGGTGTTTGGCAGGCATTTTACATTTAATGGTTGTTATGGATAAAACATTACCTGTTGGAATGCTCCTGCACTAGGTGTCTGAAGAGATCATCCAATGTGTTGTCTGGTTGTTGGTGATCACAGTAAACGCACGGGGTTACCGTCAGTTGAGACTGTCGCCGAGAGCTAACAAAATACATTTTCACCTATAGTCATGAACGTAACAGATTGAAACATGTATGTTCCTATGTGACCAATTCAAGTTAAAAAATATATGAGGATCCAAAAACGTAAAAATTGTTTTCAGTGCGCTAAACCAATAAAACGTTTGGAATTTGATTTCATAAAGTACCTAATTTAGAAATCGAATATTTCCATATAAGGTTCCGATACCAAATTTTGACTAATCTTATTTTCGAACATTTTTTTCAATTATATGCATATTTGGCAAAGCAAAAGCGGTAGCTTCGTTGTAAAAATTATCTCACTATATTTTTCTCGATAATCTTCGTAAGGACTGACCTGATTCTTCGACTTTGCTTCACCGAGTGAACCCTCTCGACATGCTTTTGTCTCAGCGTGGCACTGACAAATGACCTCTCGCAATAGAGACATAATAGTTTTCGCACCGTTGACGGCTTTGTGACGGTTGAATTGCCCCCTGCAGACCCGCCGCTGCTTTCGTCCTGTTTTGGAACAGGTGATGTTGATAGGGATTGAGTGGCAGCCGTCGGGCTAGACAGCAAAGTTTGCATCTGCAAAAAAAAAGAATCAAGCAAAGCCACTCAGTATTATTGAAATAGAATCTCTAGTGGATATGGCATCACGTCTTTGGTCACGGGGACATGCCAAGATTGTTATCGTACAATTCTGTCAAAATGACATGTGTTTATGCTTTTCCGGTTTTTTCTAGAACTATTTTATTTTCGTACACCATTTTCATCGTTATTTTGTGTATGGTATTGCAAATGAAAATGGTGTTTTGTGCCCTGATAATGCGCTGTTGGCAATTCGCTATGGATACGATGAAATCGTCAGGCATAACGTTTCACAAATCAGTATATTGTAAACACAAGATGCTGGACCGAATTAACACTTTTAATTGCTCAACTGCTACTTATGTACAGAGATTGTGGAACTTAAGCATCATTATCCTTGTCTCTGACACATGAAACCTTTTGTTTAGCCAAAAGAAAAAATCGGTTTCAATAGAACATAAACATGTCAGACTGAAACTGGGGATAGGCCAACTCATAATAGTTATCAGAGAAATATAAAAAATCTACGTCGTGTACGTTTCAAATTATAGGCTTTGAAAAACTCAGAAAAATAAGAAATATCTACACCCTGTGCTGATCTTTTAGTTCCCATTACTGCAATTTTCAATTTTTCCTTAGACAGAGTGACATACCACGCTTTCTAATTGGTCATTGTGGATCCGGATCATAGGTTTTAATCTCCGGATCAACTGAAAAAGTATGATTTTGTAGCTAAACCAGGTGATTTATAAAGAATTTCTTGATTTAATAGGAGATTAGAGACCCTTATTACACAAATCGGATATTTGTTCGCTAGTTTGTAGATATTTTGGAAAAAAATCGGCTGTACTCATTAGATCCATTACTAGAAAGACGCCTTCTCATTGGCCCATTTTGATCTGGATCAAAAATTTTGAGCTCCTGTTAGTAAAATCAAGACTAAAAAGAACGATTTGGCCCAGCTCTACCATTTAGCCCATTGCATCTCGAATGTCAATGCTTATCCAATTAAAATTATTAATCTCTAAGCTATAATAGCAATACCTTATCAAGAGGAAAAGTGTCGTTGTGCGTGATGTTGGCCTCATCTCCATCTACGGAGGCGGTCTCCTTGGCCCTGGACGCCCTCCCGGCATCATCCCCGCCGTCCGCGGAGTGCCTACCTTCTGATACTTCCCCTCCACCTCCTACCGCGCACTCCCCTCCCTCCAGGGAGCCGCTGTTCACCATCGCTGCAAACCCGCTGGACAGTTGTTAAACCCTGTAAAAATGAAGGGGCTCTCAATTTTAATAAATTTACATTTAATTCCAACAAGTTCTAGACACATTTTGAGATGCAGCATAGGAACAATCAATGACTGCCCTTTGCTAAACATGTCATTCATTACCATTTTTTTTTAGTTTAAAGATTCATAGACAGAATCGTTTACTGTATACGTAAAAGTATCATATTTGTATGTATGTAATTAGCATTAAGCTTTAGTTTCAGTACGGTTGAGTGTAAGAACAGTTTTGCTAAACTCCGCCAATAGAGCCGTTTATTATTTTTATTAACAAATTGTTTGACAGGAACGATACCGCTAGGTATAGAATCCCTAAAAGTTTTGAATTTCTGTGACTCCAAACGACTAACGGTACAAGGTAACAATTGTAGTGTGGAGTTTGATGTATGGAGGAGCTTTGGATTCATGTTAAATTGCGATTTTAATGTGAAATTTCGCGCAGTAGATGAAATCGAGTAAATATTAAACAAATTTAAAGAATAGGCGAAAAAATGTTCTGCAATTAAGAAAAAGCAAACTGCGTTTCCGTAAAAAAACACCCTGTATCTTCGGAATGGCTGAGCCGAACAAACTTGGGCTAGTTGAAATGAGCTATTCTTGGGCTACAAATGTTAAAATATTTGAGGTTTTGTTAGTTTCACATGTGGTCGCTAGAGGGCTTTTTTCGACATTCCTACAGAAAACAGAAATGGTTAATTTTCTCAAAAAATTAAATGCATTGGAATGATTTCTTTTTATGAAAAAGTAGCTAAATGATGTCTAAGCAAGCCCGCAAAAATTGTCAAGCAAAAGAGGTTCAGATTATCCTCGAATTTAAAGATCAGGTGTTTTTTGTTAGGTTAATATATAGTTCACAGAAACATTACTTTTTTTAGATTCCAGATTGCAGTTGCATTTCAGAAACTTGAAAATATTTTCCAGGTTTTTCTCTTGACCGTTTTAGTAAAAGCTGTTTTTGACGCAAGCCTCTATGATGGATCGGTTCCCAGATACAGTGCCTCGCACTATTAGTTGGCCGCCCTGTACAAGCTTTCACAATGTCAACAATAAAAGTAAAGAAAATATGCAGCCATACAGGGACGAGTTTCACTTTGACCTAACGCTTTTGATAAATTTGAGTTCTCGTCACTCCCGAAGGTTGGATTTTGGTCTAACAGATTCGTTCTCGAAATCCTTTAAATCATACAGATTGGACTGACGGCACTAATATGGACTAACATGGGGGGGGGGGTCGCGGTGTCCGCATCGTTTGCTGTATCAGTGCTTCTGAGAACGAATGCCCTGATGACAACTGAAGAAAGGACTGTCCTACCCACAATTGAAAATTGATGCCCGGCAGAGTTATTACATAAAATAAATAATAGTTTAAAAAAACTAAAAACACGCTTTTATGGCTAACCGACTAAAAAGCAGAAAATTATTTTTAATTACAAAGAGTTTATATTACAATAGTAGATGGTCGAACAATCTATCATAATTAATGACCTCAAAATAAAATTATAATAAAAGTTGTTAACAGAATAATTTAATTCAGAGCCAAAAGCGTGGGGTGCCTGATATATTAAATGTTACAATCATTCTATTGGCAGCTATCTATGTTAGGAGAGTTATGAAAATGTTTACTCTGAATTGAATTATTCTGTTAATAACTTAAAGTTTATTCCCTCCCCTACTGAGTGGGGCCGTGGCAAATGCTTGTTCCGGAAGTTGTTGTATCCAGTATACTTCTTCCCGTTCAAGTGATTGCGCACGCGTTAAGGAATACCTCAGTACCGATTGCCGGGTGGCGGTACAAGTCCGCCAACGGGCCACTTTAGGTCTATTTAACATCACTAATACGTAAAAAGAAGGTGGTAGACAAGGATCAGTCGACCGAGGCAGTACCACCCGCTAGCTTTTCCCAGAGTGTCTTATAAATGTCCGCATGTTTCCACACCTAAGCTATGCAGTCGGTTATCTACCAAAACAAAAAAATTAATGATGATGGATCCCTCGAGCACTAAAAACTCCGGACGTAAACTCACTCCACTCTCGGAATGTCCGGGAGGAGGGTGGGCTCGAGGGAACAACATCGAAGATAAAATTTGTTTTTCGAACATCTGCGGGATCAACAGCAACATTGATGCTGTTCATCACTACCTGCAATCCAATCGTCCCGCCGTGCTTTTCTTGGCGGAGACAAAAATCTCAGAGGCTGCACCGATTAACCATCTCAACTTCCCAAACTACGAGGTGCACTCCAATCTGAGAAAGAACGGGGGAGTTGTGGCTTTTGTCCGCAGCAGTCTTTCCTGCTCCAGGGATCTTTCTTTGGAATCAGATCGTAAGGACATCCTGTGGCTTCGCCTCAACTCCAAAACATCACCCAAATTTATTTGCTGCCTTTATCGCTCTCCCTCGAACCTTAACTGGGATGACCTACTCGAATACCTCGCCGTCCAGATCGACTTCCTGAACATCAATCACCCCGCTTCAGAGGTAGTTCTTCTCGGTGATTTCAATGCCCATAATGAGCTTTGGTTGGGCTCAAATAAGACCGATGCAGCAGGTCGTGCAGTCGAAGCGTTCGCTCTTACTCAAGGGCTGACCCAGCTGGTGACGAGCCCTACTTTTTTCCCCCGCGTCTCGTCACACGCCAGTAGCCTGCTGGATCTCTTTCTGACCACGCATCCTGCCCCTTACAGCACTGCCGTCCTGTCCCCCCTGGGTAACTCAGATCACGGTGTTGTGGAGGTTAGGTTTCGGTCAGAAGCCGCTGTGGCCGCAGAAACTCGCACAGGCCGCAAAACTTGGCATTACGGACATGCCGACTGGGAGGGGCTCAGAGACTTCTTCTCTAGCTTTCCTTGGAGAGATGTCTGTTTCACTGACGCGGATGCGTCGACTGTCTGTTCTTCAATAACCGAAATTATCCACGTCGGAATGGAGGAATACATCCCTCACACAGTGAAAGTTCCTAAACCAGGGTCCAACGGCTGGTTCAACAAATCGTGTGACACTGCTCGTCAGCAGAAGATCAAGGCCCACAGAACCTACTTACAAAACCCCACTGTAGAGAACAGACAAGCCGACGTCGAGTCCAGAAACAAATATAACGAAGCGGTTCGCAATGACAAAACCCAGCATGATATAAAAGTTAGGCACAGGGTAATGTCGCAGCGCAATGGTAGTCGGTCTTTCTGGACGCTGGCCAAGCAGATTGAAAAGAACTTCTCACACAGTAGCCTTCCACCACTTACGTGTCAGGATGGAACTATTGTATTCGACTCAAAGGCCAAGGCGGAAGTGCTAGCCAAGCTCTTTGCTGCCAACTCCACCATGGACGTCCCCACCAACGCCCAAGTGCCGTCAATTCAAAGGATTCCCCATACTATGCGGGAGGTAACATTCAGGCATAAGACCCTAAGACGAGTGCTCTTGTCGCTCGACATCAACAAAGCTTCTGGTCCGGACTTGATTCCTGCCATTGTACTGAAGAGATGTGCAGCTGAGCTTGCTCTTGTTCTTTCGCGTCTCTTCCAGATATCTTATGAATCCGGCACCTTCCCAGAAAACTGGAAATTTGCTCATGTACAGCCCATCCCAAAAAAAGGATCTAAAACCGACCCTTACAACTACAGGCCTATAGCTCTGCTTTCTGTTATAAGTAAAGTGATGGAGAGGTGCATAAATCGCGAGCTTCTGGACTACCTCGAACGTCACAGCTTGATTAGCGACAGGCAGTACGGTTTCCGGCACCAACGATCCACAGGGGACCTCCTAGCTTACGTCACGCAACTGTGGAGTAAACTCATCCAGTCTCATGGTGAGGCTCATGTCGTTGCTCTTGACATCACGAAAGCGTTCGATCAGCTGTGGCACGCTGCCCTCTTGAGCAAACTTCCATCCTACGGCCTCCCAGAAAAGCTTTGCAGATGGGTGGCTGACTTTATCTCTGGCCGCAGGATATCCGTCGTAATTGACGGATTCTCCTCTTCATCCCACAACGTCAACGCGGGTGTTCCCCAGGGATCGGTCTTGGCTCCAACACTGTTTCTCTTACATATCAACGACCTCCTTTCCTGCACGATCAACCCAATCCACAGCTTCGCTGATGACAGCACTCTACATGCAGGAATTCAGAGTGACAAGCCGATCTCTGCCGCTGAGCTGGAAAAAAGAAGACTAGCGACGACTTCTTCTCTGACAAGAGACCTGGAGGCTATCACTGCTTGGGGACGCAACAATCTTGTACAGTTCAATGCTTCCAAAACACAGTACTGTACTTTGACGAACAAAAAGCGTCCTAGCGCTCATACAGTTTCGATGGACGGTCGAGTTCTACCAAAGAGCCATTCATTTCGGCTAGGTCGGAGTCCAGATCACCGAGGACCTGATCTGGCACGAACACATCTCTTCAATAGCTGCAGCTGCTGGGAAAAAGCTAGGCTATTTGTTTAGGGCTAAGAAGTACTTTTCTCCGCATGACCTTCTCACTCTATACAAGGCCCAGATAAGGCCTAGCCTCGAGTATTGCTCACACATTTGGGGTGCTGCCGCTCCGACTACATTGTCTATGCTCGATGCTGTCCAGAGGAGGGCGGTCCGACTGATCGATGACTCTTCTCTAACAGACAGTCTCGGGACTCTTTCGCACCGGCGGGCCGTCGGCGATTTAGCTCTTTTCTATCGCTACACCAACGGGCTTTGCTCCTCAGAGCTCTCTTCCATGATGCCGCCGCGCGATGTGCCTGCCAGACAGACCCGCCTGACTTCGGCGTCCCATCCTAACCGTGTCGAACTTCGTACATCCAGAACTGGCCGATACGACCGCTCCTTTGTCCCGAGGGTGTCTAGATTGTGGAACAAACTACGGAAGGAAGCTTTTCCCAGTTCTACTAACCTTAGGCAGTTCAAAAATCGTATTAACAAAATTTCTTTGGGATCATCATAGCAGCCGCGGTGTTCCGGCATTTAGGCTTCTGCTTGCGCGGCTGTTTCGATATATATATAAAAAAAAAGAAGCTTTTCCCAGGGTGTCTTATAAATGTCCGCATGTTTCCACACCTAAGCTATGCAGTCGGTTATCCTCCAAAACAAAGAAATTAATGATGATGGATCCCTCGAGCACTAAGAGCTCCGGACGTAAACTCACTCCACTCTCGGAATGTCTGGGTGGAGGGTGGGCTCGAGGGAACAACATCGAAGATAAAATTTGTTTTTCGAACATCTGCGGGATTAACAGCAACATTGATGCTGTTGATGCTCACCTGCAATCCAATCGTCCCGCCGTGCTTTTCTTGGCGGAGACAAAAATCTCAGAGTCTGCACCTATTAACCATCTTAACTGCCCAAACTACGAGGTGCTCTCTAATCTGAGAAAGAACGGGGGAGTTGTGGCTTTTGTCCGCAGCAGTCTTTCCTGCTCCAGAGATGTTTCTTTGGAATCAGACCGGAAGGACATTCTGTGGCTTCGCCTCAACTCCAAAACATCACCCAAGTTTATTTGCTGCCTTTATCGCCCTCCCTCGGACCATAACTGGGATGGCCTACTCGAATACCTCGCCTTCCAGATCGACTTCCTGAACATCAATCATCTCGTTTCAGAGGTAGTTCTCGGTGATTTCAATGCCCATAACGAGCTTTGGTTGGGCTCAAACAAGACCGACGCAGCAGGTCGTGCAGTCGAAGCGTTCTCTCTTACCCAAGGGCTGACTCACCTGGTGACGAGTCCTACTTTTTTTCCCCGCGTCTCGTCACTCGCCAGTAGCCTGCTGGATCTCTTTCTGACCACGCATCCTGCCCCTTACAGCACTGCTGTCCTGTCCCCCCTGGGTAACTCAGACCACGGTGTTGTGGAGGTTAGGTTTCGGTCAGAAGCCGCTGTGGCCGCAGAAACTCGCACAGGCCGCAAAACTTGGCATTACGGACATGCCGACTGGGAGGGGCTCAGAGACTTCTTCTCTAGCTTTCCTTGGAGAGATGTCTGTTTCACTGACGCGGATGCGTCGACTGTCTGTTCTTCAATAACCGAAATTATCCACGACGGAATGGAGGAATACATCCCTCACACAGTGAAAGTGCCTAGACCAGGGTCCAACGGCTGGTTTAACAAATCGTGTGACGCTGCTCGCCAGCAGAAGATCAAGGCACACAGAACCTTCTCGCAAAACCCCAAAAAGTACAATTCGCGTTTTGACCACCCTGTATGAGCAAAAATGAAAATTCGAAAAAGTAACAAATGAAATATGTTGAGATGTGTAATTTTTTTTAATACAAAATTCAGCACAGCAAATTTCAAAATGGCGGATTGAGGGGTTGCCGAAGTGGACGGTTTTTCTGGACAAAACACCTTACATCTCAGTAGCTAATTACCAAAACTGCATAGTACCTATAGTATATCAATCTTCTTCTTTTGAATTGGTTTATCCAAATATGCAATAGAATTTGAGGCATTCCATTTAAAGAATCTCAACGTTGATATCTAGGTCAAAATTGGCACACCCTGTGTAATTGCCAATATTTTAGAAATGTGACTTCAAATGTCATGTATAACATGCCATAAATAGATTTTCTCAAAATGTATTTGTTTATGAGTAATATTCCGTCCACACATGGATGGGCTACCTGTATACATACTGGCCAATCTAATAAAAGCGTGTTAAAAAAACTATACCACAACCTGCCTCTTATGAGGATTGAACTCACGACGCCTGGTTTAATAGACCAGCGCTCTAACACTGAGCTACAAAGGCTTGTAGTTTCAGTATTCGTAAAGCGGCATTTGAAATCCGTGGCTTTTTATTAACATATCTGCTTCTTACAGATTTTTACTTATGAACAAGGATAATGAAAAACTGTTAGCAAAGTATTGCATTGTCACCGGTCCTTGAGACGAGTGCGAAGTTTCTAATTAATCAAACTTATGGAAATTGGTGTAAATTATGCTCAAAGATTCGGTTACATACATACAGGCCAAGCTGAAAAAAGCGTGTTAAAAACATATAATGTTGAAATAATCGGTAAAATGTCAACTTGTGCCCTAGGTATCCGCTAGTTCATTCTGCGCTTACTACAAGTGAATGTCAGCTGGTTCAAAGGTCACATTATATAGGAAAAGTTGCATGTCAAAAAACCTACATGCCATAAAAATCGCTACAATGGGTACCAGGAGGGAGCCGTCTGCATCAGTGCTTCTAAGCGTAAATGTTCTTGTGACAGTTGAAGAGTGAAAGACAACAATTATCCATTGCGTCACCCGCCAAATCAATTCAGTGCGGGTAGCGTCAAGCCGGCAACAGCGCCCCACTCAACCCTATATATAGGCGTATTTTTTAATTCACCGGTTGAGCCACCGGTGCAACCAAAATTTCCGTCTGAGCGACCGGTTGTACACCAAACTTGCCTATGAACTATATTGACAAGTTTGGTGTACAACCGGTCGCTCAGACGGAAATTAAAAGAAGAAAAATTGGTTAATTGCTTGCACCGGTGGCTCAACCGGTGAATTAAAGAATACGCCTTATTTTGCATTGGCTGTTACCTGCGACTTGGTATGGTTGAAAGTGTTGCTGTCATAAAACATTGTTTTTGAATAATGCTAAGTATAAACTTCCAATCACGCTTTGTATCTTTGATGGCATTATTAAATAGAGAGACAACTTCCATGCTTGGCAAATTTGGTTACTGCATGTTCCGCGAGTAACACTGCAGGCAAGGAAGCTAGTCATGAATACCGATCAGATCAGAATGTTACCGAAGGTTCGACAGCAAACAGCCGTCGCGTCGAGAATCCGATTGCTGCAGATACAGTAGATGCACTCATTTGGTGCGAACACCCGAGTAAATATCTCAAATTTCGATACTTTGTTATTGTTTGCTATATTACTGGAAGTTGGTTAGGCATTCAGTATTTGGGGCCGTTCGAGTACGAGCCCCTTCCCACTTCAGTTGGCCCAACTATTGAAATCTTAGTTTTTTTCTTATCAAACACAAATAATAAAAATGTAGCAGGGAGTTATAGGTTTAAAATATTAACAATGAATATTTTGATAATATATAGTAGAAAACACCAACTTTATCACTCCCTAATCAAATTTGCAGCATAAATATAACATGTTGCAATTACAGCATATCAACCTATTTTCATTTCAATGCAAAATAAGTCTATAACGCATAGGTGGCTGTGAAAAATAAAGGCCATGACAATTGTTTTTATTAATCACAGCTGTCAGAATACGTTTAAAATAGTTTTGGGTAGTTAAGGTTTTCAAAGCGGGTAGAGGAAAGGTTATTCGTGAGAAAATTCGGTTACTGATAAGTAAATTCTGGGAAATCAAACTCAGAAATTGCAACTTTGTTAGACTTATCGCGGTACAGTGTGAGAAATATTGTTAGAAGATATAACGTAACTGGCTCAGTTAATATTAAGCCACGATATGTGAAAAAAAGTAATATCACAAATGCCGACCGAAGAGCATTAAGAAGAATAATCGTGAAAAACAGACGTGCCAATTATTTACAATTAAGTGCTCTGTGGAGTGACGCTGTTGGAAGGAGAATTTCGAGGTCCACAACTCATAGAGAGACCCACAAACTGGGATTTAGCACTTGCAAGGTAAGTTTTCTTATAAAAAAAGTGAAGTAAAAACCCTAAAGTTGCACAACTTGTTTATAGGCCAAAGAAAAGCCACTATTAACTTCACTGCAAAAGAAAAATCGGATTATATGGGCTAAAGAACATAGACGATGGACACCTCAACAATGGTGTGCAATACAATGGAGTGATGAGGCCCGATTCGAAGTTTGTGTTGGTGACAGTCGCAGTAGAGTTATTCGCAAAAAAAATGAATGAACCATTCCATGTTGACTGTCTGAGGAGAAAAGTGAAATTTCCAGCATCCATTATGGCCTGGGGCAGTATGTCATCAAAAGGAGTAGGTAAACTTCATTTTATTGATGGAAATGTGGATACAAACAAATATTTGGCAATTTTAGAAGAATCGCTTTTACCAATGATGGAAGAATGGTTGATATCTGGTCAAGATTTTGTGTTTCAGCAAGATGGTGCAGCGTTCCATACCTCAAAAAAGGCTATAAAATGGATGGAAGAAAATAATGTACCACTTTTAAAATGGGTTTCTTACACATTTCCACTGAACTCCATACCGCTGTTAATATATTTTCGGCAAACCCGAAATTGGATCTTTCAAAATGTTCATTAATTGTAACGTGACGTTCATCCAAACGAGACCCTTAGGCCCGTATCGTCAGTCGTCCCTACAATTGTAGGGCGCCTTTATGGCCTCCTTGATTGTCATAGTTTTCTACTTCTCCGTGTCAGCGCTCTGTTTTGAGGTTATGTCACAAACATCTATTTGCATCAAATTGTGCTTGCTTTTGAGTTATATCATGTTTTATCAGCCTGAAATTTCCTACAATTTAAAAAGAAAACATATCTTCACAATAGGAGAGCGCTGACGCTGACACGGGACAAGTGTAATCTAGAAATTTTTGAAGGAGAGAAAGAAGTATGACAATCAAGGAGGCCATAAACGCGTCCTACAATTGTAGGGACGACTGACGATACGGGCCTAAATGGTCAAGAGGCAATATGCAACCATCCAGTTCCCGACGAAGAGGAGCCATTCTGCGCTCTACTTAGTCTAAGCAAGTGAGCATATCCAAATTTGGACCATTCCTGAACATGCGTTTCGCTTCCGAGAACCGACAAGCAGGTTTGATATGTGTTAAAATCAAAATCGACTGAATTTTACAGAAAATCAGAAAAAGTAAATATACAAAAATTGCTGACGTAATGACCACCCGGACCCCCTCTCCATCCATCCATCATGTCGTCGAAAATAAACAAATCAAAGACCCCCATTAATGATTACGTGATACTTGAATGGTCTCTTTACCGTGATCTGGACATATTTTTTCTGATGAGTTGAAAATATAATAACTTTATTTCTAACCGGTGCCTTTGTGAGTTGCCACTACATGACAAGTGAATAGCAAACTTAAAATATTTGTGTACTACTGTTCACATCTTACAGCAAAACCTGCAATATTTTAAACAGCCAATTGGTCAGTTGGCAATATATTATTTACTCAGGGTATGGTGATTGTTAAGGCATTACATTTCGGTTTCAACTCAGCATATTTAATGCTTTACTTATCTTTACTGTGCTATCTTAGGATAACTGCTTGTGAGAATAGCTATCAGAAATCTATTTATCACAAGGGGTCAAAATTACTTCTATTTATTTACCTTCCACATACAACTCATTAAAACGAAATTACTATACATAAGATAATTTTGAATATTGTAGGGAAATCATTTGAGAGCAATAATTAATTGTTTATGAACATTATTATATAATACATAATATAATAGTATGTTTTACAGGTGCCATCCTTATTAATTTTTTGAGCGGGTCCAGCTATGAAGCTGAAATTTGGATTAACGAAATTGATACATGTTTTAGCGTAAAAATGGCAGTTCGAATATTCAAGATAGCGGCTGGGCGAAATTTGGGAATATATTTAAATGGTATGAGGGGTCGGGCCTCATCAGTACTTTCATAACACTGCAATACAGGATCAATATCTTGAAAAATGTCGATTTGGCAGGCTGTCAAAGTTGCGCGTTTTGTATATTCGTTTTGTATATTAAGTCGCTTATGATTCAACAACCAATAATCAAAATCATATAGTATGTCGTATCAATCTTTGACGAATATGTAATAAAATATGGAACATTTTATTAAAAAGATATCAAAATTTGGCAATTTTTTTTAGGCGGTATATCTCTTAATTGATTATACATTCAGAAATACCTTTCCGAAGGGAGATTGATATAACACTTCAATATCTAGCCTCCCATACTGCCATTTTGATAAATAGTTGTTTTATAGGGGTTATAAAGTACCCATACGGGCCTTCAAAATAATGTACCACATCACCCCCAATTCCATTTTAAAAAATGTTACAGGACGGCGGCCAGCCACCATATTGAAATTTTCAACTGTTACTTTTACGTTAAAAACGACCCGTTCAAAAAATAAGTAGAGGGAGACCTTTCTGGAATGCACTGTACTGGGTTAGGTTAGGTTTCTGGTGAGTGCATCAATAACTATCCTCCACTGCGACTCTTTAGTCTATTGTGGCTCACACCTATTTATATTTCCCCCCGTAACTCCGACCTCCTGAAGAAGTCGATCAACTTGTTTGGACAAATATCTTTCAGGTCTTCTGTTTGGCGTACTCCAAGTATCTGTACCATATATTTCACGTATGTTATCATGATGGTAAATATAAGAAAGCGCATATTTAAATCATAGGCATTAACATACAATATGATATCACATCACTCTTTGTTGTTATATTCTTGGACAGATTTTATTCTATTAAAGCATTTTGCTATAGCCCCACTTTCAGGGAAATATCACACGATCAATATTTACTGTTGTCCGTACCATCCAAAGAACCATCAGTATTTACTGATCATTCCGTCAGTGTCAGAGGATTTCCACGTAACTTTATACATCAGAGCTGCTTTTCAGTGGTTCTCGGTTAGGGCGTGATATGCTCCGAGCTGTTCTAGAAAATATGGATGGGAATACAAAGTGCATTGGAACTATATTGGTGTTTAGCACTACTGAGTTACTTCGAGGAACTCAATTGGGTCACTGGAAAGCCAGCTCAGAAATAACTAGCGTTCGAAATATTCACTGCCATGGAACTACTAATT